TGTGGTTTCGGGCCAGTCACAAGAAGCATATCGAGCAGCATCCTTTTCCCATTATAATTCCTTGGCTGTGGGAAACCTCGATCGCCTTTCAAAGGATTATGATAGATTTAGTATGATGATCTATCCTGATATCTCATGATGCCCCCATGCTGCATCCCGTATCCCTTGATTGGCTTCATACCTGCTGGGAGTCTTTTTGGGACCCGGATTCCCCAGTGAAAGGCCAAATTGGTGGTGGAAAACCTGCGAAAACGCCTGGTGGCGTCTCAAACCTTGGAGTCTTTTGACCTGGAACTTTCCGGTTGACCAGGGGCATGACAAACAGGTCACTATGAATGGTTTCCTCTGCCAACTTCCACCCGTTTTGTTGTGGCCTGTTTTGATCCTTTTTTTTCAAAAAATAATTCACCGTATCAATCTCCGTTTCAAGCGTTGTCGACTCACGATTTGATTTTCCCGGCTTTGAGTGGCAACTAGTTGGTGATGAGACCGACCAGCTTGAATGGTTTTCACAGAAGCGGCGGTAAACCCAAGCATGCGGCCCCATGTTTGGGATGGTTTTCAATCCTCGGTTACCTTCTGGAAGCTGGGTATGCTTTATCATTTATACATGAGGGCATTGCTGGGCTGGGTTTCCCAAATTTACTCAATAATACCGTACCCATTTATATCCATTTATAACGATTATGATATATTATCGCGATAATTGGTCAAAGGTTTGCTGCATTCTCAAATCCAACCCACTGAGGCAGCTCTTTGTGGAGTTGGCACGTGATCATTCAGACGATCCAACTTGCAAGAATGGCGGGGAAACCTGGGCCACTGGGGCTTCCATGGTACTTGATGGGTTTGTTGAATTCTGTTGAATAAAAAAAGGTTACCTCTAAATCCATTGGCGAATCATTATCCCAGAATGGGTACGTACCATTCTCAGACACACCTGGAAAACTCCTGAAATGGAGAGGAACGGGATGAAAAGAAGCAAACTTCTAACATGGTACGATGCGATCATTGCCTGGATATGCTCGGTATCATTTTTCGGAGGACCCAGCTGTTTGTCGTGTTTCTCGTAGCCAAATGGGCTCAAACTTTTCGAGTGAAACGGAGATAAACGGAGTACGAATTTGGTAGCTTTCTCTGACACAGCAGATTTCTGAAGGCTCCTTCTTTTGAGCTTTGCCAACTACAGATGCTCAGAGATCCTCAGATCTCTACCCCCACGATTCGTACCAAGAGTTGCATTGAACTCCTACGCATCGTGGTGGTCGAGAGCGCCAAAAAAGCTGTCAGAAACATTGAAGACCGGGCGCCCGGTCGATTCAACAGCACATTTTGGGGATGCGGTGGTCTTCTATCCAGTAGCTGTAAGTTTGACATTGACCAGTCACTTTGTTATTCGGTTATCCGGTTATCCAGTAATGAAGATGGTTTCTTGGGAGCGCTTGATGAAATCCGACATTTGGCGGCGTTTATTTGCGAGTCTTGGAAAGCATCGATTTGAAGATTTCTCATGAGCTTCGCAACGGCTGGATGACTCTGCAGCACGTGAGTTGGCCTGCTATTTTCGTGGTTCCTCAGATCTTTACCCTGTGTTCCTGCCCAAGAGTTCCAACGTGCCGTTGAGGTCGAGGACTCCTGGTATACAGGACCAAGAACTTGTGAGAAGTGCTGCAGACCACGGACTATGTGACTATGTGATTCAAAATCGGATTGTCAGTGTTTGGGAGCGGATGCAACCCGTACGCCGTATTTGAGCTGTTGTTTAAATGGATCACTTTGTTTACAAGGAGGGCCCCACCGATTCTATTTTGTGCCTGGAATTTTTTCATGATTTTCTCCTGGGAGCGCTCGAGAAAGACTGAAATCTCTCACACGCTTTCTTGATGAGGACCTGTGAGCACTAGTTGGGACAAGGGCGCAGCAAAGATCATGGCCAGCTCCATTTTTGTGTGGAACTTGAGCTGACGTCAAAGGTTCCTCAGAGGAAGCAAGGGCCCAGGGCTGAACGCTTTCCACGACGGCTGGCACTGAGAAAATCACCTCATGCTTCGCCCTGGAAAATGATGCCTGTGCGGCCCTTTTTCTGCCCTCAAAGATGGGACCCAACATGATACAATCCCGTGAGCCATGTTTCCCACCAGAGAAGATCTCGCTCGTGACCAAATACGAACAAATCATAGCATCATTTCATGGGACCCGCTGCTAGTTTCACATGTCCACCGATGTCCACCGTTTCTAGACATATCATAGGTCAATGATCGAACAAAATGGGCCATGTTCAGCCACTTTCCCTCACAAAGTGGAAGAACATTTCCATGACCAGAGGGTAAACCCAGCTGCCCAAGGTGGAGACTTGGGCTTGGTGGAGCATGGTGCCTTGCAACCCAAGGTGGAGGAGACGCTTCCATGGATGGAACTGGGGTGAATTCCCATACCCTCTGGTAATCTTTTCCTTTGATTTACCATGATTTGCCTGGTAAAAAAAGTGTTTCTTTATAGGAAACTGTGAAAATTGTTGAATTGCTGGAGGGTACCATGAGTGGGATAGCTCGGTGAGTCTGACCATTCGACATTGAATCCGGACATGAATGGGACGATGCAGGTCATTTACAGTCACCATGGTCAGTCTCATTATCATAAATCATCATAAATCTAATCCAAGGGATGATGCCACTTGGGTAACTAGCCAGAAACGGCTACAGTTCACAATTTCCAATGCAGCGGAATAGATCATTAAGATACTCTTGCAGCTAGCACCTGTCCCTTAGCGCTCTCCCAAGCACTTCTTCAAAGAAGCGTCTACTGCTAGGAGGTGGGTTTTGGTCTGCAGAGCAATGAGCTTTCAGAGGCTCACGGTGGGTACCAACAGTTGCAGGGGAAACCACACATGGCTATGGCCAGGGAGGTGCATGTACGTGCACCATCTTTTAAATCTGTTGTTTGGAGATATTTGGACACAAGATGGGCAGCTAAAATGACAACACATGGGCTGTACAACATCCTGAGAATTGGAACTGGAACATCTTAAAGTTAGATACTAAATTTAAATGGTGTACAGCTACAAAGTCTGGGGGCACTTGACAATGCAAGGACACACACACGTGTATATAGTTATAATGTTAATTAATGTTATATATATATATGTAGACGTGCCCACACACACAGAGGAACACACACACACACGATTGATGCATGTGCGTGTAAATTATAGTTGTATATATATATACATCTATAATTATTAATTAGGTTGCAATTTTAGTGTATATATATATATATGTGTGTGTAATATGTATGTATCTAGAACTATATGTGTGCATATGTGATGTGTTCACTTTCTTACGATTACAGTACCAATGAATGATATTTGCGTCGCGTGCACATCCGGCCTCGGTTTCCCCAGGTCTTCGAGGACGAGTTTGGGGTACACCTCTTGTACCGTTTGGGGGCCCAGTGGTGGAAAAGCCATGGAACAGCCGGGAGAAAACTCCATGGGTTTCGGGAAAATGTGAACTGGAAATAAGTGGAACTGGTGCACCATTCCGTTTTCAGAAATCATTCAGTTGCTCCAAGCACCCGTTGCTTCAATACTTTTGGAAGGCTTCAGTTTTACTGGCCAGTGATCACTTTTTTCTGGAGCGGAGCTACCGCCCCTGGCCCTAATTCACTTATCAGCCCAGCCCTAATTCACTCATCAGCCCAGGCTATGAATAATTGAATATCGGGTTGCATTTATGTATGATTATGTTTGATTATGTACCCTCTGGTTATTTAACATAGCCATGGAAAATGGCCCATAGAAATAGATGGTTTACCTATTAATAGCATGGTGGATCTTTCCATGGCTATGTTAGTCATAACCAGCCCATTTATAGATGGTTTACCTATTAAAAATGGTGATTTTCCATGGCTATGTTAAATAACCAGATGGTATTTTTTTGGGATCTCGGAATCTCGGACGCTTTCTTGGCGGCTTGAATCGGTCCCTGCAGACCATGGTTTTTGCGACTTTGGTCGCCTTTGACATGGTCTCTATCGTTTGAATCATCCCAAGTGTGTTTGTTTCTGCCGAAGATATCAGTTCTTTCCTATGTTGCTGCAGGGCGAGGAGAACATGACACATGTGCAAATGAAATTGAAGCTTCTGAACTCACGGATGCGGATGATTGGGCGCAAAGACCTTGTGAATTTTGTGAGTTTCTATTGGTAACTTAGTTTGATTAGGTTGCCAGAGGGTATACCTTTTCCACTGCTGGGCCTCAACCGGCCTGCATGCCAAAATAGGATTCTTTAATCCCATCCCCTTGCTATTCAATACCCCCCCATATCAAACTTTTTGAACCCCCAAAAAGAAAACACACACACACATATATACATATATATAATTATATATTGATTCAATTCCAAACCACATTTTTTGAGGGAGTGTTTTCGCCGCAGGCTCCGCTTAATTGGGAACGACCTGCACGCTGCGCCCGCGAAAAGATGGTAGCTACTGCTTTGGTGAAATCCAAAATGGGTGGGGATTTGTTAACCCCAAAATTATGGCAGTTCCAATGAGGAACAATGAAGTCAAGAGTCAACATTTTTTTTAGCTGTGAGACCACATTCTTGGACATCAATTAAGACTGTAAATGTGCATTTGGACATCTCTGCAGAGTCCGACTGCCGTGGCACATGATTCAATGATAGGCACAACGGCACAGCCCTTAGACTCGTGGCTTGAGTCATCATGAGTCATCACATCACAATCATCAAATGGTGATGCGAAACGCACCGATATGTAATATGTGTATGATATATATTTCGCATTGAAACCTCCATATATGTAGATATATATATATATATAATATGTATATATCACTTGTTCCACCTGGCTTTTCCGGTGGGTTTTCCCCCCAAAAAAAATCCCATGGGATCCATGAGACCTTCGCTGGCCGCTGGCTCAGATCAGCCAGGGGACCGCGGCCAGCGGCCAATGGCAGCCGCATCATGAGCGTAGCTCCTGCCTGGAGCCCTGGTGGATATGGTGGATGGGTGACACAGATGTCAAGCCTTGGTCAATCACGACTCAATATGTTTCTGCTTTTTTTTAGAAACATGAATGAAGAAACATAAAGAACTACATAGATCATATAGACCTACAGTACCCATAATGTCCTTTCTTGATTATTGTCAACATAGTGCATGTTTCAACCCTGATGTTCCAGTCCATGGGGCATGTTTGCATGTTTGTAGGGCCGTACCCATAGCCTTGTGGCTGTCAGCGATCGACCCCCTGGAGTGAAAGGCGCTGCATGTGCGTCGCTTTGGTGTGCCGCTGAGGGCTTTCAACTGGCACCGGAGCACTGGTTCGATCTAGGGCGACACGTGGCTGGGCAATCTGTGCTTGAGGCATAGCGGAGGCCTACGGCATCTTGGTCTTCCTCTTCAGGGTGAAGAGGTGTGGTGGCGAGCAATCTGTGCACGTGTCTTGGAAGGGATCTACGAGATCTTGGTCTTCACCTAGGAGGTGATTGGCAGGGCTTGGGTCTTTGGGGATCGAGCTGACATGACGAGCTCATACTATGGGAGTGGTTGGGCAACCTACGGTGTTGAACTGGACAGTTTTGAGGGGCCATCGGAGAAGACTGGTAGCAGTGACAGTTCAGGTTGGGCGAACTGGAGCATGGGCAGTCATAGACTCCGGAATGGCCAGGCAGATGGTGGCGTGGAGAACTATGACATCACGTCGAATGACTCCTACAACTTCTCGGATGCGTCGTGGTGGCGAGGCGACGATGCCTGGTCGTGGACGTCTTGGGAGAGTGGGTCACAGAGTAGCCGTGAAAATTGGGTCTACGTAGGCCGTCGTGAGCGACGTTCAGATTGGAAGAGCGATCCATGGCATCAGTGGCATGGAACGGAAGATGGAGATCTACAACCTGGACAAGGACGACCTTCGGGAGAAGGAGATGGTAGCGGTGATGAACATCGACGCCATGGTGCAGAATCTGAAGGCGATGATGGACCCAAAGGTGAATTACCAACTGGGAAAGTTAGCAGTGTCCACGACAAAGCGGACAAAGAGGAGGAGAAGAAACAGTTGGGAAAGGTGTCAACATCGTATCCCCCAGTTTTTCGAGCTCGTCAAGGAGAGAACTATAGGGATTGGAAGAGATCAGTCCGTTTTTGGCTTCATGGAGAAGGTCAACAGTTGCCTACGAGTTTGGTGGGACCACGGGTGATGGTGCAGCTCAGAGAAAGGGCAGCGCAGTTGGTGAAGCACTTGGAGCCTGAGGATGTGAATGGAAAGGATGGATTAGCGAAGATCTTCACCACCTTGGAGCGCACGCCCATCGTGAAGCAGAACGAGAAGCACAGGGTGGACTGGCACAGAAAGCGGTTGCTGACGCTCAACCGCTTTGCTGGTGAAAGTCTGGAGAGCTACATCACCAGAGCAGGGTTGTACCGAGACCAACTAGCAGGACTGGACGATTCCCTCAACATGGGGGAGAAGTTCTTTGTGGGGCACCTCTTGGATCATGCGAGACTGACGAGAAGAGACAAAGCCTTGGTGAGAACACACGCCATCGATGAGGGTGAGGTGGCGGTGACGGGAGCTATGATGGAGCTTTCGGCAGAATTGGAAGGGGAGCCTGGCTATCCAATTGGTCAAGCCGAAGCACAACTCAGCGGTGCACAAGGTGAAGAACATCTGGTGCAACGAGGTGTCCTGGGTTTTCGATATAAGAAGGAGAACAAGCCGGCGTTGGCAGCTGAGATGGCGGACTTTGAGACGGCCACCAATGCCTCGATGGAGGGCATTCCTGAAGAGCCTGTTGGTGATGAGAGTTGCGATGATTTGGACACTACTCCAGCAGATGTCCTTCATGCCGAGCATGAGGCCTTGGCGCTGCAGTACAAGGCGAAGCAGAAGATGGCAGAGGTGAAGAAGATGCGCAACTTTTACAGGAAGTCAGAGAATGATTCCAAGAAGAGTGGCAAGGGCGGAAAGTGCTTTGTCTGTGATGAGGTGGGCCACTTTGCAAGGGATTGCCCAAAGGTCAAAGCAGCCTTGGCGACAAACCCAGTCTTGGTTACAACTGCTACGACAAAGTCGACGCCGGAAGAGCCGGGTCAAGACTGGAAGCTTTTAGAAGAACTTTGCCGCGCTGGACGGCCTGCAGCATCGTCCGAACGCGGAGTGTACATGGTGCTTAGGGGATCGTCTGGTGGGGAGAGTTTTTTGGAACCTTCAAGTCAGTTGCATGCCCCTTTTGAAACATGGTGGAACATGAAGGAACTATCCAAGAAGGTCATTTTAGACTTGGGTTGCATGCGCAATGTGGTGGGCTTGCAGTGGGCAACGGATGTGGTTCAGGAATGGCGTGCCCAAGAACGGTGGTTTCAAGTACTCCCAGAAGAAGAAGTTTTTCGTTTTGGGGATGGCAACACTTTGCAGAGTCGTTTTAGGTTGCAAATAGAAGCTACTTTTGGTGGCAAACGGGTGTTTTTGGCCTTCAGTGTGGTAGGCGGTCCTTGTCCTCCTCTTCTTTCAAAGCAATCTCACACCATTCTTGGGGTACAATTGGACACATCACAGCACACCATGTCTTCTAGGAAGCTCAAGGTCAAGAACTATGGACTCAGTGAAACTAGGGCAGGTCACTATACTATGAAGATAGATGAGTTCAACATGTTGAAGAGTTCATGGACCGTGCCAAAAGACTTTGTCATGGATGTGAGTGCTGAAGTTGTCCTCACGGCATGCGATGATTCTGAAACGGCAGAGGTTTTTGGCTTACAGCTGGATCAAGACGACGCTGAAGCCCCAACGTTCTATGGAGGTTCCGCTCGTGAATCCGCCGCAATGTCGTTTGTGCGGCCTGATGGGCCACCGGACGTCGCAGTGCCCAGAGATGTCCGACGACGGGGAGAAGAGCTTGGAGCTGGTGGGCGAAACCTCATGGGAACAACAACAAGAACTGGAGTTGCACATGGCCGAGGAGAGGAATCTTGCGAGAAAGGAGGCTCCCAAGAACATGGAGGTGGAGACCTACGCCAGAGATCGGGGTCCCGCAGCTCGCGCATCGGCGGCTTTGGGAGCCCGTCCGAGGAGCGCAGCGGCCATGCCGAAGAAGGTGAACACGGTGGCGGTGCCGAAGAGGGCGGGCCGACTTCAACGTGGACTACCTCTTTCAGAGGACGACCCGGACCAGATCGAGCTTGTCGAGACGGAGGACATTCAGGGACTGACGGCAGAGGAGCTGAAGCTCATCCATCGGCGACGGACGCAGCAGCAAGTGCGTTCGCAACAGAAGGTGGCGACCCAGGCACTGACGGGATGGGAGGCACCATATCCATCCCTCAGCAATGTCTTCAGCGACGATTTGGCCTGCAACGTGATGAAGAGCACCTGCAGTCGCCTTCGAACCTATCTATGGAAGAAGCTGGTGTGGCAACTGAGGGTGCGAGAGGCAGTGAAGATCGAGTCAAAAGGGAAGGCAGTGTGGAAGAAGAATCCGCGCTGGCTCAGCCTCCTTCTGAGCTACGAGGTGGCGTCGCTGTGGGGCCATTTCGGAGCGATGCGTCAACGCCTCCGGAACGCCGATTTCCTGGCCCTGGGGACTGGTCGGTGATGCAGCCTCAACGTGGACTGGTGCAGAAGATCAAGCAGGGCTTGGGTGAGGCAAGAGAACGGCATGCCTTGGTGACGAAGTTGAAGGGCTACAAGGAGAACTATGTGGTGATGGAGATCTTCGCCGGGTGTGCACGGCTCACGGCTGTGGCGAGGGAACGTCCTGGTTGGGAGGTCACGGATCCGATTGATCTGATCTATGGGCATGACCTTCGAGATCCCGATGTGCGAAAGCAGATCATGCGGGACATCAAGGACATCAAGCCGGATCTGGTGACATTGAGTCCTCGTTGCGGTCCCTGGTCGCAGATGCAGAGGCTCAATCCTAACTTGGACAAGGTCATGGAGGCGAGAAGGGAAGATATCCCTCTGTGGAGATTTTGCCGCGAAGTTTGGGATGAGCAACATCTCAACGGCAGGTTGGTCATGACGGAGAACCCTGCTCAGTCAGCAGCCTTGCACATGGACTTCATGATGCAACGCCCCAATTTGCATCGGGCGAAAATCCCACAGTGTGCCTTTGGTCTCAAGGATGTGGAGAGTGGCAAGCCGCACCAGAAGTTCACGGCATTGGACGTCAACGACGAGGCCATGAAAGAAGCCTTGATGATGGGAGCTGTGTGCAATCACACCCCGGAGGAGCACCAACCCATTGAGGGCAATGTCTATCATGAGGGAAGGTGGCAGAGAAGATCGGCATTGGCTTCCAAATGGCCACCTGAACTTTGTGAACATATTCTCCGAGCGGCTGAAGCTGCATGGGAAAAATGTGATGAGGCAGCTCCACAAAAGCTCACTGAGGGCCGTGAGCCGGGTAGCTCGCATTATGTGTTGCCTGTGGAGCCCTACCCTACCCCGGAGGGGGAGTTGCGGCGGCAATTGGACAAGGCTGACTGGCGTGGTGGGCAGTATGACTATGTGTTTTTTGAGGGTGTGGCACGTCAAGGACCTCACAAGATACGACAAGCCTTGGCTCATCTACATGTGGTGCTGGGTCATCCTTCACAAGAGCGATTGGTGCGCATGCTGCTGGTGAGTGGGGCGAGCACCACGGTGGTCCAGATTGCCAAGGGTCTCAAATGCCAGATCTGTCAAGCAGTGCGCCCTCCTGGAGCTGAGCCTAAGGTGTCAGGCTATCGACCAACGAAGTTTGGCGAGAAGATCTTGGCGGACTCCTTCTTCATTTGGGACATCAAGGGCGAGCGGTTCAACGTCACGCACCTGATGGATGGCTTGACAGAGTACCACGTGGGCAGTGTCAGCAAGCAAGTTGGGGCGGACATCACGGCCGACCTGCTCCAGAACAAGTGGTGCGCTATCTTTGGGGCCCCTGAGGTATTGCAGACTGACGGTGGCAAGGAGTTTGCGGATGTGGTGCAACGCTTGACAAGGCTCCTGGATATCAGACATGAAGTTGTTCCTCCTGGAGCAAAGTGGCGTCAAGGACAGGTGGAACGGCATGGCGCCATCGTCAAGCTCATGGCTATGCGGATGGTGGTGAGTCATCAGATTGCAGGTCTGGAGGATATGAAGCTGGCGGTGACCAGCTGCTTCAATGCAAAAAACAGACTTTGCAACCGGGCTGGCCTGTCGCCAATGCAAGCAGTGACGGGCCGCAACACTGCAGTGCCTGTCTCAATCATGGACCAGTTGTGCAGCGGGCAGGTGAGGTGCACCATCAACGATGACTTGGAAGTGAAGGATGCCCTGAGGCGAGCCGAGCGCATCAGAGCTGCAGCAGTGGACAGCTTCAATTGGGTGGACTCCTCGGAGGTTTTGAGGAAAGCCCTCCATAGCCGTTCGAGGCCACCATCCTTGGAATGCTTGCAGGAGGGGATGACGGTCTATGTGCATGAACCTCCACCTTCAAGAAGAGGACAACATCGGCGGCTACAAGACCACTCGAGCTGGGATGGTCCTGGACTGGTGGTGTGCATTGAGAAGCAAGATGGCGCTCCAAGGAGAGTTTGGGTGCGTTTGCGCTCAAAGGTGAGGAGCTTCCCCTTGGAGAAGATCAGATTGGCGACGCCGGATGAAATGCTGGGGTCGCAGTTTGTGATCCAGGCATTGGACGAGGTGACCGAGCAACTGAAGAAAGGGAAGCTGGTCATGGAGGAGGACAAGAACATCCCCTATCGCACTCGTCCGGCGACATCAGCCCCTCTTGGAGCTCAACGTAGAGGCAGTGACATGACCTCTGACTTCATGCTGGACGATCAAGAAGCAACGTTGAGAGCCAGGCAAGTGCGGCGCTTGGAGTTGCAGAACGATGTGCCAGAGTCTGTGAGAAAGGCGATCTCATCTGGTTCAAGCAGCGCAGCGACTAGTGCTGCGCTTGTGAGAGGGCTGCAGCCTGATGAGAGGGCTGAATTACTTGAAGAAGATGATGAGATGCCGGCATTGACAGAAAGTGCTGGAGAAGAACGAGATGAGCAGATGACCTCGCTGGATCGACCTGAACCCAGCAACATGGCTTTTCAGCAGAAAAAAAAGATGTTTGAGGAGCTCTCCAAGCACAAGAAGGGCGTTCCATCAAAGCTGACTGAGGCACAACTACGGAGTGGCATGGCTACGGCAAGCTCCCATGTGAAGAACATCCGAAAGATGATCCGCAAGTCACGACAAGGGCAAGCAGCACAAGAAGCCCGCCGTCGGCGTTCAGACCAACACGCTGCTGCAAGTGTGGTGATGTATGCGGAAAAGGTGGATCAAGAATGTGAGCAAGCTTGGCAAGACGCCATAGGGGAGATGGACCTGCAGGAGGCCTTTTGGACACAGCCAGAAGTGGTAGAGCAAAGCTTGAAAGATATGGAAGACGTGAGGCAACAGCGAGCAAAGGAGCATGAGGCCGCCGTGGCTGACAGCAAGGTGGTCACGGGCAAAGCTCGCTTGGAGTTCAATTGGCTGAAGCTGGACGAACAATGGCGCGCCGCCTTCAAGGATCCTATCTTGAAGGCCATCCAGATCTACTTTGATCATGACGCGCTGGAGGGCGTCCCCAACGACAAGTTCATTGACCCAAAGCGGATCTTGAATTCACGTTTTGTTTTGACCAACAAAGGCGGGTATCTTTTGGAGGAGGCACAGTTGAAGGCCAGGCTGATCCTGGGTGGGCACAAGGACCCAGACATGGGGCGCTATGCTACATTGGCGCCGACTGCGGCATTGCTGGCGCACAACCTGATCAATTGGATCAGTGTCCAGATGGGCTGGGTTGTGCACTACGAGGATGTCTCCAGCGCCTTCCTTCAAGGAAAACATCTTCCTCCCGAGCGTGAAGTTTACATCAGACTTCCCAAGGGCTACCCAGAGTATGTGCAGGAGTTCATTCGAATGAAGCTGGGCTTGGACTATCGCCAGGACCTCCTCAAGATGACGAAGGGCGGCTTTGGGCTTCCAGAGAGCCCACGCTTATGGTACTTGGAGTACAGTGACACCTTGACCACATGTGGGATGAAGGAGCTACACTTGCTCCCTGGAGTCTTTGCCGCCTTCCATGAGGATGGTTCTTTGAGGGCCCTGGCGTGCATCCACGTGGACGACACGCGCTATGCTGGGGACAAGAGTGCCGATGAGATCTGGAAGAAGGTTCATGAACGTTTGAACTTTGGGAAGCTGAGGAAAGCAACAGATGGGTGGACAAAATTTTGTGGGCGCTGGGAGAGGCAGAATGTCGAGACGTTGGAGTTTGAGTATTCCATGGAGGAGTACGCCAAGAATGTTGAAAAGATGAACATCAAGAAGACGTCTGAGGAGCACATCACAGCTGAAGAAAAATTGGAGATGTCCTCGCTCATTGGACAACTCAACTGGATGAGCAGGCAAGGCCGATACGATCTGGCCTATGGTGTGTCCCATGTGCAGCAGTTGGCGGCCAAGCAGGGACGCGACTCTTTGGAGTGGCTCAACAAGGTCATCTACCGGGCCAAACATCCATCAGTGCAGGTGGTGAAGAAGTTGGATGATTGGAAGAACATGGTGGTAGTGTCCGCCAGTGATGCTGCTTATGGTGCTCAGCCGGGAGGTCACAGTCAAGGAGGCCTGGTGATATGTCTGGCCGATGCCTCCATCCTCACAGGAGAAGCCAAGCTATGTGTGGTGGAGGCGGCCAGCATGAAGATCCAGAGGATTGTCAGGTGCAGCATGAGTGCCGAGGTCAGCATGTGCGCTACGGCATTTGAGCACGGTGACTTCGTGCGGGCGGCCTTGGCTGAGATGTTGCACCGTGACTTTCAGTTGCGACACTGGAAGTTGTGGGCGAGCAAATGGCCCCACTATCTAGTGCTGGACGCGAAGACTGGCTTCGATGTGCTCACGAACGAGAGCCAGACCACGGATCGCAAGATTCAGATTGACTTGGCGGTGCTCAAGCAAGCGTTGATGGAGGATGCCACCAACGCCTTTGTGAAGTGGGTTCCCGGCCATCACATGGTGGCCGATGCAATGACAAAGTGGTACGGCAACGGCGCTCTGATCCGCGCTCTGACCGAAGGGGTTTGGTCCTTGAAGGACACTGAGGAGGCAAATGGCCTTCGTCGTGAAGCTGCCCGAAAGAGGCATTTGTATAAGCAAGAAGCCCGCATGGACAACGGGGGGGATATGTCAACATAGTGCATGTTTCAACCCTGATGTTCCAGTCCATGGGGCATGTTTGCATGTTTGTAGGGCCGTACCCATAGCCTTGTGGCTGTCAGCGATCGACCCCCTGGAGTGAAAGGCGCTGCATGTGCGTCGCTTTGGTGTGCCGCTGAGGGCTTTCAACTATTATAGACCTACAGTACCCATAATGTCCCAATAATGTCCTTTCTTGATTACTGAATCCTTTTTCTTTTGGAGCTTCACGGTTCACGGGTTGCCACCCATCATTTTTCCCCGTCCAGGCAGAGAATTATGCATCTGAAGGCGCGGATGTCCCAGTCCAAGAAACCAAATCGTCTCTTGCCACGACAGCGCTGTGATGGCCGGCCATGTCTGGGCGGGAGCTTCCCCTTTGGGCTGAAGTGGGGATGGTTTCCCAGTCAGATTTAAGCGTTCTGGCTTAACAAAAAGATGGGGTCATGGTCTGGCTTGAAACTCCAGATTTGAAGTGCTCTATATACCATTTTTTCATCTGGATTAACTTCGTGAACTATAGAAACATATGCTGGGCATACCGGCATATGCTGGCATATCATGACATGCCCAGTGGCAAACAAAGATGAAACATTTTCCACTCTGCCGCCTTTCTTTCCCTGGGTCTTGCTGCACGCTGAGGCTTGGCAAGGGCCCTTTCATTGTCATCGCAGACAAAAACAGGTGGGGACGGTTTTTTGGTGCCGTAGGATTCTTATTGGCTTATTTGGCTTGATTTTAAGGACAAACAATTCGCACACCCTGGTTTTTTTTATTGTTTTTTGTCAAAATGCATTCGTTACACCAAACACGAGAGGGATTTCCGGAGCAACATTTCCCTTGGCGCAATTCAGGGAGATTCTGGCGGATTTTGAATGATTTTGATGACTTCAGACCACTTCAGATGAATGGTAGGGGGAACCAAGCCCCCAAATGACCTTACACCTGTTATTTCAGGCGGTTTACGATACTACAATTCTGCCGTGTTCATCGCACTAATTAAAAGCTTCAACTCACAACCGACTTGCAGTGGTTGGATAGAAATCTACAAGAACTAAACAAGAACTAAATAAGAACCAATGGTCGGGAATCGTACCCACCAGCTCATCCGTGGGTGAGGAGACGTTCGGAGAGAGGCCAGAAGAGGGTTGGAACCACAAAACTCAGAGAAGCTGCGACTGTTTTCTCACCTTTCCTGACGCTTCGCTGTCAATTTTGGCACCTGAAGCCTTGAGTGATTTGATAGGATTTGATGAGTCTACATCGGTGTCAAGTCGCAACGGGTGTCATTCTTGCAATATTTGTGCATCATCTGAATTGATTGTTACATATGGTTCACACCCCCCAACAAAAGCCGTGGTTTTAAGAGGAATAGGAATCATGGTCAAAACCTGTCCTTTGGTTTGTCAAGCAGCTGAAGGCAACGGCATGTATCATATTGAAGGGCGTTGGTGTAGGACTGGTTGGGGACCTCTAAGATGTGATGAATAGCTTCAGTTTGCATTCTGTGAAGGAATCTAGCCAGTGTAGGGTTGGTTGCGGTTCTATAGACCGCCTGCTGCCTACTTGGGACATCTTGGGACAGCCTTTCTCAGGGATGCTAATCCTTGCACCGGAGAAGAAAGAGGCACGCAACCGCCATCGCGGAGCTGATGGGACTCATTCCGGCGATGTGATTTGAGATGTTGATGGTTGGTGATGTACCCACTACACAATGCTCTCTGCTAGCTGAGCTTCTAATCCTAGCTCCTTTCATTGACCCCTCATTGCCACATGTGTATTTGCGATGGAAGCTTCAAATTGCACCATGTTCAGAATCTATCAATCTCTATCAACGACTCAGTTCAATGGTCAAATGGATGAAAATTGGAAGAAGTTTGGATTTGGCTATGCCAGCGGCACCACCCCATTTTCCAGTTCCTTGGGTTCCTTAGATTCCTCAGAGATTTCCTCAGCTCCGCCCCAGACCGCCTGGAAGCATGCGCTGAATCTTTGGTCAGGCAGGCTGAGGTCCGGTCCGACCTTTTTTGGGGACCTGGTTGGGTTGGAAATTGACCTGGTTTCGGTTGGAAAGCCACCCGATTTCCTGCAGAAAACCACCCCACCTGAATTGGGGTGCGACTTTGAGCACAGGTAGCTTCAATCCATCGCTGGATTGAAGGCTGGAAGGACAATTTAGAGCAAAACATGACTTTGACCCTAAGAATTTGTGATTGTTTTCGGTTATGTTCATTTTAAACTAAGTAAGGCAGTAAGGCTTCCAGGAGAAGCGCCCTTCATTTATACAGATTTATACATTCAGATTCCAAGGGGGTTCCAACAACAGCGCTGATCCCACTGGAAGCCACCCTCCCTATCCGGAAAAGCTCTGGGATGGCAGGCCGCTATTGGAAAGCTTTGCCTTCAGGGTTACCTTGGTGGCATGTCTCATCTTTGCCCTCTTTGGTGGGGGATTGTTGCTCCGGCCGCAGATTGGATCGGAAGCGTCACTAGTGGATCGGCTTCATTTTGAGCATGTTACCACTGTAGCTAGACCTTTTGAAAAAATGATGTCGATCGGAAACTCCGCATGCCTTCAGCCCCTCCCTAGAAATCAGCCAAGAATCCATCACCTGGCTGTCCGGGTGTCCCAGGTTTGTGATGTTTGACATTCCCGATGACCCAGGGATCCCCATTTTGGACACTCGGCCGGGGATTCGTTTTGGCGGGAGGATTTTCACGGATTTCAAGATGTTATTGTTTTTCAACCCTGGAAATTCCCCAGCACTCTGAATTGCTTTCACGGACGCAGGTAATATATATATAATTATATATATATATATTAATTATATATAATATATATATAATTATAATATATTTATCATTATATGTATACTATAATTTAATATATATATGAAGACTTATATGTATTTGGATTGGTCAAAGCATCCTCTAAACCCGCCAAACATCTATAAACATCTCGTGTTTTCTTGTGGTTTTACGTCGGGTCGACGTCAGTGAGCACTGAGGATGCCCTGATGATCGTGGTGATGGTCCTCTTTGTGCTTGAAATGGTGATCAATGGCATCGTGGACTATAAAACTTATCCTTTGTGCCTTGGTTTGCCAGCTGGGGATGAGCTGAGATGGAGAGATACATTTAAAAAAAAGAGAACTTTCAGAATCGAAATGATAGGAGCTGGGTAAAAAAACATGAATCCCTGTCCAAAAATCAGTGGTATATGGGATTAAACCTCAAGTCAGCCTCATTTTTTTGGGGGGGAAGACACTTGAACATTCTCCAGCGTCCCCTTTGGCGCGCCTCCGCGATCCTCTGCGACGCGCCAGGTCCTTCTTCTTCTGGATGGACGCGCTAGGCACGGTGTCCATGATCTTTGAGATCAGCAGCCTGCTGGGCCCTGGGGGCAAGATGCAAACCAGCGGTGGTGGAGTGGATGCCACTCTCATCCGCGTGGCGCGTGTGGCCAAGGTCCATGGGATTCGGGGAAAATACGGAAACGCATAGGGAAATCAATAGCGAAATAAACAGGGAAATAAATAGGGAAGGGAAATAGATAGGGAAACAACGAGGGAAATTAATAGGTGAATAAATAGGCAAAGACATAGGGAAATTAATAGGGAAGTAAATAGGGGAAGCGGTGCGCAGGGGTGTGGTGAAGAATCTTCGAAAAAATCATTTGGTACCCTCTGGTAAACGGTAAACGTTGACATAACTATGGAACATCACCATTTTTAATGGGAAAATCCACTCATTTTTAATGGGAAAATCCACCATAAATCACCATTTCTTAATTGGGAAAACCCACTATAAATCACCATTTTTAATGGCAAAATCCACTATAAATCACCATTTTTAATGGGAAAATCCACTATAAATCACCATTTTTAATGGGAAAATCCACTATAAATCCATTTTTAATGGGAAAATCCACTATAAATCACCATTTCTTAATTGGGAAAATCCACTATAAATCACCATTTTTAATGGCAAAATCCACTATAAATCACAATTTTTAATGGGAAAATCCACTATAAATCACCATTTTTAATGGGACAATCCACTATAAATCACCATTTTTAATAGCTTTTTGTATGTTTACCAGGCCGGGTCCTTCGGTGGGTTGTCGCTAGTTCCCCCTCGGTCAACTCCGCGCTTGCGCCGCCAACCCTGGTGACCTGGTGACTCGAGAGTGACATGATGGATGGATAGGTGGACACACGAAATCCTCACGAAGTAATGTATGTACTGTATGTAGATCTAAGTTGTATACATATATATATATTACATTATATTACATCATATTAGCATGTCATTTCATGATGGATTTCTCCTTACTTTAAGCCAGCTCCATGAACCCAATGCCAGGTGGGTGCCCGGGTGGGTCGATTGTCCAAACTCATGAAGTGCATCAGCTACTACCTGAAGGCACCCGGCTACACCAAGGGCGGTCATGTGGGGTGTACCCCTTGTGGTATGGTGTTCCGGGTGGCTCTGCAATGCTTCCGGGGGTTGTTGCATGTGCTAAGAGGGTAGCGTATTCCCTGACAATTCACAACTCACCGCTTCGACGCAGGACAAGGATAAGAGGCTCGACTTGTCGTTGAGCCCAGGGGAGATCGGGGAGAATTCTGGCAGGCACTGCCAGTCCTGGGTTTCATGTTGATTTCGACATTTTGAAATGATTTGACATTTGACGTGAGTTTATCATGTGATCCACACCGATGATACAGAAACATCCTCTTCCGGACTCTTTGGTGTGGTTCGAGCTTTGATTGGGCCAAGATAGGTAGGTGCATCTAGGTGGACCAACCAGCCAGCACTTTCGTCGCTTGATTTCGAGACCGTCCAAGAAACATCAAATCAGCAGTACAGGTCTGGGCAAATGATGAAAAACATATAAAAACATCATAAATACCTTACCCATAGGATCCATGTATGCTATATATATATGGTAACATTTAATTACCATCAGTATACCCCCTTTATGTTAGCATATATACCATACATGGATCCTATGGGTTATGAAGATCCATCAAGATCCATTAAGATCCATTAAGTTATCCATTAAGACCCTCACCATCCCCTCATTGGATGCTCGTCCGTCTTCTCGTCCCGTCCCAGGTCGCAGAACCCAGCGGAAGCCAAGAAGCTTTCGGGTCGATTGATGTTGACGCTCTCCACCAAGGCTGCTGCTCGCGATGTGGTCGGTATCGATGTCGACAGCTGGTGGCCGAAACCAGTTATTTTTTTTCGCTCTGGTAAACGTTTACATAACATGACATAACTATATATACTATGGAAAGATCCAGCATTTTATAGCTGGGTAAATCAACTATTTCGACTGGGCCATTTTCATCCATTTTCAATAGCAAACTGTTTGTTTACCAGAGGGTAGCTATGGTGAATTTGGGTCAATGAAGAACTTACGAATACAATGGACTACAGACTGACTACAGATCCTCTTTCTGGCAGGGTAAGTAATATCTTCCCTAGTCTTAAATACCACCCAAACGAACCCCCGGTTTAGTATCAGATCTATTCATGTAGGGCGCCCCAATGCAACGGTTTTTTTTCGATTCAACTTGAGCAGCAGGACCGACTTCAAAACCCCCATCATTGTTGGGTAAAGCCCTACCACATCCTTGTTTGATTAGGGGCAAGGGATTGTCTACAGCGTGGGAAGGTGTCACTGCTGACCATTCTGCTGGTACTGGCGATTCCTTTCTTCTCCATCGCACAGTATCCAGAGCAGGACGGAGCAAACAAACCTTGGACTGTTGGACTGTTGGAACTCTTTTCAGAAGCAGCCTTGCTACCAGTTGAAAGTAGTGGGTTATACGTTATATATCTATATTCTTTTTATATGTATATGCTTATGTAATTAAGTGATCATATCATTTCCCAGTTATATATGAATATATGTATGTTATACTTTGTTCTTTTAAAGTGGGAAATGGTAGAACAGCAGCTACAGGATCTCTCGATGCTGGTATGGGGCAACAAACTGGAAGCCGACTATCAGCCCCTTGGACCATGCTCCCAGAAATGCAGGATGTACGCCATGACCAATGGAAGTAAAGTTGGTGGTTGTGTAGGGATTCTTTGGCCACACCCAAGATTTTTTCTAGGGTATTTTGCCGAACTGTCTTTGAAAGACGCACATTGTGGTCCTAGTTCCTGTGCGAACAAATCCCAGGGCGCAGTTTGGGTGAGCCAGTGGCATTGATAGACATTCGTCGTGAGCTCCCTGATTTTTACAGGGTGAACTCCAATTCCTTTTTGGTGGGTGAAATCCACACTTGGAACTTGGAGAACTTGGAACACCGATTTTTCCAATTTCTGGGTTAAAAGTTGAGTGGTTGCCTGAGGCGATGCTATAGTGATCTCAATACCACGTCGATGAATACAAGCTCCTTGTTGGAGGTGCAGCGGTTGATGGAGTTTCTCCATGGCTTATTTTCACTGGATATGTATCAAACAATATTAATGTTATTAATGATTATACCAGTAATGATATCAAATGGGAAGTGGATGGGGATATATATATATGTATATATATATATATGTATATATATATATATGGGATGGGGATAGAATGGGGCTACCTGGCGATGGAGAGAGAGAGAAGTGTCAGGCATGGCAGGCTTGGAAATCCACGCACGAAATTTATGGAGGTTTGTGGGTTCTCCAGCAAGCCACGATGACACCAAGTGGTATCCCAATTTACCCTCTGGTAAACATACAAAAAACTATGGAAAATCACAATTTTCAATGGGCAAATAAACTATTTCTATGGCCATTTTCAATAGCTATGTTAGTTTACCAGAGGGTATTGCATTTTTAATGAGGAAATTGGTATGTTGCAAAGAACCAATTTTTTGTCCCTCTCCATGGTCAACCATGTGATGATTCTTCATGGCTGACTATCTCGGAAGCCGGCTTTGATCAGTAATGGGGGCCGTAATTTTGGGCACCTGCCCTAAAACGGAAAGATAGAAGCGCACCATCATGCACACAGACACGCATACACACCTATTTATTATTATTTATTTATTTATATATATAATTATGCTAATAAAAACAAATATAATTATATATATATGATTATAAATATAAATATAAATAAATATATATATATATATACATTTATATATATATATACATATATATTTATATATATACATACATATTTATATATATATACATGTATACATACACACCATTTTTCTCCATTTTCTTTCGCAATGGGGATCCACCATTGGACACTGATGAACTCGAATGCAGATTTTTTATTTTAAACAAATGACCGGATAAATCAAGGCCTCTGTTGAGGGATGATGCCAAATCACCATGTTGTTCTGATGCCAAATGGTTCAACAACTGGAAATCCGCGAATTTGATATGATAGCGGAAGCAACATGTTTTGCTTGCAATGCACGGGGCATTGAAAAAAGTATAGACGCTGTGCAATAACGTTTGGAAGATTGTCACTTTTGGCTCGAGATATTTATACTTTGAGTGTTGTTTTCACTGTATTATTGTTATTTATATACTTTTGTTATTTATATAAGATTATAAACTGCAATTCTTATCATTCATAGGATCATTATCATCATCGTTATTCGTTATTGTTATTGTCATTGTTGCCTTTTCTACTGGAATGCTTGGAGAAGCACTCCATCTGTGCTGGTAAAAATATGGTTCCCGAGTGTTTGGACTGAAACCAGTTGATTTTGCCATGGCCGCTGTGAAGATTTTGGCGTTGCAAAAATAGCAGCGATTCAATCGATATAATATATCATAATATATCTATATCTATGTATCTATATATCTATATCCATATGCATATGTATGTCAGCCTCCTCGTTGACTCTGCTTTGCATGGACGGACCATGTTCAAATCCACATGCTGCACTACAAGATTATGGACCATTTGATGAACTTGTGTTAGTGTTACGATCCTCAGTTCCTCGACACACCGAAATGTATGACTGTGCGGCTGGCAATCAACCAATGACAAATTGGTGTTTTGGGTCATCTTGGGTGCGGACTCCTGATGACCGCCCCAAACCACCAGTGAAGCGCTACTAAAATATGGAGGAACCTGGGGTGTCACCCCAATGATTTTCATCATTTTCGGGGTGGCGAAAAACAGCCGGAGAGAGAGTCCAGTTTGGTGATGCGGCGCCAGGACTCTGTACGAGAAATGATGACCTTTTATGCTGTAGGCGCCGAAATTTCGGTCCGAAATTGGGAGGTTGCCCACCATTCAGAGCGGGGGTTTAGGACAAACTCTCCAGGTTAACCACCCAGGACACCCCCATACCATGGTTTACTAGGGAATTTCCACATAATTGGGACCATTGATGGGGTGTTTAATGCTAGGGCTTACTAGGGTGATGGGATTATAAAATTGTGATTTTTGATCTTTGTCCTTGCAGTTTGAATGTCCTCTTTGGGCTCTGTTTGGGCTGCCCGTATGCCACATGTTGACCCATGTCTATCTCAATGTCTCAAACAAAACCGGGCAAAGCCTGGTTTAGTTGTTTCATTAGTCGATTTTCAGCCAAAGGAATCTTCTTTCTTTTCTCCTTCAATCTTTACGTTTTCCAGGGGCCAGCGCTCATCCAGTTGGATATCAGCCTGGCAGGCACTGCCAACTACTTCCCCTATCGCTTAGACACCTTCACCGAGCAGGTTGGTGGACTTTCTTGGCGTTCAAGCATGGTATAGACGTGTATATTGTAAGTAGCTCTGTTGGATGGATAGATACACACACACACATTTGCATGTGCATTTTTTCTGTGAATATAAGTCAAACAACATCTATTTCTATCAACCTATCAAACAATTTTCAATCTATTTGTCTGCCTCTTTGTCTGAGAAGCGTAGAAAACGTTGGCATGTCACGATCTCTCAATCGATCCGTTTTTTGTGAACGCAGCCAGGTGACCCTGCCAGATGGCAGGCAAGTCACAATCCCCGGAGCCTCCCTTTTGGACTCCCAAGCTGCTCCCAGACAGTTGTCTGATGTGATGCGGATTACGGTTGGGGAACTTGGTGGTTGCGAGCGGCCGGGGATGATCAATTGGGTTTAACATCGGAACGGGCTTGCTGTTTCACATCACATATACAGTACCCTCTGATAAACTAATATAGCTATGGAAAATAGGTAAATCAACTATAAGTGGGCCTTTTTCAATAGCTATGTTAAATTACCGGAGGGTGTATATATATATATATATGTATATACATAGGTTTGGCAGGAAATAGGGTGCCCTACAATCTCATCACTTTTGTTAAACAAAAACTCACTATTTGGGGCTTTACCCTTGACGTCGAGATTTCCTGAAACATGGCCGAAATCAGCGTGTCCAAAGGTGTTGGTTGATGATATTTTAGTTGACATTTCCACTGAATGGCAATGGAGTCAAGTCCCATATAAATTGGAATGTTGGAATGCATGGGTCCATTGAAAAATTTAGACTTTTGCCTTGGTGGCCCCAGCATGTTGTAACCTACGCAGCTCAAGACCCCTTCCAAGATACCATTTTGTAACAGAGATTTTGACATTTTGACCATTTTGTAAGGGCATAGACGTACATATCATAATACGGGATTCTTCAATGCAAGACCATTTTTATAAGGAATCAAGAAGACAAACAGGGTACCAGTTTGTAAGAAAAACATGGGTGCATGATACATAGCGATGCAAGCAGTGCCACTTTGTAAGGAGCGTGATTGGGACTTGGAGTTGCTGGTTAGTAGCCATTTGGCCTTCCAGCAATAATCAATCTGCTGGGGTATGTTTTAACAATTCTCAAATATTAGATGATTGATTTATGTATTAATCATGTTGATTGTAGTCATGTTTAGAGTTCACAAAACATCCCGCTCTCTCTCTCTCTATATGTATATATCTGATTTTATACAGGAAATGTTTTTGATCAAGACCCAAGGGAAATGGGTCTGACAAGCTGCCAATGCAGCAGCTGTCTAATGTGAAAGTTATTGAGATTTCGGGCAGCAGCTGATCCACATCTTAGAGTCTTAGAGATAGTGAGAATACAATCGATAGATAGATATGATATAGACAGAGAGAGAGAGATAAATAGACAGATGGATAGATAGAGAGGGTTTCAGACTGGCTTTAGATGGTTTCAGATACCTCTTGGGAGCCCCTCCCCAAAAAACAGAGCTCTAAAGTTTTTTAAATTGTTCTTGTGGTTTTGAAGGCTGTGCCATTGGACACGGTCTCTACAAAATCAAAAGTTCCAGAAACTGGACTCTGTTCATATGATTTCATGTGTTTCCCGCTTCCTTGCCCTCTAAACTCCAAAATTCGTTCAGTACATGCCTCAAACATCCTTGCCCCTTTCCATATCGTGAAGCGCAGCAGGACTCCAAAGTGTAAAAAATCAGGTTTGAAGGGCCCTCAAATAGAGACTGCTGTGTCGATTTTATAGAAAGGTTTTGCTTCAACACTGCGCGTGTTGACGTTGCCTTCCCATAGATGATTCAAAAATCTTTGGGGGTACTTAGTGCACTCGAGGTTAATATGGACCAAATCTCTCTCTCCCTCTCTCTTTCTCTAAAATTAAAAAAGTGTAACCTCCTTGCTCGCTAAATTCCAAAATTGGGTCATTACACGCCGCACACATTTTTAAACATTTCCATATAGTGAGGCGCAGCAGTACTCCAAAATTCAAAATTCAGGTTTAAAGGGCCCCACATATGGACTAATTTTACAAAATTGCACTTGTTTTCCAGAATATCAGTTTTTTTTTCATTCATGTTTGTCTTTATTTTTTGAATTGAATTTGATTCAGCAAACTATGGAAGTTCATTGTATCCCAAGCCACAACCATCCCAAAAGAAGCCTTTCTATAAAATCAAAGACCTGGGTCCAGCTTGGATTGACATCCCTTTCAAACAGCTCCACTATCAAGTCAGAGACCAGGTACCCCAATATTAAGGGTGTACATGTTTCAAACCACCATTTTGGAGATCCTGATTTTATAGTGGACCAGGTGGATGACCTTAAGGGAAAGACACCTGCCCAAATGTAACCCTGTCCCTAGATTTTATAGTTAGAGTTTTGGTGGTTACAAACAAGCATTTGTAGCCATGAGGCGCCTTTTTGTTTCTTGATTTTACAGAGTCGTATTTCTTGCAATCTGGATTTTCCAGATTTTAGAGAGATTCTGAGAATGTACCTTTAGAGTGGAACCCAGGTACCTCTATAGAATGGCGGTCTCTGGGAGACCCTTGAAATTCACAAGGGGGTGACCCGAACTTGAAGGCATGTGATGCACATGTGGCGCAGCTATGCGCAGCTTGGGACCCTTTGGCAACAGCTTTGCACCAAGTCGGGCCCAACACAGGACACAACACAGGGAACATTGCTGAACACGAAGCGTCATCGATGCCAAAAAAAGTGAGAAATACCAGTGAAAACGCGCGTTTTGACGATTTCGGATTGGGCCGGTGATGTTCTCGTGTTGAGCCCATGTGGAAGCCCAACTTGGGCCGAAGTTAAACGGGTCCAACTTGGAGCCAAGTTGTGCCCAAATTGAGGCCAAGTGGATCCAAGTTGGGCCTTGTTGGCGAGAGTTGGCCCCAAGTTGAGCCCATGTTGCGGACATGCGGGGTCGAAACGGTGAATTTGGACGATGTTGCAGCGAGATGCGAAATGTGCAAATTACCACAGCAAGGAAATCAGCACCCCCCTCAGCCGATGCTTTACCACTGAACAGAGGATTGTTCGAATTAATTGGTTTCGCCCCTAAACTATGACGGGCGGATTCTTAGGTATTTGGGCGTGTCTGACAATTTTTCGATAGGGGTCACCCAAGAATGGCATTTTCATGTGGAAGATGATGACTGTCCATGAAAACCGATGCCGAGGTATTTTTACACCACATTGCCCAATGAAAAACGACGATTTTTGATTGATCTGCTGAGGTGACATGCAAAATCGACCGGCCGGGCTGTTGCTGAGCCCAGCGAGATGGCTGGGGTGGTGGTGGTTGTTGTTGATGATGATGATGATGACGGCCATCGCCACTTTAGTAAGATTTGTTTGCATGATCCCAGTCATCAGGTTCGTAGAGTTCAACCATTGATCCAACATCATCAAGTTTCTCATGATCAAACTCGCGACACCGCGGTGAATTTTCGGCACAAGTTTTCTGCAAAAAACTGCCATTTTTGGATTGTTGGTTCGTTGCCCGCCAACAACGGATGTCTGGGCAAACCTCGTCGAGTTCCAGCACCACCGAATGGATCCGGAGGGGATGGGATGGCAGTGGCGGGAGGAAGCAAGATGGAACAAATTGAAAACATGAGAAAAATGGACAAAAAATGGTGGATTTGGTTGGTTTTGGTGCTTTCATACTTTCTCATACTTCTTTTTTTGGGAGGAATTGGCTGATTTATTTTGGCCATGGTTTTACCTCGCCAACCAAAAAAAAACTGGAGATTGGCCACGAAGGAATGCCTGTTTTTTGAAGCATGCGGACGTTGGTGATTCCGTTCGGAATAGATGGAAATAGAGAGGGCTGAGGCTGAGAGGGAAAGGACCCCATTCAGGTTCCACATGGGTCCCCCGAAACTCTTCGGATTTGGGCCGTTTCCCATTAAAACCCATGTGATGTTTCTTTCCCTAGTTAGTTTCAGTTCCGTTGCAGCTCTGTAGCGTAGTCAGTGAAGTTGGAGTGATGATCATCCAGCGGTTTTAGGTTTCATGGTGCAGTGTGGGGTGGCTGGCGGTTTGAACGATCTTGTAAGAACCAAAGACAGCCTCAAACTGCTGAAATCCCTGAATGGGATCTGATGGTACAAAAAAAACAAACATTTGCAAATTTCAGGGCCTTAAATTCTCACCTACTCTTCGGTAATTTGAACTGATAGGTTTCAACAATACATTTAAACTGATCTGGGCGAGCTAAATGGGTAATCAGAACATGGCCATCCAATCATTAAGAGCAGGTGACACTGTGTCATGATGATCATCATGGTAATCAGAATTGTGCTGGTACTATTGGACTATGTTAAGAGCAGGCCAGTCGCAATGGGAAATTCCTCAGAAATAGAGGTTTTAGCGGGAACATCATTTAAAAATGGGGGTATTTTCCAGCAATGTTTGATTACCAAAGGTTTTACCATGGACAAAGTGAGATAGTTTCCCCAGATGGGATGCAGGACACTCAATAGCGCTGGCTTCCTTTCACTCCGTGATGACTCACCGCCAGAAGAGGAAGATGAACAACAGCAGTTTGGACAGGTTGCTGTGGTTTGTTTTTTTGTGGTTGATTGGTTGGCCGATGTTTCTCTTTGGCTGTTCATTGTAGTGTTGTGTTGTTCCGTTTGATTATTTGGTTTCGATTTGATTCTTACACGGTGTCAGGTCGCAGTACCTGCATCGGCACAGGCAGATCAGGCAGCTGCCAGCTCCGATCCGCCCATCCCAGTGCCAGATCAGGCTGCTTTAGCTGCTGCGCATGCGGAGGGCACTTGTGCACCTTGTGTCTTTCATCTTGTGACCGGGGGTTGTATCAAGGGACAAACTTGCAACTTGGATGATGTGGATACGGATGGGTGGACCATGTGAAACGCCACCCAAGTCTGAGCTCCAAACGTGACGTTTTGAATTTGAGGGGTGAACATGTTTGGGAAATCCAGATGTTTGTTGGATCAAAGGGCAATTTATCGCTTAAGGATCGGGGGGCCATGCCTCGGCACATCATATTCAGAGACGTGGGTAGTATACACACACGTAAATATATATATATATATAGAATCTTAGAATATGTTTGTTTTCTCCATTTCTTTCTTGATCATTTAATAGATATTCCTTTTCTTGGCATACTCGGGCAAGTTTGAAGCACTCCAAGCAACCTTACCTTATTCTATATATTTGCTGGATTGCTAGGCTGTTTATAGGTTTGTGCGGCGTTCAAAAAATATGCCCTGATATTCCCAGGGGGTAGTATGTGAACACATGAATTGCAAGGAGCAAACCGACCCCAGTCATCAACCATTTGAGTGCTTACAACATCCCAAGCAGGGGTACACCCAGTTTCGTATACCACAACTTTGGGATATTTTATTGTTGTCCATGATGTTGCTGCTGCTGGTCATGATTGATGATACTTACTACTACTTATGATTCATCATCAACATCATCATGATAATTCTTCTTCTTGTTCTTGCATTTTTAACCCTCTGACAATCCAATATAGCTATGGGAAAATCACCATTTTAATAGGTAAAGCAACTGTAAATGGCTAACTTTCCATAGCTATGTTAGTTTACCAGAGGGTATGTGGCAAACCCAACGATAAATGACCCCCCAAATCACCATATTGTAAATGGATTGTATCAACCAAACCATCCCCCAACTTTCGGTAGGTTTTTGGGTGATTGGGATTGATTGGGTTGCCCACATTTAGGATACCCTCTGGTAATTTAACATAGCTATGGAAAGATCCACCATTTTTAATGGGAAAATACACTATTAATGGTTATTTTTAATAGCTACGTTAGGGGGATGATGGCGGATGACTGCCATGGCACCACCCATGAAATCATCATGAAATCTGCCGTCTGTTCCCAGGCACATATTGTCACCTGGAACATCCCAACGTCCGGGCTTCGCGCACGCGCCGGGTGCGGAAACAGACGCGGGACAAGGTGAAGCGGCGTGTGGCGTGGCAGCGAAGCTGGAAGGGGCGCAGCTTCCAGAATTTCATGGGAGTTTCAAGGGGTTTTACCCTCTGGTAAACTAACATAGCTATTGAAAATGGCCCAGTCGAAATAGTGGATTTTCCCATTAAAAATGGTGGATCTTTCCAGTTCGCTATGTTAGTTTACCAGAGGGTACCATGTTTTTTTTCCATGGGATGTGCATGTTGGATGGGAAAAATGGGAGGCTTCACCAGCACTTTTTAAACATGGCGGTGTTCCATCTCTATGTTGAATTACTACAGGGTATGAGGCATCACAACTTTGGAAAACCATCAAAACATATCAACAACACCGATTTACAGTTCAACCAACCATGGAAGATTGGGGTTAAGATTCTTGATCCCCTACTTGGATGCATGCAAAACATGCACACGAATACACATTACCCAATTTGGGCGATGGGCGCCTCATTTGCACTGGCTGCGAGTTACAACGGCCTCACTGCCACGTCACTGTAAACAATGGTTGGTAAAGGTATTCATCCGAAAATTGCATCACTGCAATTTATCCAGGTGAATTTTACTGTATGTGATGTTCACAGCGTGCAGGCAACGTCCTGTGACCACTTGACCCCCAAACAGGCTTTTGCTACAACCTGGGGTGCCGGCCGTGGCCGGCAATGCCTAGGTCTTGCCCCTCTTTCGTCCACCACTGGACTTGCAAGAGAGGCGCTTACCGTCCACTCTGGATTACCAAACGCTTCTCGTTTTCCAAACGCAACGGATTCCAACCATGTTCTGTTGAGCAACACGGGAGGGAACCTTGAACCAAAGAACATGAAGAACATGAAGAACATGAACCCATATGAACCCATATGAACCTTGAATGTCAAATATAATTTCACCATGTCAATGTTTCCCGCCGAGCTGACTCAATGGATGGTCCCAAAATGCTCCGGCTTCATCCTGTCTTGTGATGCCTTGCGATGCCTTGGGATGCCACTGGGAGGCATGATGCTCTGCAACAAGAAGCAGCAAGCCATGAATATGCACGGCGGCTCATCATAGGTGACTCAGCTGCCACCAGCCTGCCCAAGATATCCAATCTCATCCCACGGCGGAACTGTGATGACTTTGGATCTGAAAACCCCAAGTCATGTGAATCATCTTTTTGAATCATATGATTCATATGGATTTCATGCAAAAAAAAAGATATCTTCCTGGAAAAAAAACAAACTCTCAGATTCTCTGCTTCGCATGGCTCCCTCAGGATATTTGGAGGAGCCGGAGCGCGTGGCTCAGGACCTACAGGCTCTGGAAGAGGAGGATGCCAGGAATCCCAGGCTGCGTGATCCAGGATTCAGTTCACAACATCCAGATGGGAAAAAACATGAACACACATCAGAAGTTGTATGGGTAAACTATGGTTGAAACTTAAAACATGGCGTTGAAGCGGGGCGAACTAGTCAACTAGTCAACTAGTCAACTAGTCACTTTATCTATTTCACCTCTTTAGCGATCCAATTTTCACCCCACCTGGGGTGTTCAGAGCAGTCCTGTGGATGGAAATGGCTCTTTCAGATTGAGGCTGACTTACATTTGTCATAACTGAAGATATTACCTTTGTTGGGACTTTTTCAGTTGACTCTTATGTCTTCAACAGTCAGAGACGGTCTCATGGATGGAGATGGATAGCTGGTGGTTGGTTTCATGTTTCTATTCTTCAACAGGCTTCAACTTGGCAGGATGGTCTCCTATGACTCAGGAGATGGCCGATATACCACCCTTGGGTGGCCAGTTTTATGGTGATAAAGCAAAATACACCAAGATGCACCAGGATAAACCATGATAAACCAATGGCCAATGGCACCATGATATTTTCAGACAACATATCCATATAGTTGAGAACCAAATGAAGTCCAACTACAGCCATCATCGACTTTTATCCAGTTAGGATCTAATCTTCCTCGACAACATTTCGCCTTTGAAAATCATGTTTATACCTGTTTGCTGCTTGCTGGTTTATTTCCATATTCATTCATTCATTCAGTCAGTCATTCAACTTTTTATTTCTTCATTTATTTATTTCTTTTACATCCTTTTACATCAATATATATTTCCTATGCATAATGCCCTCCGGGAATCAAACATGATGGCAATATATGGCAATTGGAAATCCACTGTAAATGGCGGGTTCAATGAGATATTGAATGATATTCATTTTGAACTAATAAATGCAAGATTTTCCAATGCCACGCTTGATGACCGGAGGGCAAGTATACGCGCATTGATGTACATCCGCTACGTTTATATATCTTGCAAATGCTGGAACAGCACCTCCTTTCTGTTGTGTTTGGTGTGACCGCTGATGTCCCCATCCAGTGGCAAACCTGATTGTGATTTCCATTCATGTCCGCTTCGGAGAATCAAATTCAAACCCAAGTTGTTGGATGTAGCATCGTTTTTAGATTGCAGTAACATCAGCAACCACCCCCCGCCAAAAAAAGAAGCATATAGAAGCGTTATCTACCACTATTGTATACGAATTTGGTAGGTTTGTATATATTTTTTGGCATCTTTTTCAACATCTCACACATTTCCAGTGCCGTTCCTAGGACACTGCTCTTAACGCTCCCCACCCATCCATTCCGGCGCCGGAGCGGCGCGAGAGCAGCGACTTAGCGTCTAGTTCCATGGAACATAGGGGGCTGACCCGTTTCCAATAGAAAAATCACTGGAAAATGCCAGAAGACGGATTCTGGATGATTTTGTACACATCCCAAAAAATCTATGTTACAGATGCATTTAGAAATTTCCGGTGATTTTTTTGGGCCAGTTGGAGCTCTGGAATTGCCAGGACTCCTGCCACCCTGGACTTGAGGAAATCGAGAAAATCGATGTGGTAAACCCAGTTTGAGGGGGGTTTGGGTTTACCATAGCCTCAAACTATTTGCTTTTGAGCTTGGGCTTTTTCCAGCCTGCTGCCCACGGGGGTGGCTTGGCAAAATTTCGCTCCGAGCAGCTTCTGTGCTTTTCCGGAATCTCATTGATGGCCGCGTGGATAAATGAGGCAATCTTTTCAATAGATCCCACGCAGGAAGCAAATGAACTGCCTGGTGGTGTGAAAATTCCTGTTGGTTTTTCAATCCTAAAAACATGGATCATTTGGGACGACCCCCAAGTGACTACGATTTATTCAAGGCTCAACCACCAAGCAGAGTTTGGCACTAAACTCTTTTTGCTCCGAGCCCTGTGCTCTTCCAACAGATCCCACGCAGGAAGCAAATGAACTGCCTGCTTGGCAAAATTTCGCTCCGTTTTTCTCCTGTGTTTTTCCGGAATCTCGTTGATGGCCGCGTGGATAAATGAGGAAATCTTTTCAATAGATCCCACGCAGGAAGCAAATGAACTGCCTGGTGGTGTGAAAATTCCTGTTGGTTTTTCAATCCTAAAAACATGGATCATTTGGGACGACCCCCAAGTGACTACGATTTATTCAAGGCTCAACCACCAAGCAGAGTTTGGCACTAAACTCTTTTTGCTCCGAGCCCTGTGCTCTTCCAACAGATCCCACGCAGGAAGCAAATGAACTGCCTGCTTGGCAAAATTTCGCTCCGTTTTTCTCCTGTGTTTTTCCGGAATCTCGTTGATGGCCGCGTGGCCGTGAAAAAAGGTGCTGGATGAGGCAGTGGCTTTGGGAGTCCAGGGTTGATGTGACAAAGCCAGTAAAATCACCGTCAATTTGGCCATAGCGTGGTTTACAGATGTTTCCAGTATAAAGTTTTAATAGCAAACTTGGGGGTTCGATAGTGGGTCTGCCATGCACACTAACCCATTAGGGCCACCGGCCACATTTGGATCTAGATCGTTTTTTTTAAATGATGCTGAATCAGGGGGGATATCATCAACAATCAGGAATGCCGAGTGAAGGTAACTAGTTGATTGATCTTTCCAGTGAAGGACTACCTATGATATATTACTTTACCATACTTTACCTGTTTTATATAAGAATTGGTGGTTTCAAAGATTTGTTCTCTCGATCCCCTATGTGGGAAGGTGACTATATTTGTGTTCTGCTGATTTGCTTCGGTAAAATGATGGAAAATGGCCGTGACATCCCACTTCAGCGAGTTTCGATCACCAGCGGTTTTCATTTTTAGCCCAGGTCTACAGCAGTCACCAGTCTTCCATGGGTGTAAAATGGGGCATGTTTCCCTATCATAGTCCTCTTCATGATGATGAACCGACCCCCAGGGCCGCTAGCTGCTACCAGCGAGGTCCTGCGAATTTGTACTTCAACTTCTACAGCCCTCGTCGCATTGAAGTGGCTTTGGACATGGTCCAGCGGCTCAGGGGGCCATGGATATTGGATTCTATGGGGCTCAGCCAGGAATAGGATGGAATAGGGGGGTGAAACTGATCCGACTTATCCATATTTATCCATACGTATCCCGGGGAGAAAAGTTGAGCTAAATTGCTAAATTGATGGGACCTGATCTCAGTTGATCTCTTTAAAGCATGCTACTGGGGCAGCACTTCATTGGCTCCTGTGGGATGATGGGCAATGATGGGCTGGGCATATGCTGGGCATATGCTGGGCGCCCAAAAAAACAGCCCCCAGCCCATTTTCACAGATCGGAAATCTCTGGAAATCGATGGACATCAGATGTCATCAGTATTCATCAGTCATTAAAAAAGTGTAACTTTTTGCATCAGCCTGTCACTGAGCCAACTAGTTTTGGTCGACCTGACATGTTTCCTTTCATACACCTGGCCAAGGAATCCACAGAATTTTCATCCCCACACCCATGTGATCATTCTTTCAAACTATGCATCTGCAACACACGGACGTGTTGAATTTTTTCCCAAAATATGGCTTGCCCAGGTGAAAACACACATATATAAAAAAATGTCACGGTTTTGCAATGTTCTAGGCTTTTGACGATGCGCTGCACATGGTTTCTTTACTAGAACATGGGGTCACTTGAGTTATCCCTCCACATGGCAATGCGGTTGAATACCAACATCCAACATCCAGACGCCGGGGTGGCATCAGGGGCTTGCCGCCTTCATCATTTTGCTGATGATCTTTGTCTCGGCCAACTTGAACCAGACGTTGCACAAGTTGGTGGTGCAACCCATGGCCTCTTGGCAATGAGACTGGCGTTCCGTTATGGGGTGACCAAGATGAATCCAACCCAGGGAAACCCAAGATGTATCCAGTGGTGCTCTTGTTTTTCCCTATTTTTGTGGAGGGAGGGGGGGTTCGCCAAGTTCCCTTAAAGAACGGCTTCCGCCATTGTCTGACCAGTGGCAGGGTCGTGATGTTCCGCCAGGAAAGCATGCTGTCGGTGGTGAAAGATAACGCCTCCGAATTGCTGAAGCAGTTTGGCCTAGAAGATGATATGGAGCCCATGGGCGCGGGCAACTGGGGATGGAGTTCAATCCGTCAAGGGTCGGGATTGCGCGTCCGCAAAACACACTGTATACTATATACTATATACTCATGAAACAAGTGCGGAGGTGGAAATGCTTCCAGTTTTGCAGTTTTGATAGGAATATCATGTTCGAGGCGTTCGGATATTCCAAACTTCCATGCCTGTTTTCATCTCGGAGGTGGTTCGCATTGGCTGCATCTTTCACGATTTACACGCATATGTTAGAAAAAGTTGCACGAATTTCAGTTGTATCTGGACAAGATTACATGCATCATACACGCACATTCACATGTGTATATATTTATATATATATAATCACACACACACATATATATATACATACATATATTGTGGAGAAGTGCTCTGGCAAATGGCCTTGATGCACGACTCTGATCATTTCGATCTATGTATATGTATATGTATATGTATATGTATATGTATATTAATATACAATGGATACACATACATACATATAATATCATTATTTACACACAGATGTATTTATTCTATTGAGTGTGTCTACACGCACACACACATATATATATATATGCAACACATAAAAACATATAATTTGTAAATATATGCTGCTTATAGATATGCCCACGCAGCTTCATGCTCGTTTCGGGGGAACCACGAAAATCAAGCCAACATCGTTTCAAGAGCCTGCCACCTCTCCAGGACGCAGATGAGGATTTGGAAGAAACTGAACTGCTGGAGGCGCAACATCGGCGTTTTGCACACCGCTTTATTCTGGAAAATGATGATCAACTGGAAAATCATGCCTTTAACCAGCAACAAACTTGTTTTTTTTTTTTTTCGTGGGATTTCGTGGGATTTATCATCAAGCATAGTTAGTTGGGTGTGTTTGAAAAGAGTTTTGGTCTTTAACCATCAAGAACATCAGGGGTTTTATGGGTTTTAAATGAGGATATTTGATGAGATATGTAACCAAGTGAATGTGATTTGTGTGTCTGAACGCTGAAGATGACCATTTTTTAAGCCCCAAATGGCCATTTGATTGGGGAAACCAAGGGATAAAAACCGATCAAGCACCACTTTTTTTTTGGGGCACCCAATGTTTTCAGATTTTCCATGATTTTCCTTCCTTGGATGGATCTGTTAGGAACCCTGTTAGGCGAAACCTCCATTTTCCTCCCCTTTTGTTGTCTGTTCATATGCCTTTCTGTTGATATTCTTAGTCAATCCGGCCATGAATCTATGATAATATCGGGGGTTCTACAGTAGCTAGCTCAATCAGTTGGATGTGTTCCACTTCGGGGGGTGGCTCAAGCCTCAAACAATCTCAAACATGTGTACTAGATTTTACTAGTTACTAGTAACCCTAGACTCTGTCCCCAATGACTGGCATTTCTTCAGCGAGACTGAAACCACCGGTTGGTGGATCAAAATATCCCATATTGGAATTGGATGGATATGAAGTGGAGAATCGCTACATCTGAATCCCTTCAGATGGTGAACAAATTCATCGCGACATGAACCAATCAGGACAATCATATCAAGTACAGTAGCGATCCTTAAATATCAATCATCCACATAAATCTCGAAGATTTTGTGGATACTGTATAATATATTATTTATACACACACATATATATATATGGATATCACGTGGATGTCACTTAAGATGCATGCACATCATAGGGATTTCATGTGGGTATTATCCGGGCAATCCCTTTCCCCTATTAAGTCATTGAGTCATTAAGTAGTATCAGAAAGCGTGGTTTCGTCCTGGATCTATTTTTTTTGGGCCCCTTATATATTGGGGGGGGTATCCAATGTCAGATTATCAGGGGCATTGGATTTCCATACTTGACCCATTGTGAATATCTTACGTCGGTACCTGAAATGATTCGAAACTAAGGATTTCAATCGCAGAAGTTGAAGCTTAACCAACTGTATCTGCCATGGTCAAAGCATACATTTTTCCAGATTTTGGGATGGGTATCAATCCATTATGCCATAGGGATTTTCATATGCCCATCATTAGTTTGGGATTTCCTAACAATGGTGGAAGGACCATACCCCATTCATCCATTCATCCCACAAATCATCCCGAAACTGTGATTATTCTAAACTTTCTAAACTTCAATCCCATCTCGTATACAACTATACTGTAAACCCATGGGTGCTCATGGTAGTTATGTTCAACTTTCTTTTCACCCACTCGTGCAGAAAAGATTTCGAAAGATTTACGCTTTGGGAATTTAACATGGCTGTGGAAAACCAACATTTGTAACAGGTACTAGAACTCATTCATCTATGAATGGGTCATTTTCCATAGCTATGTGAAATTACCCGAGGGTAACCAGAAACGTATATCCCATTATATAAATCCCATTGAAATCCCATTGACATCCCATTGAAATCCCATTGAAATCCCATTGACATCCCATTGAAATCCCATTGAAATCCCATTGAGTCTTATTAAATCCCATTAAAATCCCATTGAGTCTTATTAAATCCCATTAAATCCCATTGAGTCTTATTAAATCCCATGAAACCTCATGAAATCCCATTGAAATCCCATGTTTTTTTTTTTTTTGCCCCGACATTTCCCCCCTGCCCTTCTGGGATGTCGCGACCACCGAGCCATGGCCAGGGCATCTTCAAAAAGTTCGCGCGCCTGGCCTCCCTGGCCGCGGGACGCAACGAAGCCACGGCTGAGGAGTTGGCAGGTGAGGCCTCACTGTTCTCCCGAGCCCTGGAATCATGGTTTTTTATAGGGGAATCATCCCCAAATGGCCCAACTATTCAGGTTAGTGAAATATGATAATTTACCCAGATATATATAAATCACACACACATATATGTCATGTTATATATACATGCATATATGTATATTATAATATTGTATGTGCATATATATGTATATATACTCCATTATACTCCACTAGCTTTTACTATATACATATATATATACATATATATATATAGCTCGTGTTTTCACCAAGCGGTTTTGTACCTTTCGGATCAGAGGACTCTGCTACCCCATGACCCACGCGGGGCGTGACAGGCATGGATGAATCTGCTAGGGGTGTGATGATGGAGATGATGAACGTGCAGGTGGGCCGAGGGTCGCACTGTGCCTTCATTGCATGTGCTGCAGTTGAATGGTTTCCGGAACTTTTTCAATTGACTGATGTCCGATATCTGAATATCTGATATCTGTTTTCCAAGAATGTGGCCTTTGAAAGAATTCGCGTGATGATGACACCTTTTTATTCGGAAATAAATGCATAAATTTTATATAGTCTTGTATGATCGTATAGATAGATCGATCGATAGATAGATAGATCGATGGATAGATAGATGGATCGATCGATAGATAGATGGAGTATATAAAATATATCGAGGTTGTGCCATCGAAACGAAAATGCGCAGCGCTAGCCTGATTATTGTATGATTAGTGGATTTAAATCCCACCTGGTTTGATGGGGGTTTTAGTCTCTAACCCAGAATTATAGGATATTTTTTTCCCAGCCAGCATATTTTTCCCAGAATCGGCTCAGGGGGAAATTGTTTTCAGAAGCTGGTGCGCTTGGGGTTGAAAACCAATGAATTTCGTGCGGCTTTTCCCACAAAACCAATCCAGTGATATCCAGTGATCCATGGATCAAGGTGTTTTCTCTTGGCGATGTTTGCATTTCTTTGGCATTTCGGGCGTGTAACCAGAAATCGATATTTTTCATGTGCATTTTTTTTCGCGAAGGTGTGGTTTCTTAACCAGCAGCTGTCCAATCTCAGCACCATTTTTTCCCCAAAAAAGAGCCCACTAACATCAACCTCGGATGTTCGCCAATGTTCCCCAAATAAACCACGATATTGTATGATGTTTAACCCTGTTGTAAATCAACAGTTGGCCCTTGAACGTAAACCACATTTTCCGTGGAAACTACTCAAAACCAAGCCCCCTTCCAAGCCCTGCCACGGTATCCAGGATCGAAGTGTTAATTTCCTGGAGGGTAACAGTTTTACCCTCTGGTAATTTTAACATAGCTATTGCAACATTGCACATTGAGTTCGTTGATTTACCGAACTTAGTTCGATGGTGATTTTCCAGTTGGCTTTTTGTCTGTTACCAGGCCGGGTAACCCCAAGAGTTTCACCAAGCAACAGCCCTGGCGTTCAGCGAGCCCTGGCCCCGGCCGTTCAGCCATCGAGGTCGCCACCGCTGCACCCGTACAAGAGACCAGTGCCAACACCTCGCTGCGCGCCAGTGCCTTTATGCACAGATGGGGGATGCGGGAACCATGTCGGAACGCTGAACGTGTGTTTTGGGGAAACTATGGAAAAAATCGATGGACAAATGATCTTCAGATACCTGATATACCTGAAAACCATGGAATTTCCCATGAGAATCGTGAAAGATGATCCTGCTGGGACACCGGGAGGTGCCATTTCTGCTCCTCCCACGGGATCGGAAGGCACGACTTGGGGTGTCATGGCAACCAACCAACATGGTGACTGGGGGATGGTAAACATGACATTGTTTTAATTACATTATCTGGTTGGTGGTTTGGAACATTTCTTATGTTTCCATATGTTGGGAATAATAATCCCACCTGGCTAATATTTTTTCAGAGGGGTAGGTATACCCCCCAGCCAGTTATGTTAAAAATCATCAATCTACAACAGAGATCATGGTGAATCTCATCCATTTACCCTCTGGCTATGCAACATAGCTATGGCAGCTATGGATGGACATGGCGCATCGTTCGATGAACATTATCATTTACCATCATTTACCAACATATAAAAAGAAGGGGTGATTTTCCAGTGCGCTACGTTCAATTACCAGAGGGCATAGTAGTAGAAATCATGATTAAATATCTTCAAGACATGCCATACTGATCTATAGTTATAGAAATATATGAGATTTCATGATTTAAGTACCTTCGAGATGTCATACTTTCACCGAACTTTAATTAATAAGGTCATCTTCGAGGGGTGGATTGTCACGCGCGCGCGCACAAGTGATGGCAGGGGCGCAAACTGGGACACCACTGTAGTAGTGAACCCAATAACGAATTATACCGAATCATACTGAATCCTACGTTTTGACCGAAATTGACATTAATCATAGAATTGGATGATGGGAAAATTTACAGGAAAGCCCTATATTTGATGGTAAAAAACATGTAAAAACCATGGTTTCCTGTAAATTTTCCCTTAAACCAATCCAGTGAATTAAATATGATTCCGGTTGGGGCTTAAGATTGGGTTTGCCACACAATTTCAGAGGCTTTTACTAAGCCACATCCTCCCGCAGGCCTGGAAGAAAACCACCATGTGATGGCTCTGTTGCTTGGCTCATGGGCCGACACCAATGGTTTCTACTGTAGACTGTAGATGTTCTAAATCAAATCCATAGATTAATGTGACATATTCAACCCATTTTCAAACTATATTGGACTACATTGAGCTATCATTACTGGTTGGTGGTTTGGAACATTTGGATTGTTTTTCCATGTGTTGGGAATGTCATCATCCCAACTGATGAAGTCATATTTTTCAGAGGGGTAGGTATACCACCAACCAGTATTTCCCAGTCATTATCCATATTTTAATGGTATTTTCCACTTTTTCAACCATCCATATCATCCATTTATAGATGGGGGTAGGTCAACCACCAACCAGTATTATATATGGTATATTAGTCATCCATTGATCACCATTATTATCATTATTAAGCCATTATTAAGCCATTATACCACCAGACTAAACTACCTTAACTCCACCATTTACTATGGAAAAATTACTATGGAAAATCATCATTTTTAATGGGTAAATCCACTAGTTCTATGACCATTTAATGAGTAAATCTTCACCCCCCATCTTCGTTCTGGGTTTGACCGTAACGTCCGCCGAGGTCTGACCTGCCGGATGTGCCGGTCATTGCCTCACTGCCGGTGTCCAGGTGAGCTGATCATGGCTGGAAGGTGGTGGTCATGGAATTCAGCATGGAAATATGGGATTTAATGGGAGTTAATGGCTATTTTTCATGGGATTTAATGGGAATTAGTGGGAGTTAATAGGATGTATCCCCAGCTTATTTGGGTTCTGAAAATCCAAAGAAAAGTGCTTTTAATAGAGGGAACATGATGAAGCAATGCGTAATTTTATGGGGCAGCTGCTATTCAGTTAGTAAGCACCGAGCCCTGGGTTCCATATTACTTTTCAGGGGCTACTCATGAAGAGAGGTGCTGTTTGGGTGTGTCCAAAGGGCACCAAATGTGCAGAAATAGGCACCAAATAAGTTTGGGACTTTGAGTGACTGTGACTTAGTTGAACCCAACATGTTGGGCTATCATTGGTCTCTCACCATAAGGTTTGGGAAAGCAACATGGCAATCTCAGCCATAAACCACCCGTAAAGGCTTGGGTGAATTCCACCTGATCCAGGGGCATTCAACCAACCACTGTAACAGCTAAATGCTGTATTGATATTACTCGAATTTGCTTCATATTTATTATGTTCATAGATCATCGCCTATAACATCTATAACTATATAGTGCTGATTTTCATCTATTTATATTGTTTATAAATTATAACATATTATGACATAAACAATCTATGATAGTAAGTATATTGTCTATAACTATAGATCATGAATGCCGCCTATGCCAGCCATGTCTGCTGTCAACCGATCGCCGCCCCAGGGACACCATTGAGTCCTTTGACCTTGACGTCCTGGACCTGGACTCGGAGGGTCAAACCAAGGCGGGCTTCCCCATTTTTTCGGGATCCGACTAAATGGGGATTTCATAGGGATATAAACGGGATATAGATATAGCTATAGATAGATAGAGATAGATAGGATAGATAGGATAGATAGATAGAGATAGATAGGACAGATAGGATAGATAGGATCGATAGGATAGATAGGATCGATAGGATCGATAGGATAGATAGGATAGATAGGATAGATAGGATAGATAGGATAGATAGGATAGATAGGATAGATAGGATAGATAGGATAGATAGGATAGATAGGATAGATAGGATAGATAGGATAGATAGGATAGATAGGATAGATAGGATAGATAGGATAGATAGGACAGATAGGATAGATAGGATAGATAGGATAGGATAGGATAGATCGGATAGATCGGATAGATCGGATAGATCGGATAGATCGGATAGATCGGATAGATCGGATAGATCGGATAGATCGGATAGATCGGATAGATCGGATAGATCGGATAGATCGGATAGATCGGATAGATCGGATAGATCGGATAGATCGGATAGATCGGATAGATCGGATAGATCGGATAGATCGGATAGATCGGATAGATCGCATAGATCGGATAGATCGGATAGATCGGATAGATCGGATAGATCGGATAGATCGGATAGATCGGATAGATCGGATAGATCGGATAGATCGGATAGATCGGATAGATCGGATAGATCGGATAGATCGGATAGATCGGATAGATCGGATAGATCGGATAGATAGGATAGACAGGATAGACAGGATAGATAGGATAGACAGGATAGATAGGATAGATAGGATAGATAGGATAGATAGGATAGATAGCATAGATAGGATAGATAGCATAGATAGCATAGATAGGATAGATAGGATAGATAGGATAGATAGGATAGATAGGATAGACAGGATAGATAGGATAGACAGGATAGATAGGATAGATAGGATAGATAGGATAGATAGCATAGATAGCATAGATAGGATAGATAGGATAGATAGATAGATAGGATAGATAGGATAGATAGGATAGACAGGATAGACAGGATAGATAGGATAGATAGGATAGATAGGATAGATAGGATAGATAGGATAGATAGCATAGATAGCATAGATAGGATAGATAGGATAGATAGCATATATAGCATAGATAGGATAGATAGGATAGATAGGATAGATAGGATAGATAGGATAGATAGGATAGATAGGATAGGTAGGATAGATAGGATAGATAGGATAGATAGGATAGATAGGATAGATGGATAGATAGATAGACAGATAGATAGATAGATAGATAGATATATATATATATTTACAATGGGACTGGGACGATAAATTCATATATCATGGGATGTAATGGGATTCCATGGGGTCTAATGAAGATTTTACGGCATTTGATGGGGATTTAATGGGGATGTCATAGGATATATACAAATGTGTGTATATATATATATTTATATGTATAATACGGTTATGTAAATAACCAACTGAAATTTTTGCATGACATCTTATCAAAAATATGCTTTTCGCATCTCAATGATAGCCATCCATAAACGGAGGGAAATCACATGAAATCACCCTGGGCCTGCACCAGCCTATTCGAAGAAAGATGGAGACTTTTCCCTGGCCTACCCTTTGGTAAACTAACATAGCTATGGAAAATCACAATCTTTAATAGGTAGATATAGGTAAATCAACTAGTTCAATGGGCCATTTTCAATAGCTATGTTAGTCATTACCAGAGGGTAATTCTATTTCAAACCCATCACCAAGTGCGTCAGCATGCCATCATTTCCTGCACATTTTCCCTCCCCACAGGTTGCAGTTCACATTTTTTTCGACACAGCGGTCGGCAAGACCACGGGACGCTACTGGTCCGAGGTGCTGGTGGTTCATGCTGATGACATCATGGAACATGCAACATGTAATCTAGAATGCGGTATACGCCATAAAACCCAGCATTTAGGGGATTTAACAATATTTAATATTTACCACCCATAAAATAGATTAAAATAGTGGGATGTCATTGGGGATAGTTTTTTTCTTCTTTTTAATATGAATTTATTTACCAGCCATATCATATTGGGGATACATAGTTAATATAGTTATTTTTTGAAAAAATGGGTTTAGCACATTGAACAACAGCAACTGTGGCTGGAGATGAGGATCTTTAGAGATTTTTAGCTTTTGATGCCCTGGCCGTGACGGGAGGCTTTGACCTTCAAGCGATTTCATGCAGTGGTCAAAGCAGGTGGAGCGATGGTGAACATCAAAGATCTGGGTGCTTTCATGATGGGGTTGAACCCATTTTTTTGGGGTACCCCAAATTTATGGATGGTTTATTTCATGGCAAATCCTGAAAATCCTATGAACATGGATGATGAAAATGGGGTACCCCCCATTTTAGGAAACCTGCATCTGTCAATTGGTTGGTTTCAAGAGAACATCTACAGCAAGCATCAGGAAATTTCCCATAAAATTCTCCTTCAAACTTGGGGTGCTCCTCCTGGAAACGGATGGAACCGTTAGTGGCATGTAGCAGCCAACATTCGGAGGGTCGACCCTCTCATTTCGCTGGCATGTTCCGTGGGACAGATGTGGGACAGGTTATAACAATTTGCCTTACCACAACTACACGCATGCGTGCGACGCACCTCGCTTGCAGCCCATCCAGTTCCGTTGCGGTGGACCTTTCTGAAGGGAGGGGTTGGAACTGGGAAAGTCCAGATCTGCCGGCGTGGGGATGGAGTGGATTGTGCCATTTCCAGCCATTTCTGGAGCTAAACACAGGCTAAAACCAGCTCAGAATGCATGTCACTGACGATGGGACTGGCGTCGATCCTTGTGGTGTTGGATCCCTCCAAGGTGCTTCACACGGTCTATCGCTTGCTGAGCTTAACGTCAGCCAGACAATGGCTGGGAAGCGGCAGCCTCAGTCCTGGTGTTTTGGCATATGGAGCCAGAAAGGGAGGACAAGTCCAGTGGAGGACATGAAATCAAGATATATCAAGATAGTCAGGAATGAACTTCAAACTTTTGAATTTTTGTTCAGTTTAAGGCAGTTTCGACCTTGATTGTCTTCAACATCCAAGCAACGGTTCGTTGAGTGGCCTCCGCAATGTGATAAGTAGTGTTGCATGGCGGGATGATTGCCCCCTTTCATAAACAACCGCGAAAAACAATTGTGGAACGGCTCATCCACTCCCCCAAGATGGAATACCCTCCAAATGCCCTGCTGGTTTAGTCTTGGATCTATTCATGACTTGCAGTCCCAGATGGATTACCGTGGAATCCATGTAATATCATATCAATCATATCTAATGTTATTAAAGCAAATGTTGATGGTCTATACCACTGGTTTATGGATTGTATTGCTTTACTATCATTAATCCACATGAATGTGGGAATCCATAAGATCCATATAATGTTGATAAAACAATAAACCATCCCCCAGTCATCATAAATTTAAAGGTGGTATAAACATACCATTCCAATGTATGGCTGGTTTTTGGCATTGTTTTACCCCCATACAGTGCCAGATGGATCATGATGGATCCTTTCTTTGAATCCATGGGGTAACCCTCGGAGTTTCCTGATGGCCGCGGGCCGGTCCAGGCGTGGACCAGTACGCCCTCTTAGTGGCGGCCCTATGTCATGACATCGGCCATCAGGGCAGGACCAACCCCTTCCTGGTGCGGCGGCTCAGGCACATTGGATGAGGTTAGATCTTCGATTTCGATGAGGTTCGACTAGATAGACAGATGAGTGTGAGAGAGAGAGAGATATATATATATGTAGAGATATATAGGTATAGATGTACACACACACACACTCACATCTATCTATACATGTATATATATATATAATTATATATATGTTAATGTATACATACACATACACAGTTTATTTTTAAGTCTGCGTTTCCGTCAGCTGCCGCATCAACCTACCAGGCAGCCACACTTTTGCACCGGTCATCCCAGGTGGAACTCGGAAACGAGCTGGCACTGCGCTACAACGACAAGCCGGGAATGTCAAGCCGGGGGGGGGGAAAAATGGAGTGATTTTCCAGGCAAACCTTGCAGGAAAATCACGGAAGAGCTGTTGAAATTGACCGTGAACAGTGAAACATGATGGAACATGGGGGATTTGAAATGAAATGAATTTTCATTCAATTCCCGAATTGGTGGTGCTGGTAGAATGATGCACGCTCATGTTGTTTGTCAGGAAATGAACCTGCATAATCCTGCATAGAGGGAGTAGCCAGTGACAAGTTTTCCATGTCACAGGTGAAAAAAGCTGTCACTGTACCGGCTTCTTGGGAAAAGACATGTGGATTCTCATGGTTTCTTTGGTTTTGCGGGTTTATTGGTGGTATTTCCTAAAGCATAGGAACTGACGAAGTCAGAACGTGTCAGAAGTGCTGTGAATAGGCACCGTTTCCAAGGAAATCCCTGCAACTCTGGGTAGATTTCTGGTTACCCGGTACTCAAGCATGACTTGCTGTTTCCAAACCCACCACATTAGTTCGATGCTTTTCGCAGCTATACACCTCCATTTATAGAATTTATAGTGGATTTTCCCACCATTTCCCATATTTTTCTCATATCTCACCACATTTTCCCATAGATTTGCCAGGTTTTTCAAGGTCAGCATCCAGCCCAGGTCACCGTTGGAGAACATGCACTGTGCCAAGCTCTTTGAGATCGCGTCCAACCAGGTGGGGTATGGTGGGGTCGGGGGTTCCATGGATTTCCATGGCAAACTTGACCCATACCCAAATGATGAATGTGGCTAAAACATCAACCATCCCCCAACTCACCATAAAATCCATTTTTATAGATATAAATAGGCGGTTTTTGGTTACCATTCCCAGTCATGGGTGGTGTATGATTGTTTTACCCACATCAAAAAGTATGACACCATTTCCGCGTCTGCGGCACTTGTTGGTCATGGCCCATCCGTTCATGGCTGTCCCAGTGTTTCAATGGAATCCCCATGGCCAGGACACAGATGTCTTCAAACAGATGGACAAGGAAACAAAGAAACAAGCCAGGCGGCCGCCATTAGTAGGTCATAGTAGGTCAGTAGGTCAGTGGGTATTGATAGCCTCCAGTGTCATCCATAAATGGGAATCAATGGATTGGATTGAGGGAAAATTTACAGGAAAGCCCCATATTTAATGGGAAAATCTATGGTTTCCGGGTTCGATTTTCCCTTAAACCAATCCATTGAGGGAAGTTCCTGCAGGAAGTGGACATTATAGCTGGGACGGTCATCCATAAATGGTGGAATGTACAGCAGGCATCAGCAGGCCATGTTTGATTACCCGAGGCTATAGTGAGGGAAAGATATCTTTGGAATTCGTCAATTTCATGCATTCTTCAGAAGCCCGACTTGGACCTCCACTGGACAATGGCGGTTAACATCAGTTAACATTAACATTGACTCAGCTGCTGATTTCTTATGGATGACCAAGGGGAAGTTGGCAGCATTCAAAAACGCCGAAGGCCCTGCGTTTTTCTGTGTCAGCCCTTCGTGCCAGGCGTATTTGTATTGCAGCGATCTTGCACACGGACAACGTGAACCACTTTGAGATGGTCCGCGAAATCAGCAAGGTGCAGCCGCCATCAGCCGCCTCGCGAACGGGCGTGCTGAGTGGCACGGCGCCACTCTGTGTATATAGACTTCTCATTGTACGGGTGCAGATGTAAGGACATGCCGAACCTATGATATATATATATATACACATAAATATACATATGTATATACATATATATATGCATATGTATATATTTGTATATATATATATATCTCTGTGTGTGTGTGCACAGATATGTATAATTTAATCATATTTAATCATGTGTATACTATCCATTAATTTGCGCAACTAGAGTTGGTCAGATGCATCCCCCTCAATTCGTAGACACGCTGCATCCATACCGAGTCCATCGTCATGGGAAACGTGGGAAACGTGGGAAACGTGGCACTTCCGCAGTTCCCATTTCCATTGCTATTTCCAGTAAAAATCCCCAGGTCCCATTTCCACCACTATTTCCTCAACGGGATTGGTTTTCTTGGGAACATCGAACCCGGAAACCATCGATTTTCCCATGAAATATAGGGCCTTCCCATGGCTTCCCCGTCAAAAATCCCGTGAAAACCAATCCATTGATCCACAGTTCGCTGATCGAAATCCTCCTTGCTTCAGATCTATGAGATGGCGTCGGACCTTTGCGAGTTGCAAGCCAGCCAGCCCGACCTCCTTCCCCAATACATCGAGCAGGCTCTGGTCGTCTCAGTGGCCATGACATGTGATGATGGTGCATATCATGCGATTATGATATGTTCTGACATGTTGTGAGATATATTGAGACGCGAGATTGTAATATGGACCGCAAAATTAGAGTCATTATGATATCTCATGACATGTTGTGACTGGGTACATGGCCATGTTCTTTTTCCGCATTTCCAATATCTTTGCCACATTGGTGTCGTTTTTCACTGTCGAACGCGGAGGTGATGCAGAAGAACTCTCTGCAGTGGCTGGAGCTGTTCTTGCACTTTGCCGATGTATCGAATCCTTTGAAGCCCTTCCCAGCCTGGGGACTCGGGAGATTCCGGGAGCATCAAGGGATGGTCATCCAAGTCATCCAACTCGAAGTCACTTCGCAAACAGTGTCTAGAGTCTAGTCTAGCAATATAAAATTCCAGCATTTTTAAGGAGGTCTGAGTATATTGGATCATTTTAGATGCCATTGAAAATTTAAATGTCCTAAATTTCCCTAACCTCACAGAATGTCCAAGAAAGAAGGGCCCGAAGAAGTTGGGTTCTGACTGAAAAGTGGACCCCTGAAATCCAAAATGCACCACGATTTTTGACCCCTAAAAACCATGGCTTTGGAGATCATGTTCCACAATTTTTTGCGATTCCATATTTATGTTCCATATTTTTTGGAGATCATGTTCCATTAATTGGACTTGGATTTATGGCTGCAAGTTCTGGGTAGAACCAGAACTAATATGAATTAATCCACAAAAAGTATGAAAAAAAACGATTCTGTAACTTGCCTGCGGCGTCCCCGGCAAAAAGGTGAGGATCCGGATTGTTTACAGAAACCAACATAGCTATCCTAGCTATGGAGAATGGTTCGTTTCGAATCGGTACTTTGTCGCATCTAAATTGCGAAGTTTCTTAGCTTTCTTAGTTTACCAGAGGTTAACAATAACATATATAACATATATCCCATATATGCGTATATATCCCATGAGTTTCCCATGAAATCCTCCCGGCGTGCAACCCACAACGGACTTGGCAGACGGCCAAGGTGTGTCAGAAATGGGCCTGGCGTGTCTTGGATGAATTCTTTGAGCAAGGCGACGAGGCGACCCACACGACAGACACGGCGGCTGTGGGGAAACGGTGTAGGTAACAAAGGAGGGTAAAGATGTTTGGATATACATATCTAATCAATTCTAATCACACAAACAGACATATATATATACACACTATATAACTGTATATATATAGATAGATAGAACCTTTATATAATATAATGTAATATACTGTAATATCTAGTTATCTATAAATATCAAATAAATAATAAATAGTTAAATAAATACATACATAACTATATATATATATAGAGGCAAGAATAATTGGGATTATGGGATCAAAACTTCAAGAATCTCTCCTTCTCGTGTCCCACCGCCAGGAGAAGAGTTTGGGTCTCCCCGTGGGCATGCTGAACGACAGAGAAAAGATTAACAGGTGCTACCCCTCTGGGGGGGTCAAGTGTCAGTTTTGAATGTCTTGACTCACATCTTTGCGAAACTTTTTGTTTCTGACATGGGTTTTGTTTCTGGAGTCATCCTGTGCGCAGGTGGAAATCTTATCAGGAAATGGGCAGATGTCTGAACATGTTGTCTGATCCCAAAGCCACTCGTGAAGTCATCATGTTCCCTGGTCAACCGTTGGATGTGCGCTATTTTCAGACAAACCCAACTCACTATCTATATATATATATATATATTACACATATAAATAAATAAATAAATATATATTTATTTGTATATATATATATACATGCATATCCCATTATATCCCCGTATCATTGAATCCCATGAAAATCTACCGTGGAGGCCCGGGTCGCAGCATGGCTTCATTCAGTTCCTAGTGGCTCCCCTGGTCTTCGGCACAGTTGGGAAACCCAGGGGACCGCATCAAAACTGCTGGTGTTTCTTCATGAGATTTCATGGGCTTTAATGGATATTCGTGGGAGCCTATGGGAATGTAATTGGATCATCAAAGGTGGCTGAGAAAACTGGGATGATGATGATGGTGATGATGAAGATGATGATGATGATGGTGGTGGTGGTGGTGGTATATGATGGGTTGATTTAGGATGCTTGGACATGGAAAAATGAACCAATAAATGGGTTACTTAATCAACCAACATGCTGGTGAAATGGAATATAGCTATTTGGTATATGACATAATGGACTAATAAAGAAGGATCAAACAGGTATCATTCTGAAATAGTCATGGTATAACACTGGGATATATACCTATATAACTACAAACATGGGATACTTCGGTAATCAAACATGGCAGGGAATACCACGCACAAAATGGAGGTTAAAGTAGCTTGGAAAATAATCGAACCATACAATGCAAGTTTTGGTTTCTCCGGCAAGCCACACTTGATGGCCTGAGGGTAACCAAGAGTATATGTGGGATTAATCATCACACATATGGGTCAGCTGTTTAATAGTATTTCGATACGAACTCAATCAAGTATCGTAAGTCTGAAGATACATGCGGACCGAAGCAGCTCAACAAAATGTTGGCTATCTCAGATTGGCCATGGATATGAAACAAGCAGAGAGAGATGGCGGGATCACAACTCTGCCCCACAAGAAAGTCATCTCATTGGGACCTGATCCACAGTTTCCGGTGGTGATTTTCGGCCAATTTTTTTTTCCAGCGCTCCATCAAAGTTTCGCTCTACAACGAAATCAGATAGCCTCTGGTAATTTAACATAGCTATTGAAAATGGCCATTTATAGTGGATTTTCCCATTGAACATGGTGATTTTCTATAGTTATGTTAGTTTACCAGAGGGTAGCCTCCTGTAAACTAAGACTTCGATGTGGCTAAAAAAACCCAGCGTTTGTAGATGATTTTTCTGGGGAAACAATGCGGAGAAATCAACGGATGCCAGGTTCGGATCTTCCCTGACCTCCACCCTGCCGGGCCCTTGGTGATCTGATAGTTATCTTGGTTGGGGATTGCAGGAGACCCCATGATTGCAGGTTGCAGGAGCCGGGTTCACAGGCTGCGGTGTGAAATGGTGTCGTTCTGATGTGGTTCTGAATATGGTTCTGACTTTTCCTTGCCGTTTTGCTGCAAATGCTGGATAAAAATGCCTTCCTCCCAAAAGATCGTCAGTGCATTGGCTGTGTTGAATAGCCTATCTCAATAATCCAAATTCATTGCTTGATTTCAAACGTGTTGTTCTGTTCTATCTCCTGAGTTGTGTGGGTAAAACAACTTAAACACTTCATTTTTGACGGGTTGCCTGGGTTGAAAACTCCAATCTTTGCCGGTGAACCTTCAAATTCTATCAGCCTTTTGCTGGGTGAAACAGGGTGAAACTCCTATTCCACTCTATTTTACCCAATTCTTGTGCGCGTGAAACTGACTCACCCCAACTACACCTCAGCATTTCCTGAGGTGTCGACGCAGATGGCTGAGAATCTGGCCCAGTGGAAGACTCTCTGGGTGGAAGATGCACATCCCAATGAGGAGGCCCTTGGGAGGGTTGGACGAGGATGGGGTTGGGGATGGGGGCTGAAGACTAGTTGTTCATCAAGAGCATAGCCTGCCATGGAGGGACAAAAACATGGGTAAATAGTAGGATCAATGGTATGCCGGAGTGGCCTCCAATTTGTTTTCCAAGGGGTGGTGTGGGGAATCGGGGTTGAGGATGGATAAGACACAGTGAGAAGAAAGATAGGGATGCCTTTAGTTACTCTGTGCCAGAGGCCCATAGATGTCTGCCGTATTGAGGGTACCCATAGCCACATCGTTTTGGTCTTACTCAGCGTTTCAACATGGGGCACCCCAAGGATGTGGCGAAGAAGGACGCGGATGTGCAGAAAATCAAGGACATCTCAGCGAGCTTCTGGTAGCCTTGAAGATTTCTGTGGCTGCTGCAGCCATGGCTTTTGGGAGCATGATCCAGCTACTGGCTACTGTACTGGTGGCCTTGCAAAGTGGAAGGGGATATTGTTCTTCCTTTAAGTTATGGGAAATCTTTGGGCTTCCTGTGTTTGGTCTTCCATAATGATTAGGATGTATGCGCGGCCTGCGTTCATCCTGTTCTTCGAACACCAGATACACCAGTGCCCTTTCATGATGTTAATTATACATAATATGATTTAGATTTATATAGTATCAAGAAGCTACTATATATATATATGGCATTATATCTTACTCTAGTATGGCAAACTCAATAAATAAACCATCCCCAACTTGCTTTAGGGCAGGGTATACCCGCCACAGGACCAAGCGATGGAGCTGGAAGCCAGGGTAATGTAGGCGGGCTTCGGTGATTTTTTGAGGGGGCATCTGGTTGGTTGACCATGTTGCAGGAAAAGCCATGGGAATCCACCAATATCATGGTTGTTCTGGGGGTGCGAGCCAGTTTAGCATTTCTGACATTCTCATTGGTTCATGACGCTATTGATATGTATAATAACAACATTAATAATAATGAAAGTATCAATACCAATAGTAATAATAGTAATGGTAATAAATACACACTCGTGCATATGTATGATATAATATATATATATATCACAGGCATGTGCACAACCTTTTCCGATATAGAAAATGAATGAACATGAATGATCCTATTCACCAATACATCTAAATATCATCGTATATTTCTGCATGGGATACATTGATATCTATTCAGAATATTCATTTTATTTAGATTCCATTTCTTATACTGTGTATGGATTATATCAATTATATCCTACAGATGATCCATTCGGGTCCCGTAATTTTCGGGATGGGTCTTGGGACCAATGGGCAGACTGGGAGGCTACCCCATAGAAATCCCCATAGAAATCTCCATCGATTCCCCCACGAGAAAACCATTCATGTCCCATTCATATCCCATACATATCCCTACAATCGCTCCATGAATGACATCCTCATTTTATCCCCATTGTATCCGCTTGAAAAACTCCCATTTTTCTTCGCTCACGTCAGGAGAGTGCCTCCCAAGGAGGCTTTTGGGTCGACAGGGAAGCCTCCAGCTATTCCCAAAAGATCTGGGGCTTTGAACGGCTAAAAACCATGAAAAATGGTGGATTTCACCAGTTTCACCGGGTTTAACCATCAACAATTCTGGCCAAACATGGTTTGTTTTTATATGTTTTTATCATCAAGAATTGGGATCTTTTTTTAGAGATTCAAACCTCAAGCATTGAGATTAAAGATGATTAAAGCATCATGGTAAACAGTCTCCAAAGATGTCGTCCAAGATTCTCCAAGACTCGGAGGATCGTATGATCATGTATGATCCTGCAGGATTTCTTAACCATCCACAGTATCATTAACCGTCATTACCCTCTGGTAATTTAACATAGCTATTGAAAATAGCAATTTATAGTGAGTTTTCCCATTAAAAATAGTGATTTTCCATAGTTTTTTGTATGTTTACCAGAGGGTAACCATCACTAAGCCCATCGAATTTCCCCATCTCCTCTGAGTTGCCATGGGGATGGGATGCCAGCGGTGGGTTTTCGTGGCCATAGCAACTCAATGCAACTCAGAGCGTAAAAGAGTCGTTAGAGGGCCGGAAATCTCCGGACATCATGCAACCAAATTCACCAAATCCAACATGGCATTCACATATTTATAATTATATATATATAATATATTTATTGGGTTTGTATTCCAATTTCCCAGAGGCTGCAAGCATCATGGTAACTCTACTTCCCATGCTTGGAATCCCATCCCAAGATGCCTTGAGAGCCCCGGCCAGGCGCCGAAAAATCCATGCCATGGGCAGTTGCCACGTCAAGAGTGCCACGGATGTTGGGGGGTAGCGGGCCAAGATGGGTCGGGATGGAGATATTGGTGGCATATGGCACAGAATGGCACAGACATGACCTGACTACTGGAATTGAGCTTCCCTGGTTTTCTCCCATTGAACACTGCGCCTGTTTTGCATCTGATCTGGGAGTACAGGGGCCAAACTTGACTTTTGCAGAGGAGAATCCAGCCCTGTCGGAAACAATCTCATGAACTGTTCAAGAAAAAACTTCTCACACATGGTGCTCAATTGGAAAGACTAAAATTTCATTTTTTTTAATTACAAAAAAAACGTGTTCCTAGGTCCTAGCCACAATCCCACCGGACCAATTGCCCCACCAACATCTGGTGACTCCTCCGCAGAATGTGGAGCCGTTGTTTCTTACTGCGCGAACTTGTTCACACCCTGCGACGTGGCTCCAAATTTCCAGCGAAAGCATGCCGAAAAGAGAATCTTTCCAGCAGATAGTTGCCACATGTTGCCACATGGCTTTTTCAAAGAATTTTGGAACCCGCGGTTTCCCCAATGTTCCTCGTAGATCTTCCCGCGGTCAACGGCGACAGTAGCAGCACTTGTTGATTGATGTCCTCCGCATCGGCGAGTCACGCGACGCACCCCCCCCGTCGGCCGTTCCGATCCCAAAGTGCGACGGATGGGCCTTGCAACGAGCTAGTTGCGGTTCGTGCAAAAAGACCGGGGATAGGTTGGGGACCCCAGTTGTAGTTGGCTAATGTTGGCTATATGTTACAAGAAACCCCTGTTGGTTGAGGAATGTTGAGGATTAATTTGGGGATGATACTACTAATTATATCTAATTATATTGAGAAATCATGAGAAATCCACGATCGGAATCCCTATCAGCCAACTATAAAGACTATAAAGGGACAATACAGAAGCGGTGTGATGCTCACTTCGGATCACTTCGGTATCACCTCGAGACCGTGCTCAGTTGGTATGGGGCACCACCCTGTATGGGGTGGGTTGTATTGTTGCCGGGTGTCTCAGAAGCATTCAGAAGCTATTTATCCATTAGCTAAGTTCCATATTCCAGCAATCCCGCTTCGGAGCAATTTCAGCAAGTAGAATGCTAAATACTGGTTTAAAATGAGGGGTTGGTATTTTGATGTATTTGAAGGGATTTCAGATGGTTTCAGATTCTTCTTTCCCAATATGACCCCTCTAATTATGTTTACACACACAGAAATATACATACATACATACATACATACATACATACATACATACATACATACATACATACATACATACATACATACATATATATATATATATATATATGGGGGGGCAGTATGGGGCAAGTATTGGAAGTGATCTTTTGCTGAGACATGCCCACCCTTCCTTTTAGTTCGCAGCCACGGCTCCGAACTGAATCATTCTTCCACTGGTGGGGTGGTGATTCGAATTGGCAGGTCATCGAACTAAATGGGCCATGGCTTCCATAGCAAAGTGTAACAAATTACCGGGGGAGGATATCAGATATCATCACAATTCATCACATATCCCTTGAAAAATCCCACTAGATCTCACGACATACTGTGGATGGAAGAAATCCTGCACCTTGGATGGTTGAAATCCTACAAATAAAGGGAAAAACCACCTATCAACTGACTGATGCAGGATTTCTTCAATTCACGGTATCATTAAATTCCCACTAATTCCCATGGAATCCCAGTAAATTCCCATTATATAAATCCCATGAAAACATCCCTCATGTTCATGCTTAAGTCATGTGAAAAATCGTCATTTTTCCCCTGCCAGCGTGGCTCAAGAGGTGGGTTTTGGGACGGAGGCCCACCTGGCCCAGGTGTCGTAGGCGGGATGCAGTCTGGAAGCTGTAGCTATAAATGGACACAATAAAATACTGTATATATATATAAATATATATATATATATAAATAAACACACACACATAATATACATATATATATATATTATGGAAGTTTCCCAAGTTATAACTGGTACCCCCAGTTATCATCCATTTATAGATGGACTTTCATGTATATATATATATATGTATGCACTATCCAGCTATTGGGGTAGCCATATTAATGGAAGGAAATCCCATATGCGTTGTCAGCCCTTGAAAGATGAGAAAGATTAAACACATAAGGTATACAAAATGACAAACAGACTTACATAAGTAGATATAACCAGAATGCTCCAGATATTACCAAGAGTTGCTCCTCAAAAGACCTTGACTTGCGCTGCGACATGGTCCATTCATGTGATACTGTTCCACCTGGGAATGATAGTCGCTCTAGGCGCCTTCCTATGGACCTTGGAGACCTTGGCCAGGCTGGGAGTCACATGTCATGTGGATCGTGTCACTGCGATCCTCTCTGTTCGGCCTTTCGAGGACACCGACAGATCCTGAAGATGGATGGACAAAGCGGAAGCGGCAGCATGGGCAATGCCGGCGGTGCTGGCGGCGCTGGCGGCGCTGGCGGCGGCTCGAGTGATGGTTGTATGGCCAATGGCTGCCCTGGCTGCGGCATGATGGGCTGTCCCTGCGGTGGCATGGGCTGTGGTTGCGGCATGGGCTGCCCATGCGGTGGCATGGGCTGTCCCTGTGGCGGCATGATGATGCCGATGATGCCAATGATGCCACTGAGTGGCAGGGAGAGAAAGGGAACCTGTATTCTTCCCCAAAGAGTGTAGCCACACTTGGGGTTCTTACGGTAGTGGTTAAGGCCCAGTGTTCAGTCGAGGTGTTCTCACACGTGTGCCACGTGGGTCCCTTTTTTTGATGACCTTTACAGCACAAAAGTTCCTCATCTTCCGTTTTCGATTGCAGTCTCGCACGAAACGGTGGCTCGGAGACCTCGCTTCCGAAGGTCTGGTTTTACTAGCGCGCCGTGCTCATTTTTTGAGTTACGTGGCACTTTCGGGACATTTTGTGGTCTAAAACGTCGTTTTGCGTGATAGGTGCAGGACATCATCTTGTACAGAGATCTTGCTAAGTGGTCTTATAGAGAGCTTCTACAGAGATCTTATAAAGATATCTTGCCAAGAGACCTCTTATAGAGATCTTGTACCGAGATCTTGCCAAGAGGTCTCTTGCAGAGATCTTGCTGGGAGATCTTCCGTGGAGATCTCATATAGACACCCTGTACAGATAGCCTTACAAAGGATCTTGCACGGCAGTTCCTACAGAGAACCTGACCAGGAGATCTTGCACGCGATCTTCTACAGAGATCTTCACAAAGGGAGCTTGCAGAATCTAAACTGGTATATATCTCTTCTTCATGTTTCTTTGCAACGCTGTTTGGGGTCTCTCGCCGGGATAATTTCCAAAAAACCGTTAGGTAAGCACCAACAGACTATACCTCCAGACAACTTTACCAAATCTATCGTATCTCACACGTTAGTCGACCGAGGCCGTCCCCCATGATGATGAATCCGATGATGGGAATGATGGCCGGCATGGCGAGTATGGCCACCATGGCCAAGGCCATGGCCAAGGACCGAGAGCCACCAAGGGCACGTGGAGAAACCAGGGACAATTGGCTTATTTATGCTTATTTATGATCATGTATGGATTATTTGGAGATGATCTAAACGTTGTACATGATCATACCTTTATTTATTGATGTATTATTTATTGAGTATTTTCAAGGATTTCTGAGGGAGCCAGGCCGCAATCTCATCCATTTTCTGTTTCCGATCTTGTTTTATGATAGCGTTGACCAGCCTGGAAGACCTGGGGATTGTGTGGTCGCAGGAGAAGAAGAAGCCGCCAGCGGAACCGGAGAAGAAGGAAGAACCCAAGGACCCAGAGCCTCCGAGGGCGGCAGTTGATGGTTGATGTTGGTAGATGTTGATGATGATATTTGGCGCATTTCTAGAAATATCCTGCAAGAAAATATGGCCCAAAAATGTGAATTGGTGGCACAAGAGAATATCGGAGTGGGAACCCACAAACATAACAGGATGACAGTATGGTTTTCCAAAACCATGTTGAAACCTGGGATCACCCAATCCCAGTTTGCACCGGGATTGGCGCAACAAAGGGTGGAAATCCTCAATAAGGGTTGCTGAATATCTTATCTTCGTGACAGGATTTCACAATATCACACTATGATGAAAAACCATCACGAGGTTGATCCCAAGGCAACAAATCATATCCCAAAGATTTTTCGGTTTTGAAAGATCGGGTCACGTTCTTTGGGTCTCTTGTAAGCCCATCACTGGTTACGTGCAGCATTTCTTGGCAGGTGACGCCCCTAAAAACCCCGAAACATGCAACATCGATGCCAGCCAGGCCCCAGTTTACAACCAATGCCACATTTCCATGCATTTCCATGTCCAATTTCCGAATCAGGAAAATCAACGACAATCATGTTCCAAAGATTCCAAATCAAGATTTGTCACCTGTGTTTGTTTCACATGGTTTTGCCGTGTTTTTTTTTGAGATCTTCCACGTTGCTTTAAGCGTTGCAATTCCCAGCAGCTTCACCTCAGGAGACCACACCTCAGGTGGAGGCCTTCAATCCGGAGGCGGGACACCCTGTGTTGTCATGTGGAACATACCACGTGAACATATCATGGTTATATAATGTTATATAATGTTATATATTAATTAATATATATTATATATTATTCATTTTTTGGAACATCTAAAATTCATGTGGAATGGATGACTAAACTGCCATTTTCTTCTATGACCAAAAGGTGGGAGGATGTGGTGGAAAAAGGGCATGTATACTTTTGAACCCTTCCAAAAAGAGTTAGCGACAGATAGCAGTATCACTATTTCAGTAGGATTGCGGCCAACTTCTATTGTTGAATGGTTGCCACAAAATATCTGGTTGGTGGTTTAGAACATTTTTTATTTTTCCATATATTGGGAATAATCATCCCAACTGACGAAATCATATTTTTCAGAGGGGCAGGGCTCAACCACCAACCAGATATAGTTTCCCCCAAAAATGTCGAATGGAGTTCCCGGGATGGTATATACACCCTCTGGTAAACATACAAAAAACTAGGGAAAGATCCACCATTTTGTAGCTGGGTAAATCATGTAAATCAACTACTTGAAGTATTTCGACTGGCCATGGCTTCAATAGCTTTTTGTATAATTTGATAGTTGATTTTCCATTTGAACAATCCACCATTTTATAGCATTTGTAATGGGTAAATTGGTAAATCAACTAGCTATTTATAGTTGATAGTTGGTTTACCAGAGGTAGAATTGGATGATGGGAAAATTTACAGGAAACCTCCATATTTAATAGTAAAAACCATGGTTTCCTGCAGATTTTCCCTCAATCCAATGACTGGATAGTTGAATGTTTCCCCATCATTTCCCAGACGTTGGGTTTTTTCGGCAGATCGTCTGCGAATCCCATCCCGCCAGGAGCTCCAAAAGCGGCTGCTGATTGCTCAAAGTCAGGCAGTTGAGGCGAGGGACTGGGATGAAGGAGGGAATTACCCTCGGATCATCGTGGTTTCGATGGGAAAATCCATGGGAAAATCCACGAAAAGTGGAGGTTTTCATGGGAAAATGGTCCATAAATGGGCTTCTACTGGGAAAATCATTGAACTAAATGGTGGGTTTTCCGGTAAGCCACGTTTGACACCGGAGGGTATCTATGGGTATGTGAAATGGAGTTTTTGTGATGACCAGACCCATGGAACTGGGAAAATGTCAGGAATCTGTGGGGAAGTTCTTAAAGTTCTTAAAGTGAATAGAAACAATTGGGTGACAGAAAATCAACAATTGGATTTAAATCCCTGGAAAAATATAGTCACCCAATACAAAGGATTTAAATCCCTGGAAAAATCAGGAATTGGGTGACTTTCCATTGCCAGAATATTGCCAGGCTAGAGCAACCTCTGGCTTCTGCATAGATGTTGTACGTGTTCTTGACCACTGGGATGTGCATCCAAGTGCCCTTTGGCACTTGATGGAATGGAGTCTGCAAGCCATGTCTGAGGCAAAACCCAAGCCGAGCGAGCACGAGGAAGCTCGGAAAGAGGCGCGGGCGTCAACTTCGGTGCGATGTTTTTTCCAATGATTTTGCAGGGGTTGGTAAGTGTCCCTTTTTGGGGATTTTGAACATCACCTTCAAATATCTGTTGGAAATTATATCCCCAATACTTGGGTGATGTTCAATTGGGACATTTACCAACCCCTGTTAAACATCAGGACATGTCATAACTTTTCCGCGAGGAGCCGCCGAGCGAGCAGCATTCGGAGAGTGAGGACAGCCACGATGAGGCCTTGATTCTTTTTACGCCGTTGGTCCTTTGTGGTCTGTTCCCAGTATTCCTGTGACCGTTTTACATCATTATACATCATTATACAGGATCATTATTATACATCATTATACACCATCATACATCATTATAACATCATGAAAACATCATTACAACATCATTGTACATGAAACGCATTACTCTGGTAACTCTGGTATCAATAAATGCTAGTAACAAAATCAATTCAGGATGAGTCATCATCACCATGACAAAAAACCGACTAGTAATGTTATGGCAATAGCAATGGTACTGTTTCTCGTCATCATTACTTGTCACCAGTAATCATTGATCACCACCTAGCATTTTGTTACATGTAGTTGTCATTCATATTGTAAAACGTCGTTGAATGACTCATTGTAAATATTCATTATTACATTGTGTTAAAACCCATGGCCTTAATGTAGTATTGATTCTGATAGTCATTGTCATTAATATTTGCATGATATTTCGTTGTTTCTTAATGCGAATAGAGTCACAATTGACGATGACTATTGAACATTATTTATAGCGAAATCAATATTATTATCCACTATCACTATTGTCACTATCACTGTTAGATATTATATAAAATGATCACTTATCATAAGGTATTACTATTATCATTCTCTTTGCTATTAATCATTAGCGGCAGTAATATCTGATAATAAGTGACGATTATATTATCTAATCTTGTCATATAATTGTTGTGAGTGGTAATACTGATCCCTATTGTTCTTATGACCAGTTATGACTAGATTATTGCTATTATGATTATTGTTATTACTGTATTCTTTCTATTACTAATGCTATTATCATGATCAGATATTACACACTATTGTCAGAATACTAATCTTATCATTCTTGTTTTTGTTTAAATCTCAATCAATATAATCACTATTATTAGATACTATCATTCCTATCAATTATTGCCATTACTATTTTTATATCACCATTATTAGCAGATAATATAACATAATATAACCACTATTATTAACAGATACTATCATCACTATTAACTAACATCATTGTCATCATTCGATATCACTTTTATACATATATTTACATATATATATATATCATCACAGTAATAATGATAACATTACTGATTCTTGTTGTGTATATATATATATATATATCATCCTCATCCTCCTCCTCCTCCTCCTCCTGGTCCTTGTCCTTGTCCTTGTCATCCTTGTCATCCTTGTCATCCTTGTCATCCTTGTCATCCTTGTCATCCTTGTCATCCTTGTCGTCCTTGTCATCCTTGTTCTTGTTGTTGTTGTTGTTGTTGTTTCTGATCATCACGACATGTTCCCCTCCGGCGCCTCCAGCCTTGAGGCGAAGGCCCCCGTCGCGGCCGTCGTGCCCTCGGCCGAAGCCGCCGAGGCGGCGGAGGTTGAGAGCGACAGCACGGCGGAGGAGCCGAAGGTGGCCAGCCCGGAGAAGGACCTCGGGGAGGTCAGGGGAAGGACACAAAAATCCAAAAATGAAGGTGAAACCAAATAAAATGGCGGATTTGCGTTGTTTTCATCAATTGAAACAGAGAAAATATGAGGATTTCGTTTGATTTAAGTAAGGACGATAAGACTGAAACAACAAGAATCAAGATTTAAGCACCCAAAACAGGGATTAAAAATTGATTGAGCGGGGGAGGCGTCTATCTGTAATAGGATGATCACTGGGAAATGGTGGGAAAATTGATAGATGTGGGACAATGATAGGAGAAATGCATAGAAATGCGGGATGATGTGAGTTGATCGTAAGGACAGACATTTACCAAGAAAACATATGATTGGGGCGTGGTTTACCCAAAGGTATGGTCCCAGGTATGTTTTCCAATTTGCATCAATTTGCCGATTTGGATTTCTAGGGATACCCCTCCGTTTGGTGGCAATCTTCGATGGGGTTTCCAAAAGGAGCCGAAGCTCTCCTGGCCGGGGCCCCCGCCCAAGACTGATCGCATGGATCCCAGGATGCAGGAGCCGAGATTTTTTCAGGGCACCCAACTTACATGGAGAGTAAACGAATCAGAACTTAAAGGGATATCATGGGAATATTGGGATAATAATATGTTATACTTATACGTTACTAGTGTATCCTAGTCTTATTGGGATATTTAACCCAATGTGAAATAATGTGATACGATAAATTAAATCATGGGAAACGCATGATCAACCATACAATGGATAAATGGCTTTTACCATCATTTTCATCGAAAGCCACATAACATCCCCCCTCCAATCTCCATCGATGTGATAGATGTTTACCTGACTTCAGGTGGACAAACGTCCCAGCGTAGAACAATAATCATCAACTACGTTTCTTGATTTTCTTTGGGGTTACGCTCCGGTAAACTAACATAGCTATTGAAAATGGCCATAGAAATAGTGAGTTTTCCCATTAGAAATGGTGATTTTCCATAGTTATGTTAGTTTACCAGAGGGTACTGCCATTTGTCATTGGAGAAAGGGATAATTAAACCCAACAATAAATCACCCCTAATATCACCATAGATGCGTTGTAACTATCATCCCCAAATGGTCGGTTTATGGCATTGGGTTTGCCACATTTCAGTACATTAAGCAGGGTACAAACATTATATAATTGGATTTACCCTCCGGCAATCAACCGTGGCAAGGGATAATAACCCCCCAGTGAGGATCTTCTCAGCTTAGAAACCACCATTTTCTAGGCGATTCCTCAGCCACAAAGGGTTTGATTACCAGAGGCTACCATTAACGCACTGAATCCCATGAAAAAATATCCCATGACATCGAAAGTTCCGCTGAAACCCATCAGATCCAAACCCATTTTCAAACACGACAGTTCCATGAAACTCCCGATTTTTCATGGTCAAATCCGCCAAAAACACCATCAGGTCCACCAGGTCAGCCGCAGGAGACCCTTCAGAAACTCCAGGCCTTGGGCGGCGAAGAGGAGAAAGCCAAGCGCCTGAAGGCCGCCACCGCAGCAGCTGATGCTTGGGTGGATATGTGCCGCAAGACGTCATCACCTGTATGGTGCATATGTGTATGTATACAAATTGAATAACTATATATATATATATATGTGAGTGTTAACTAAAGATGGATATGTTAATAGATGATTGGTTAACATTTAAAACTATTTTAATTTAATTGAATGCTGATTACTTCGATGTGGTTAAGATTGATATGATTAGTTAAATGTTACTCGTACCCTCTGGCTATTCAACGTAGCTATGGAAAATGGATGAACATGACCCACCTGTAGATGATCTGTAGATGATTTATGATGGTTCACCTATCTAACATGGTGATTTCCTTAGCTACGTTAGATAACCAGAGGTTTAATATGATAATATTGTATATATTATTGATATAACTGCGTTTAGGTCGACCGGGTTTGACATTTTTTCTTTATTGATAGCTTGGGTTTCACCCCAAGTGATCATCCAACTTAGTCTGACTTTCCAAGTTATTCCTTTCCAAACAATCGGGCAACCAATAGCTGTACATGGGATACCCCAATTTTGAGAAGGATGAAGGATGGGGAATAACTCACGTACAACTGGTGTGTGCAGTATGTTGATGAGAATGGTAAGGGGTGAATGAACATGACCCATTGGGATCCCGTGGGGTTTTGCCAGCTGGTTTGAGTTAACATTCTCTGGGGAAACCTTGCATGGGTACTTGAGCACCTTAAGTATACAAGCCAAATCAAGCCAACTTTTTTTTAAAAAAAAATCTGGCAGGGTATCTAAGATTGGCCGTGTATTGGGTGCCCATATTTGACGCAAAATTCAAGAGACTTGGGTTTTCCAGTTTCAGCCCGGGCTGCTGGAGTCCTGGTGGCCACTGCTGAAACACATCTGGCTGTAGCAAGCCGCAATGAAAATCCTTGACCAAGGAATCAACGAGCCATTGTGTTGACGCGAAATCCATCAGCTACATGTACAAGTTTGTACAAGTTTGTACAAGTTTGTACAAGTATAGTTTGCACATTCACCTCAAGCGTATAGTCCTGGAGACATAGGTACAGATATAGATATACAAAATATAGTATATATATATTATATTGATATGGATAGGTGATGATAGATAGATGTATCTATGGGTAGGATATAGGCAAGACATATTATTGTACACATCATTTTCACACACATACATAAAATTATGTATATATATATGGAAAAAAAACATGTATACATACCACTTAAGATGGTGATTTTTGCACTTGTTGAACCACGTTGAAGCCCGTGATCTCAGCTCCCCCAGGAAGAGATCACCATGTCTCTGGAGCGCAAGGGCGTCAGCGACCCCGCCGCCGACGCCCCGGCCGTGCCGGCGGCGCCGGCGGCGCCGGCGGAAGTGGCGCCTCCAGAGCCTTCACCGCCACCGGAGGAAGCGGCGCCACCGGAGCCGGAGGAGAAGGAGGAGGAAGAGAAGGCGGAAACTTGGGAATGAATACCTCTGGTAAACATACAAAAAACTATGGAAAATCACCATTTTTAATGGGGAAACTCACTATAAATGGTCATTTTCAATAGCTACGTTAAATTACCAGAGGGTAATAATAATTAATCATTATTGATGATCATCATATAAGACTTGATCATCTTTATTTGATCATAATAGATAAATGATCATCAATCATGATTAACATTGATTAACCATCAATCATGATTGATAAACAGGTGATTAACCGATTTGATCAGAATAAATGATGAACCATCAACAATGATTAATAATCAATGAGGATTAATCATCAATCAAAGGTTATAAACTACAGTAAACCAATCAACCATCCAGCTATAATATTCGCTAATCCTTCATTCAGCACCACAAATCATTAATTACTGTAGCCATCTAATTAGTTGAGGATATGCATGTTTGAATTATTGATACCATCTGACTATCAAACATGATTTTTACACAGCAGTCAGGATATCGGGCTCGGTCACACATGTTACGAAAAACCTTGCATTTTATTGTCAGGTATGTTTGAACAATATTGAACAATACGTTTTCAAAGGCTTAGGGAAACTGACAATCCCCCAGAGTTAAGGCCACATTTGGTTAAAGGGTGACCTTACCATCCCTGAAAATTGGGACTTTCCCATGGGCCATAGACCGGCCAAGTGATCGATCGGGATCGCGGATCATGGAGTCTTGAGGATGACAAGATGGCCATTGTGATCCACTGGAGCAGCATCAGGGGCTTCGGCATTTTGCGCTCGCAAGTCCACGGGGAGGCTGCGGTGCTGCGGCATGTTTGTGCAGCATGGTTCGAAGATGTTTGAAGTAGGGAACTGCCTACATTTTAAGAAGATTGGATGATAACTAGTAACTACTTATAGATCTTCTTGGACTTGTCATTAGTTCTACACATACTACACACTATTTTGAAACGGCTCTCCGCTGGCACAGGTGGCATTTCAGGGTGCCTCCCTGGTGAACGTGAAGGAAATGGCCGTGGGAGACATGGTCAGCTTCGACTTGGGCTTTGACCAAAAGAAAAACCGACCCGAGGCGATCAACATCAACAAGGCGCCAGCAGAATTTTTGCGATGTCGAAAACTCGAAAACTGGATGTCTCCCGTCTCCCGCCCGTTTTTTCTTTTAAAGAGTGCCTTTCGGATGTGAATTATTAAGCAATATTAAGTAACTATGAACCTTTGAACGTTCAGTGTACCAAGGATTATGTATATAGATAACCAAGAACTGTAAACTGGAGGATTCTTGGGGTTCATAGGAGCATCAAACGTGAGGTGGGTGCGGCTCCTGGTGAAGTAGTGGGAACGTCCACCAGTTCCAACCAGAAGTCCTCAGAGGAGGGGAAGGTGAAGAATCTGGGCCTGGAACAAAATTGGGGGTTCGACTGCTAGACTCAGAATCCGCGATTTGGGAGCTACTTGTAGGGAGCTACTTGTAGGGAGCTATGGTTGTAGTTGTATCCATATATCATGTTCATTCATATTCCTTATGAGTCATATGAGTTATGGGGAGAGCCAAAGGGCGAAGAGTTGGGTTTCCCGACCATCATGAAGAACCAGATGATTGTTGACGAGATGATCAGCCATGCTCAGCTTGTTTTTGGGTGACAAAAAAACCCGTGAAGTTCTTTTGGAGATCTACCCTGCCCAAAAAAATGAACATGAACCATGGACATCATGGACACATGAAATTGGTAGAGTCCTAAGATCTTCCATTTTGAGATTTTTGAGGGTGTACTTGGGCATGATTTTCTCCCCAAACGTTGCCCAGAGATGCCCAGTGAGTAGCCATCATATGACAGCAATGGGTGCCGCAGCATGGACGCGCTTAGCGCTCCGGAAAATCTGAGGAAACGATCGTCCAGCGAGGCGGAGAAGGCAAAGGAAAAAGAGAGCAAGGACCGTATTTTTTCTGAGTTCGGTGATGATGTTATTTGGTATAATGGTATAACCCTGGCACAACCATGGCATAACAATGGGATAACCATGGCATAACAATGGTATAACCATGGTATAACATGGTTATTTGAGTTTGTCTGTAGACTGTAATAGACTCTACACCAATTGATGGCAGTTTTTTTTTGGGCGAATAGGATGAACCAGTAGAATTGGGGCAACATATCTCATACACTATCATATATGTCAAATTATTGTGCAAATCCGTTTGTTGGTTATTGGAGGAGCGAAATTTTAAGTGTTGGAAGATTGAATCCAAACATGGCCATTTCCAACCGGTCAATCATGATCGAATTTCATGTTTGTCGCCATTGTTCCCTACGAAAAAATTGTTATTTTGGGGTAATAGTATGGTATAATGGCATAACCATGGCATAACCATGGTATAACCATGGTATAACCATGGCATAACCATGGTATAACCATGGTATAACCATGGTATAACCATGGTATAACCCATTTTTGGACAGCCTTCTGTGCCATCTGCCAGGACAGAGGCGGAAAGAAGGCGAAATCTCGTGCCTCGGAACTGCAGTTGCTGAGTTACTGACCTTCGAGACGCTAAATTATGGTAACTAGTTGAACCGAGGTGAGAAGTGATATTCTATGACTATATGATTTTCTAAGAATATGGATATTGCCATTATATATATATTATACACATGTAATTACATGTAATTATATGCAATTATCTGTAGTTATGGTGATTAGTGAGGTTCCTACTTGTCAAATGATTGGTCAAAGGGAGATCTTTTGTCGAGAGATGGAAGGCAATCATCAAGCAGTACAGGAAAGTGAGTTCTATGTGTACTTTCAGAGATGGAAGTCCTGCAAGTATTAGAACCTCTTTGGCATGATGATTTTAATTGAATAGATCTTTTTGTCTCTGTTTCTCCTATTCTCTCTCTCTCTCTCTGTCTATGCATATATATATATATATATTCGCAGTATAGTCCAGTATAGTAGATATATATTATCTATGTGGTAAATCCAATTCCGTCCACCATTCCCAATTCACCATTTTTATGGCTGGCATGTTTTTAAGGCATCGATCCTTTTTCGCTTCCGAGGCTCGCGCCGGCGCCGGTCCAGCAGCAGTTCGTCCTCGAGCTCCGAGAGCCGCAAGAAGCGAAGGAAAAAGAGCCGCTCCAAGCGCCGGAGAAGATGAGGTGCCTGGGGAGTCCCTGCGGAGTCCCTGCGGAGCCTGCGGATAGGGATGGTCCCCACCAGGATCTTAGATAAGATGGTGATCTTATTGGATTCGATGATAAGGGGGTTGGCTGATCCAGGACAAGAGGATGGTCACCATTTGTGATGGAGAATCCCACAGATGTTTAGACGCTTAAATCAAGAAAACTGGAGGTCCGCGAAGAAGACACTGGCAACTTGCTTCAGCCCCAACTGATCGAAAACTTGGCCCATTGGATGGTCATGGTTTTGTCAAATCATGTCCAGCCGTGGCTTCCGAAAAGGTCTTGAGCTGACCTATATCCTTTAGATCTTTGGTTGACCAAACCCGCCCATTTTCCCCAAAGGACCCCGTTGTTCCAATCCCAACTGCGAAGCTCTGGCAGGTCGTACCCCGCTGCGCATGCCGCGCCAGCCGCGGGCAAATGTTGGGCAATAGAGGTGTTACTGTAAGGCAGCAGCGACAGCTGGTGGTGAGAAAAAGTGTGCAGCAGAAGACCGGTTCTACTTTTGCAAGCGGCATGATGATGATTACTGTTATTATCATTGCTATTATTGTTATTGTTGTTGTTATGATTAAATTAATATTAATTTGAACCCTGTGCACCCACGTGGACAATACCAAAACTTAGTTTGATGCTGCAAAGATGGTGAGCCAAGTTTCGAATTGTTAGTATGATTTGGGAATGACGACCGGATGAAGCCAGAGAGATCAGACAGTAATTGTCCATCGTACGGCAATCCTCGTTCAATTCGACATCATATGTACGTGCAAACGTTTGCAACTTGTCGGCATGAGACAGCCCCGGATGGAATTCAACAACAGCATCATGCGTGCTGGAAACATTTTCCTTCCTCACAGCTTCTTAGATCATTTGGTCTCGAATCTAACATATTCATTACATATTCGTTGCTAAATAGTATCCAGATTCTAGATCTACTTAGATGCACGGAAGATGAAGGGTGATGTTTAGATTGGACCGGCAGATCGTCTTGGATCCCATTGGCTCAGAGATGTGGATGACCTACATGTGGCCACAGCTGGCTATCATGGATCCACAAGAACCCCATTCGGTTTACAGAGGTAAAGGAAGGTACAAAAGGGTGATTGGTGCAAGGGTATGCCATTGGCATCTCAAAAAAAATCAGGTGATTCGGTGTCTCATGAAAAGTTCCAGCCTATCCCCACAAAAAGCATGCCGGTTCCAAGGTGACAAGTGATAGTCCAGGTTGTGGGCGTTTGCCCACAGCATCAACGTAAACCTACATGTGAGAGCCCCCACTGGACAGCCACAGCGACCGCATGGACGGAGCAAAGTTTCTCCCGGACTGCGGATGGCTGAACTTGTCAGTTGCTGATTCCCGTTGCTCGGCGACCGCGGTCGGATCAGAGGGCTGAACACGGGGCTCAAATCATCTAAAGCTCACTGCCACAACAATGCACACCCAAAATTGAGCTGTATTCCTGGCCACTGGGGTACAATTTCTGATGGTTTCAGATCAACACAGAAGGATCAGAAGGATCAGAAGGTGATTTTAGCATGTTTCAAGCACATGCTTGACCCATATGTGGAAGGCACCCAGCCACCCATGCTGGCCATGAAACCCAGGTTCCACCATGCCATGCCAGCAGTTGGTGATGCTGTGGTGGTGCAGGGTCTACCTGCATGTCAAGGATTCAATGGACGCAGGAGCCGACGGGGTAGCGGTGGTGCAGAGGCAGTAGCCTGGTGGGCTTACCCTCCTGGGTACTTCATGAATTTGGGGCATGTGTTTTTTTTTTTGGGGGGGAGCTTTGAGGGCGACTATGACTATGAGCCCTCCGATTTCAACTTTGGGGTTTATGATGTGACCATGAGTTTTTATGTGTGGCCTTTTGTTCATCCATAGCTGGCGAATGGATGTTCATCATGTTCATCCTTCCAAATATGGGTATACACATGTATACACATGTATATACACATAACTGGTTTCGATACATCCCAATTGATGGTTTTTGATCATCTGTTTGTTAGATCCGCGCCCTCCAGGGGCCGCGTGGAGCAGGCTTCCGGCGAGACGTTGCTGGACTCAGTCAGGGTGAAAAGCATGTCTTAGCGAACAGGGAGGAAGGACTGATGAGGATCATCTAGGTCAATCTTAGATGGGTACTTTAATCCTCTAGCCTTTTGGCATCCATGGGACTATCTACTAACCACTAAGAACTTGATTTTTGCAGGGTATCCAAGATTGGCACGATGATGATGATGATGATGATGATGATGATGATGATGAGTATGAGGATGAGCTGAACACCAAGAACAAGTTTACCCTGGTTTCAGCCAAGAAGTTGGGGCTGGTATTGAAAGTTGGGGAAATAAGTGGGGTGACTGAACCAACAAAAACACACACCGCACTTGGCCATTGGACCCCCTGGATGCCTGGTCCGCTGAAAACATGTTTTCCAACAAATCTCTGCGATCTGGAGAATGAGTCCAATTTACATATAGTTTTTGGATGTTTTTGGGTGTTTTTGGGCCATTGAGGTTGGTTCCCCTTCACGTCATGATCAGGCCTGCTTCTCATATCTATCATACTTTGCGTATAGAGTCTACGCATCATAGTTCACTTGATATATCCCCACAAACATGTTCAGAGAGTTTTGTTTTGGTGGTTTCCATGGTTTTCCATGTCAATCATGTGAGCTTTAACGGGGTTCCGTTCTCTTTCCATTACCGGCGGTCAGGGCCCCAAAATCGCACTGGCCCAGGTACCAAGTACGACTCTCTGGTGGCCTGCGCGTGCAGGTGACCGTGAACCACGCTGTGATTCGAATGATTAGCAAAGGGTTTCAGATTTTAAGCATTGGAATAATCTAAATAGTACTCCATAGCAATGTAAATAGTACTCCATAGATCTCATATTACACGCACAATTATATATATATATACACATACAACCATCCATATATACACAACCATCCGCAACCTTTTTACTTCCTGATTGTTTGAGCTGGGGGCACCCCACAATCTCAGCTCACTTGCGCCGCTCGCGCATTCAATCAGCCAGTAGGTCCTAGCGAGCAATCTGTCTGCCGCGGAGGCAGGGTTGGTCCTTGGGAAACTCCGGAAACTCCCATAAAGATCATTAAAGATCCATAAATTGGGGGGATGTTCCCAGTTGATGGCAAGAACTCATCAGCGTTTTGTCACCTTTCACCATGAGGTGCTTATATTTTTTTATGGGCGTATAGTGGATAATTAAGAGAGATTAAACACATTTAAGACCAGCAATCCCAAAAGAAGTCCAGGGGACCCCCACCTCCCTCCCAAAGCGTAGGGTGATTTTTTTTTGAACAAAATTGGGTGCCAATGTGTTCCGTTGGATATACGCACTCTAGATTCCCATCCTGTCATTCTTGGGCTGGCAGCGGGATTGTTATGTCACCAGCCTGTCTTGGGGAGCAAAGTGCAGAGATGAACTAGGTGGGGAGAGTTTCAAACGCCACTCAAAATCGCTTGGTGTTTTTTTTTTCCAGACCCTCCAGCAAGCTAGCATAGCTATATATAGCTATGGAACACACATCATTAACATCCATTAAAACCATATTTAGATCGCTGATGTACCATTATTTCCCTATGAAAACTGGTGGATTTTCCCAGGTGCCCTACGGGGACGGCTCGGCTGCGGACAGCACAGACAGCACGGACACAAGCGACGAGGTGGGGGGAGCTTGAAATCATCAATAATCCCATCACCCTAATATTAAACACCCCATAAATGGTCACAATTATGTGGAAATTCCCTACTAAACCATGGTTTCGTTTAGGGGCTGTTTAGTATTAGGGGGAAGGGATTATCAATGGAAACTGCGTGTCAGAATTTCATGCATCCCTATTTATCCAATTCTCAAATGGAAATACTTCCACTTTTGCTTTGACTACTACCCAACGGGTGTAGTCCAGACTACTACCCTCCGGGTGTAGTCTAGGAATCTTGAAGAACCTGCATCTGGGCCGGACCGAAGCCCTTTAGATGTCAAGTGGCACAAAGGTGCGTCAGCTGGCAGCGAGGTGGCTGCTTGGAGTTTTGGGGAAACTTGGTTTTGTTTTTTGGGTTGAAACATTCTTTTTCCGGTTGGAGTCGAGATCTCAGTTGCTGTTCAGGGTTCCAGGACGGTTCACTTGTTGGCATTGGGAGGCTTCAGGAAACACAGGTTATGAGCCCAAGGAGCTTGTGTAAACCCCCAAAGACTTCTGACATGATGCGTAGACGTAGACCGGATGGCGGCGCTGTCGATGGATCTGGCGCTGAGCAGATGATGGCAGCTGGCGCTGAGCAGATGGCGGCAGCTGGCGCTGAGCAGATGGCAGCTGGCTGAGCAGATGGCAGCGGCTGGCGCGGTGCAAGCGGCGGCAGCTGGTGATCGGCAGATGGCGGCTGCGGGCGCTGAAGGCGATGCAGCACAGGCGCTTGGGGCGAGAGGAGATGCAGCTGAGAGAGGCCTGGAACTGGTTGGACAAGAACTTGTACCAGCTTCTCAAGCCTTGGCCTTGAGGACACCGGATGGGTTGGAGAAAGGGCGAGGGTCAGACGCTGCAAAGGGCTCTAGGTCACCAAGGGCAGCCACAGAACCAGTTAGCCAGGGTCAGAAGTCAAAGGAGGGTTCAGTCAGAGGCCAAAAAGGAACCCCAAAAGAAATAGAATCAGAGAAGCGTCAAGAGATGGCAACACCTAGTGGACAGCCAGTTTCACTAGGTCCCCATTCCTTTGTGACACCAGAGGGACAGGTCCAAAGTATGTTGCCACTTTTTTCACCAGAGCAGACGGTGAAACTTCATGAGATCCACCAGATGCCTTTTGCATCGCCTGCGGCTTCATGGAATGGTCCTGCGGTTGGAGAACATGGACACGGGGGAGCTGAGCGACAAGCAGTTCCAGGTTGGTTCACAGGGTTGCTTCAATCAGTAGGATCTCAGCAAGGTGAACATGAGGCGAGGCAAAGGGATTACATGTGGAGAATGCAAGTTGAGCATGGCATAGAACATCTAGGGGTTCAGTTGCGTGCGGCACAGCATGAAAACCAAAGACTTCGTCAAGAGCGTCAAGAGTTGTTGGAAGCCTTGGAAAAGAAGGGATCGTCGAGGTTTACCACACCAGATGACAAAGCAGCCAACATGTTGAAAAAGGAGGAAGGGGCAGAGTCCCGGCAAGAAAGACCTTCCAAGGAGGAAGGGGCAGGTGCCCGGCAAGGAACACCTTCTAAGGAGGAAGGGGCAGAGGCCCGGCAAGACAGATCTTCTCAGGAGGATGGGGCAGAAGCCCGGCAAGAACAGTCAGAGAGCGATTCGTCTTCTGAGGAGCCGCAAAGAGCAAGCAGGCCAAAGGAGAGCGTTGACAAGCAGTCCATGAGGATCATGCTCAAGTTGATGGAGGGCATGCAGGAGCTTCAGAAACAGATTGCGATCTCCAAGGAGGAAGGAAAAGGTGATGAGATTGAAGTGGTGCGCTATGTGGCGGATCTCCCAAAACTTGCTGAATGGAATCCGGAGACGGCGCCCATCGATTTTGGTGATTGGGTGATTTGTCTGCATCCTCATATGGCAGACTTGAGCTCAACGAGTGAGATGTGGTGGGACTTGACCCTCTCAACAGCGAGGACTTGGTATGATCACCACATGAAGCTATCGCCAATTGAGAGGTTGACGAGCACACCAAGGCCTACACCAGAGTTGCAGCAGAAGAAGTGGTCCCGGCTGGAAAGAAGGGCTTCGTCCTTGCTCTTGAATGCGTTGCCGCAGACGATGAAAGAGGAGGTGATTGCGGCGAAGTCCATCACAGCTTTGGGCATTTTGTCTCGTGCGATGCTGCAGTTTCAACCTGGAGGGCTGACAGAGAGAAGCGCTATTTTGACGGCGCTGGAAGCACCTATGGAAGCTGCAACCGTGGGTTCAGCCATCCAACAGCTGAGACGTTGGATGAGATGGAAGCGCCGGGCCCTTGAAGTTGGAGTTTCAATTCCAGACAGTTCAATTTTGATGAAGGGATTGGGACGTTTGGTGAGGAAAATTGTTTCCAGTTACCCAGATCTCAACTTCCGCTTGTCGTTGGTCAAGAGCTCATTGTTGGTGTAGACAGTTCCAACCTTGGAGACAGTGACCCAGTACAGCGAACACCTTCTTGCAGAGCTGGAGCAGATGGGACAGCAGGCAAAAAGGAAGGAAGTGATGGCAGAGAGCCAGCCAAAGGTGAAGAAGTTTGAGGAAGCCTCGGGAAGCAAGCCTGAAGAAAGGACCAGGCCGAAGGGGAAGCCTCAAGAGGAGTTTGAAGGGAGGAGGAAACCATGTAGGTTTTACCTCACAGACTCAGGTTGCCGAAGAGGTAGAGGATGTCCTTTCGGACACCAGTTGGATGGAGAAAGAAGGTGTTGGACATGTGGAGGAAAGGACCATATGGCCACAGCCTGTCCGACCACAGAGGAGTCCAAGCCGAAGGCAGCAAAGTTTGGTTCCAAGACCCCAGAGAAGGATGTGAAGTCCGCTACAACATCTCCTGAAAAGTCCGAGGAGCAGTCTGAGGCCACGGGTAATGGAGGAGAAGAAACTATCAAAGAAAAGAGACAGAAAGGGGAGGACGCACAAGAAAGGATCTTGGGCCTGCAGAAGCAGCTGGATGAGCTCAAGAAGGCTTCTATGCGACCCTTTCGCATCTCCAAGTTGTGCCCAATGGTGAACAAGGGCTTACTGGACTCAGGGGCAACACACCCTTTGCGAGCCAAAAGAAAGGGAGAACGTCTTCACCATCTACCAAAGGTCAAGGTGACGCTGGCAGGTGACAAGGAGATCTATATGGCACTCACTCCAACGGGAGTCATTGTGGGCGAAGAAGGCACGGAGCCCATAGTGCCCATGGGATTGCTGACTGCAGTCCTTGGATGTGAAATCTCATGGAAGCCAGAAGGTCTTCAGGTGGTGCACCCAGTGCTTGGCAAAGTTGGAGGTGGTGGTTGAAGCTGGATGTCCAATGGTATCACAGTCCACGGCCATGAAGCTCATCGAGGAGATTGAGGCCAAGGCCGTGAAGGTTGTGAAAAGTTTGAAAACGGGGGAGGACTCAGAAGAGGCATGGTTGAGAAGGTTGGTTGATGAACACCCAGCTCTTCAAGGAATCCCTGAGGAGGTAAAGAGAAGCTTGGTGGAGAAGCCTGCAACGGACATCCTACCGTTGGGAAACAGAAGAAGAAGGAAACTTTGGAGGGCGAAGGGTATGATGATTCACGCCTTTTCGGGAAAGAATGAAGGCTACACATTGGGAAGGGCTTTTCATGAGATTGGAGGTGATCGTCGATTGATGTATGAGTTTGACATCACCCATGGAAAGCCTGAAGCAGATCTTTCACCTGAAGGTGAGGCCTACCCGCTCTTGTTGAGGGCAGCTTTGGATGGATTGGTGAAGGGTTGGATAGCCGGGCCACCATGCAGGACCAGATCGGTTCTCAGACATCTTGAAGTTCCGGGGGAAGCCATGCCGAGGCCCCTGAGAAGTTGGAATGGAGGGGAGTTTGGCATAGAAGGGCTTTCGAACTTTGAGAAAGAGCAGGTCACCTTGGATGACACGTTGCTCATGCGGTTTTTGGTTCTCTACATTGTGTCAGAGACGGTGCGCAGAGCAGCTGGGCTAGAGACACCCACCACTTTGATCCTGGAGCAGCCTGCCTCACCTGAGCACAAGCCTGAAGTGGTGTCGCTTTGGAGAACACCTCAATGGAAGAGCTTGGCCGAGATCTATGAGCTGCAGACCCAGCGTTTTGACCAGTCAGAGTTTGGGGCCATAGCTACAAAGCCAACGACTATAGGAGGAAATCTGCCACTTCAAGTACCACTTCAAGGAAAGAAAGGGCAACCACGTGATGTCTCTGGAATGACCAAGGCAGAGATCTGCGAATCGTCCAGGAGATTGTCACGGTGGCCACCCTTGATGATGAGGTCCATTGCTGTTGCTCTCCAAACCTGCACCATGGGCGAAGAGGTCAAGTTACGGGCAGTTTCATGGCAGGAGCACATTGCAGCAGGCCATACTCCTTTTAGAAGAGATTGCAGAGTGTGCCAAGAGGCCTGTGCGCGTGATGCTCATCATCGGCGGCAGAAATTGCCACCAAAGGCGGGTGTCCTTAGTGTGGACATCTCAGGACCTTTCAAAGAAGCACCTGATTTGCAGAAGAAGAAGGCGAAGTATCTCCTGGTAGCCAGCTTCACTTGGACAGCCAGGAACCAAGATGGAGAGGAGGAGGTTGAGGAGATACCTGAAGTTCCCCCAGATGCGCCGGAGATTGAGGATCCAGAAGCAGAGGAGGAGCTACAGCAGATTGCAGATCAGGTTGAAAACCCAGAAGAAGGCCCAAAGGAGGACACATCAGAGGAGCTTGAAGAAAGAAAGCCGGTGAGGATTGAGGTCACCAAGCTTTGCGAGCCTTTGGCATCAAGGAGCCAAGAGGATGTGTCCAGGGCGATCATCAACATGTACATGCGTCTGAGAGCAGACGGGTATCGAGTGACACAGCTGCATAGCGACAGAGGAGCTGAGTTCAGATCGAGGATTTTGAAAAAATGGTGCCTGTCACGCACCATCCTTCAGACGTTTACGCCTGGGGATCAGCCCCAAATGAATGGACGTTGTGAAGCGATTGTCCAGCACATCAAGGCAGCCATCAGGCGGACACTTCACGGAGCTGAAGCACCTTTTGATCGCTGGCCAATTGCAGCTCGCTTCATCAATGAGAAGTTGCGACAGAAGCAGGTTAACAAGGAGAAAAAGACACCGCCTTTTTTGGCGCAAGTTTTGGTCAGAAAGAGGTTTTGGAGATCACGAGAACTGGAACCAACACAGGAGAAGGTCACTTACCTATGTCCTTCTTGTGTTCATCATGGGCATTGGATTGAAAGGGCAGATGGAACTCAGGCGCTGACGAAGATGGTCATGCAGGGCTTGAGTGAACCACCAAAGTTGGAGGATTGGATTGGAGTTGAAGATGCCTTGAACCCAATCGAAGAGAGGAGAAGAATCAGACACAAAGCGTCCATATACATGCTGGAGGTTGAGGACGCCGCGGAAGCAGATGAACTTGAGAACCAAGAAGGAGATGGCAGATCACCAAGTTTTGAGGAGGAAGAAAAGGATGCATGGGCCAAGAAACAAAGGGTCCAACGTTTGATAGAGGAGGAGATGGTTGAGGCCATGGAAGATGATGAGAAAGTTGCTGGCATGGTGCTGGATTCCATCACCATGGTCAAAGAGTTGATTGGACCTGAGAAAGGAGAAGAAGTTTTGCAGACACGCATTGTGTCACAAGCTGAAGTTCGCCGTTCCATTGAGGTTTGGAGGCCATCCATCGAGAAAGAGCTGACCTCCTTGTTTGAGACGAAAGGGGCGCTGAGAAAGATCACAGAAGCTGAGGTGAAGAAGCTGCTTGACGAAGATCGAGCAGAACTTATCCCTAGCAAGCTGGTCTTCACAGTCAAGCCAGATCAGATCAACAAGGGTGGCAAGAAAAAGACACGATTGTGGGAACTTCTCAGAAAGAGAAGAAGGGCAAGATCTCTTTGCAGGCGGAGCATCGGCAGTGGCACTTCGAGCTGCATTGACGGTGGCATCACAATTTGGTTTTGAAGGGAGCGTCATGGATGTGAGGACAGCATTTTTAAATGCTCCAATGGTTTTGTCCGGGTCAAAGGATGAGAATGGGAAGAAGATGGAGCCTAGAAGAGCCATCATCCGCCCTCCTGCTCTTCTCATTTTGGCTGGATTGGCCAAGCCAGACGAATTCTACGAGGTCATCATGGCCCTCTACGGCTACAAGGAGTCACCCAAATTGTGGTCAGACTACCGTGATCAGGAGATTGCAAAGATGGAGTTACCATGCGAGGGTGGCATTTTGACCTTGCAGCAAATGATCACGGAGCCAAACATGTGGAGAATGATGCTGAAGCAACCAGGTCCCAACTTGCAGACGAATGAGGAAGAGTTTGTGGGACTACTTTTGGTCTATGTGGATGATCTTCTGGTCCTTGGTTTTCCCTCATCATCGCTGCAGTCATTCAAGGGGTGCAGGCGAAATGGGAGACATCGGAGCCAGAGACCATCAACATGCAGAAGGAGGTGAGATTTTTGGGCGCGGAGCTATGGAGAAGAGAAGATGGAGCCTGGTTGATGACGCAGACAAACTACATCAAGGACTTGCTGAAAAGAAATCTTGGAGCAGATCCCACTACGTGGCCGACTAGAAAGATTCCTTTGGTGAAGGAGCCCGAGGTCATTGAAGGTGAGGAGAAGACTCCAATGGCAGTCAAAGAAGCCCAGCGAGTCATTGGTGAATTGGTTTGGATCACTGCCAGGTCCAGGCCTGATTTGGCTTTCACTGTCTCCAAGCTGGCGTCATTGATCACAAAGTCACCTATGCAGGTTGTGCAGTTGGTGAAACCAGTGTGGTACTCTTTGGCAGCCACCATGGACCAAGGTTTGATTTTTCAGAACAACATGGGCGAGAAGCAGCTCAATGTGTACACGGATGCATCATATAGCGATATCTCATTTGGATGCCATTTGATCCTTTGGGGATCGTCGCTGTTGCTCTGGAAGGCTGGCAAGCAGCCCATTCAAGCTGCATCGACGGCCGAGGCCGAACTTGTGGAGGTGCTTGAAGGAGCATTGGCGGGAGATGCTGTCAAGGTCGTTTTGGAGGAGGCATTGGATGTTTGTGCTAGGTCATTTTCCTACACAGACAGCTCAGCGGCATTAGCCATCATTGCCGGAGATACTGGATCTTGGCGGACACGCCATTTGCGGAAAAGGGCCTTCATTTTGCGCTCAAGAGTTTTGTCTGGGGAATGGATGCTCCGGCATTTGCCTGGAGCTGAGATGCCAGCTGACCTGGGCACCAAAGTTTTATCGGTGCAGAAGTTCAACCAGCACAAAGAAACCATGGGCATGTTTTTGGAAGGTTGGAAAGTTTTGGAAAAGATAGAAGACGGAGAACAGAATGAAACCACTTTTGGGATGACACAAGAAGCACGTGAGAAAGCGTTGAAGATCATCATTTTGGTGACAAAATTGGCGCTTGCAGGAGCATCGAATGAGGAGAAAAAAGATATTTCAAATGCTTTGGTCATTCAAGACCTCAATCCAGTTTTGCAGCAGAGAGACGGTCAGTTTTATTTCATCATGTTTGTGGCTGTGATCCTTTTTGCCGGTTTCATCATTGGAGCATGCGTCATGGGCATTTTCATGTGGCACAGAGTTGACAAGCTCACTGTTGTCAAATACAAAGGTTCATTGCTGAACGTGCCTGCGTTTTTGTGGCATGCGCCAGAAAGAGATGAGGATGAAAGAAATCAGCAGCAACGTGATCCAACTGTCAGGCCAAATTGGTTGCCTTCTACGGCTGCTGGCGCTGCGGGCGCTTCACCTACGGCTGCTGGCCGTGCTGCTGGCGCTGCGGGCGCTGGATCTGCGGCTGCTGGCGCTGCAGGCGCTTCATCTACGGCTGCTGGCCGTGCTGCTGGCGCTGCAGGCGCTTCATCTACGGCTGCTGGCCGTGCTGCTGGGGCTGCGGGCGCTTCATCTAGTGCTGCTGGCCGTGCTGCTGGCGCTGCGGGCACTTCATCTACGGCTGCTGGCTGTGCTGCTGACGCTGCTGGCGATGGAAATACGGCTGCTGGCCGTGCTGCGGGCGCTGCATCCACAGCTGCTGGCAGTGCTGATGGCGCTCCAAGAAGTTATGGAGCAGCTGGCATTCCTAGCGCTGCAGCTGGCGCGGCAGATGGCGGCGCAGCGGCGCGTGAGCCGGCGAACATGTTGAGATCAAGAGGATCTCGTTCCCAAAGAGGACCAAAACCCCTTTTCACCACGCCATTTGGTGGAAGATACCACTGTGACCGTGAATGCCATGGTCTTAGGCATGCCAAGGAAGTTTGTCTGACGCCACGATGTCACAGATGTGGCCCACAGTCAGACGTTCCCCAACATAGGCTGTATGCGATCTCACATGGATATGCACTTCATGTTGATTATGAGCATTGTCGTGATGCGAGATCCAATGGTCCACTTCGGGCCTTCAATCCATGTGCGATTTGCTGCACTGCAGATGATAGACTTGTTTAGAGGGCTTGAGCTGAATATGTGGTCAGTGGAACTGATCACATAGGGGGAGTGCGTGTGAGAATTTCATGCATCCCTATTTATCCAATTCTCAAATGGAAATACTTCCACTTTTGCTTTGACTACTACCCAACGGGTGTAGTCCAGACTACTACCCTCCGGGTGTAGTCTAGGAATCTTGAAGAACCTGCATCTGGGCCGGACCGAAGCCCTTTAGATGTCAAGTGGCACAAAGGTGCGTCAGCTGGCAGCGAGGTGGCTGCTTGGAGTTTTGGGGAACTTGGTTTTGTTTTTTGGGTTGAAACATTCTTTTTCCGGTTGGAGTCGAGATCTCAGTTGCTGTTCAGGGTTCCAGGACGGTTCACTTGTTGGCATTGGGAGGCTTCAGGAAACACAGAAACCATTGGACCCGTCTCTGCAGGAAGAGACATCGGAGACGCGACGCAGGAGTTTGGTGACGGATTTCTTTGCATTGCTGGACCCGGCAGGGAAGAAGATGTTAAGGCGAAGCGGACAGGGTGAAGGGCGGGGTGGGGTGGTTTCCCCAATCCGTGGAGTGTCCCCTTGCCTCAGGGGGCCGGAGATGTACCACTTGGCAAAGGCCTGTGGTTTTCAGGATGGAAGAGAAGAGCCATGGACCCAGCCGGCTGGAGGATGGAGACTGTAGCTTAGATGTGTTTTTTTTTTCTCCCCCTCCTCTTCGAGTAAGATCCAGTTTTATCTAGTTTGAAAGTGAGATCAAAACCATATAATCTAATCATATAATTATAATAATCTAAAAATAATCTACATGTCAGTACATAATGTCTAGAGATGATGTACGATGCAGTAGATGTTCAAGGATGTTTAGCATTGCGTAGTCAGTCGGTGAAGTTTGCCACTGGGACGCCCAGCCTGAGGTGGGACGATGAATACGAGGAGTGGCTGCGGGTAAGTCACCGGCATAGGATTCACTTCTTGAAAATGGGGATGACATCCCAATCCCAGATTCATATCCATGTACCCTTTGGTAATTTAACATGGCTACTGAAAATGGCAATTTATAGTGAGTTTTCCCATTAAAAATGGTGATTTTCCATAGTTATGTTAGTTTACCAGAGGGTAAGCCCTTATCCCAATCCCAATGTCAATTTCCCACTGGATCATGGGGATTTCCCAATGGGTCAATTTCCCGTCTTAGTGTAAGAAGTGCATCCTCGGTTCTTGGGCTAGCCACGACGTCAGCGGCAGGCTTTGTGTAAGCTCTGTCACGTCTCTGATGGCTTCTGTTTAGAGGACGCTGGGACGAAGGGTAACCGGGTTGTCTCCCAGTCTGCCTCAGCGACACGGGTTTGCAATTCAACTTAGCCATTTACTTACTTCCAGGATCATGCCTGTGATGGTCAACGTCGATCATCCCCTGCGTTTTATGGTTGAGTGCTTCATGTTGATGGTCAACTCCTTATTTTATCTGATTTTGATGGTCAACTTCGACAGTTCGACCTTTTTGGTGGGGGCTCAATCCTCCGGGCTTGGTGCCTACAACCCCCCAAGCCATCCTGGCCAGGATTTTGAAAAGCTCCTTTCAGACCAGGCCACTTCAGGGGCCAGGGATGGCCAGGGGGCCAGGATCACCCATGCCATTTGTTGTCCCTCGAAACAGCTGGGGTTTGTGGCAGGAACTGGCCCTTAACATCTTAAATATCTTGGCATATTGCCAAACGAAGCTGGAATTGATGTGAATTCATGGAGCTGGGTCTGCAAGGGAAAAACTGCATGAAGCATATGAAGCCATCATTGTTATCACCGCTGCAATTGTCAAGTAGCAGGGTTTTACCTGAATCTTCCCGGATCGGCCAATTCGACAAAGTTAGGAGTTCTGGGATGATCATCTGATCTGGGGTGGATTGGGCCACCAAAAGTGTGATCTTCAGCATCTTCAGCTCCCTTTGCTGATGACCTCACAAGGACTTGCCAACCTTCTGCGCCACCTCAGAAATTCCCTGGCTGATGGAGTAGCTCGAACTGGCGCATGGCGTTCCAAAATGAATGGGAGGTTGACATCATTTGAGCATTTCCGATCCCATTCCATAGCAGCTCATAGGAATTCCATGGAATTCCATATTTGCGGATCATTGTACGCCCAATTTGAGGTGTACAGGATTGTAGCACCCATAGGAGTCTTATGACAGGATTCGGCTGCCGGTGATTTCCCACATGTCGAATTGTTCATCTCCAATTGGATAATATGAACCTGATGGACTAACATTGTTTGGGGATGACTCCAGCCGTTGGTCGGAGTTTTCGCCTGAGCCAAAGCATCAGATCAAACATCCTCCAAGCCCGAGGCGGAACGATCCCTCCTGTCGGAAAAACCCGGCCGGCTGAAAGATCCGTCATCGAATTCGATGATTCCATGGTCATAGAATTGGAATGAATTGGATGATGGGAAAAATTACAGGAAAGCCCAACCAATTTGATGGTAAAAACATGTAAAAACCATGGTTTCCGGTTAAGATTTTCCCAAGAAAACCAATCCAATGACATGGTGATTCCATGATGCTTCCATCCCATTTTCCAGCCATGGCCCAGGGGGAGCTGAGTTCATCCCGAGGCAATCGGCCAAGAGTCTCCTGCCCGCGGCTCGCAACAGTTTGACCTCGACTTCCACCGAGGCCGGGACGAAAATTGGGCACAGGATGGTGGTGAAAATTTGTTCCATTTTTTTCAGATACAAATGTAGTATGGTTGTTTTAAGTTGTACTTATGTATAATATTGTATAATTAGGTATAATTAATTTCTTAGTGATGTGGCCATGGCTCTAATTTTTTCCGTATTTTTTTCAAGTTCCTGCACGAATCCACCAGCCACCAGCCATCGGGTCGCTAGGTCAAGAGGAAGAGCCGGCGACGGTCCTCCACGAAGTCGTCAACGAAGAGAGGGAGCAGAGGTCGAGCAAGGTGCCGAACGGGGGGATCCATTGCGGATTTGATCTGGGGTGCCCATCATTAATACACACACAGACACATATAATAGCATATAATTATATATATAATATAATAATGTAATAATATATGCAAAGATTATATATATATCATTCTCTCTCTCTCTCTCTACATGTATATATATATATTTACACGAATCATTGAGGACGCAGACAAAATATATCTATAAATTGATATGATTGTAACTGATTGTAATTGTATTTTGTTTGCTTTGCAAGGGCTGGGAGGATGTTCAACGATTCAATCTTTAGTGCAATGCTTACATGAATTCGAAACATGGTTTAGATTTCAAGCGCGTCACCCTTGGGGACCTTGATCACCATTCCTGGCTGAAACAGCCAAGTAGATGGAGACCAAGCTCCGTTTGTAGATGATGTTCCTCTTGCAAAAGCCATGAGTGAATTTCAAATGGTAACCATCCCACATTGTTGCTGCTGAAAGTGCCCAGGAATCCCCATCGTTGCTAGCATTTTGAACTCCACCAGTTCTGTTCCGTCCATCTTGTTTGGTTGGTAGCCGCTCCATATTTAATGGTAACAGACCAACCGTTTTCGTGCAATTCTTCTTGAAACAACGCCAATCCATTTTGCTTGATTAGTTGACTCCCAGTCATGTGTAGACCTTTTTTGGCCTGGGTGATATGTTCCTTCTCCCCTTTTTTGGGAGGAATTCGGCTTGTGAGTTAGTTGACTCATGATCCCAATGCTGGCTTCCCAAGACATGCCAGCTGACACCCCTCAGCTCTCAGCGAATATTCCTGCAGGTTTTCGAGGCAGGAAAAGGTGCGGAAGACCATTCAGGCGGCATCCGAACGGGTCTTGATTCTCGTGCTTTAGAAACAGTGGATGTTTCAACACTACATTTACATGATACATCATATATTAATATATATATATATAGATCATGGGGTGGACTTGAAAAATCAATCATCAATCAGTCGCTGAGATATATTTGTGCAATATTGTGCATCATCATTCAACCCGCCTCTGCGGATCCAGGAGAGCCAAGACCGTCGTGACGCCATTGGTTTCCTCTTCCACACCCTGGATGCCGACGGCGACCAACGGCTGAACCTGCCGGAGCTGGAACGTTTCGCCTCGATGTGCGGCTTCAGTGGGGAGTGGCAAACCGAGTACGAGGCGGTTGGGAGATGGTGGGAGCTTGGGATGTTGGGAGGTTGGGGTATGTTGGGGTGAGTATTTGGATGTAACAAGCTATTTGATGCTATTTGGATGGGGAATACATGGGAAACACTATGGAAAAGCATGCGACCATTTTCCCTTTCACATCCTTTAACCAATCCATTGAAAAAAAACGATGTGGATGTAGCTGTTTTCTTGGGCCAGAAATGCCGAACTTGTCCCCAGGTCATGTGCGAAGTGCTGAAGATCCCAAGCTCCAAAGGAGTCGACTTCCTGCAGTTCAATCGCCTGGCGCGGCACTCGATGGCTTGGAAAATTTCAGACATTTATAATCCATTATAGATTCTTTCCCAATTTTAGGATATATATATATGTAAATATATATATATATATATAAGTGTCCATTTCTTCGGATTCGCATGGATTTTTCCCGTTGCAAGGTTTAAGTACCGGATGGCAAGTGCTTTTTTGATGGTGATGAATTCACCAGCCTCTGAAAAGGGTGATTTTTAAATGATCAAGAGGTTTGCATTTGCAGCACAAAAAACGTGACACTTCGTTTATTTTTCAGTGCCAGTGTATCATGGTGTATCACCTAAATCAATCTAAATCACCTATTCCTGGAACCCCAGCTCCAACCAACGACATGGTGCTGGGGCTGACTGAGGTCAGTGATGAAAAGAGTAACGCCTACTGCAGCGATGAGGAGAAGCGGCAGTGTTCAAACACTTTGGGTTGAAATGGGGGTTTACCCTTAAGTCAATGTGGCAACGGAAAATTCAGAGCAGAATCATCTATAACTTTAGGTTCCACTAGCATTTTTGGAAAATTACTGGCAGTTTAGTGATGCAAGGACATCACTAAATCCCAAAGTGGTGAATTTTCTGCTGTTCGACATATCTTCATAGCCTCCCCGGCTACCGTGGGATGCTTCCACCAGTTCCACCTGGGTGCCATTGAGATTCGGACCGCGCAGGAGTTGCAGCAAATGGTGATGTATCTCAAGTCCGAGCACCTTGGACCTGGAGTCGACCCAAGGGGAATTGGATGGATATGGATGTGTCGGCTCTGGCCATGGATCTATGATTTTTAAACAGCTTTTGATACATCGAACATATATCCAACATACCCAACATGAACATATTAATGATATTTAATGATATTTAATGATATTTAATGATATTTAATGACATTTAATGATATGTATTATAGATTTCCGACATTTCTGCTTGTTCGCCTTTTTCAAAAGGCTCTCCCACCTATGCCTTGGATAGCTCTAGGCGTCGAGAGATTGCCTCACGGCTGGCTGCGATCCGCATCCAAGCTGGGGCAAGGGGCTTCCTGACCAGATCCCAGGCGGATGTCAGCCTGGCCATACCATCCGGTTATGACTAACATAGCCATGGGATTTCGATGGCCCTAATCGAAATAGATGGTGAACAACTGGGTTTAGCTATTAAACATGGTGGATCTTTCCATGGCGAACTGTGAATGTCATAACCAGAGGGTATTTCAGGGACCTGGCATTTTTAGACATTTTTTGGCTTGACCGACAGGGCTGTTGGATAGGAACCATTGGTGCCTCTGTTGGTTGAATAGAAACCATTGGTGTCTCTATCCAGAATCATTCCAAAACCAAAGAGTGTAGAACAGAAGGCTTGAATGGCACTACTAATGGCAGTTGTCCCAATTTTGAGGGTCCTGATCCCAGTCATGGGATGGAGCGGTTCGGAGCTTTTTAGGCATTCATATGTCCAATATTTTCCAATGGGGGGCCAAGGAGCTACGATTTGAGTTTCCTGACCACATCACAGTTCTGTTACAGTAGGGAGTTATGTGACTTTTCCTGCTACACGTGTCTTATAGTTTCTTCCCATGAGGTTTTTCGGCGGCTAGACTCGAATGAAGTGACGTTTCGTTGCGGCTGGGGCTCGCTGGGATGATCCCCGGAGGGATTTTCCGATGAAAACGTTTCAACTCGGCGGCGGAAGCTGCATGGAAAAGGTTCCCTACTTTGGAAGTACCTATTTTTGCAGCAAATTGATGAATCTTTTGAGGGGGATTATCCTTTTAAGAATTCTTTATAATATATACTAGGATATACTAGGTTACTAGTACTTCATTAAGTTTTTGTTTAATGTTATCCATATTTTCTTTAATCTTACTTTCTCAGTTGATCAATATCTAATAGTACTTTTTCACTATTTACCCTCTGGTTATTTAACATAGCCATGGAAAATCACCATTTTTAATAGGTAAACCCAGGTAAACAATCTATAAATGGGCCATTTTCCATGGCTATGTTAACCAGATGGTATCAGTATTTTGCAGGGGAAACCTCTCCCAATTCCTCCATCCGCAGGCCAGGCGCTCGGCGTTGGAGGTGCCAAGTCTTTCCAGTGTCGACCTCGGCGTGGGGAGTCGAGAAATGTATCGCGGAGGGTACCACTACTATAGCACCCCCCTTTTTTAAGCATATACAACACATATAATATAGAATTATATGGAACATCATGAATAGACATATATAGACATGTTGAAAAAACCCACTAATTGTTGTTGGATATTATTATTTCTTTTCCAAGGGTTGCCACAACTGTTAGTCATTTTCAGATCCCCATTGGATGCTTCGGATTCCCCAAATGACCACGAGGGAGTTTCAGGTGTCTCATTTCTTTAGCCAGATGAATGACTTTTAAAAGTTGCACACGCACACATTGACACATTTATACTAGTTTTTAATATATTCTTGATTGTGCTAGTTAAACATGTGATATTACAGTATTCTTGATTGTACTAGTTAAACATGTGATATTACAGAACACACACACAACTAACATTTCGGTTGTTATTTTTATTTAAAACCATTCATATATCTTCTGGGTAAAATAGAACGACCTCACTGTTCTCCCTCACTGGAATCATGGTTCGTAAGGGAAATCATCCCCAAATGGCCCAACATTTCAGGTTAGTGAATTATTATAATTTACCCACACACATATATATATTATATATTTATATTTATATATACAATATACATCTAGACACTTCATCTAATCCAATTGGCACAGCAGCTCCCGCGCCATGATTGAGGCACTGCAGGGCGCGACAGTGACGACTCGCATGCGATCAGTTTTTGCTGGAAATCAGTTTGACGAAGGATGATGTGAAACCACAAACCTGAAGTAAACAACTTAAGTCCATTTTGAGGTCAACGAAAACCACACCTCAGTATAACCGGTGACAGCCGGTGCTGGTTTTGAGGACTCAAGCCTTCCTTCAGACAGATGATGTTTTTATCACACTGTTTTCCCTAACATCAGCAAGTTCTGTTTGAAAATGGCATGGATGTCTATCTAGCACATTATTCATGTTACACACTTCGAACTAAGAACTTCGTGAATATGACATATAGATAAATTGATAGACATAGATACGTCCATAGCAGATATCATATATCCATCCATCCACAATAAATATATAGATAGGTATGAGCCCTATTTATGGATTTTCAACCTGTAAAATTCCATATTAGGAGGTTTCCTAAGTCATAGGTCTACCCCTAAATTTCATCAATTTTATAGATGGATTTTCCATGAAGTCAACCATCCAGCTATTGGGGTACCCCATTTATGGAACCCCCAGGAGTCTCCAGCGCTGCCTGAACCCCCTTCAGCACCCTGGAGTGACTGGTCCGGATCAAGGAAGAGGAACATGGGTGATTTACAGCAGGTTTTTTGGTGGAATTTCATGGATTTTCAATGGGATTTTCATGGATCTTGGTGGATGTTCAAGGGATTGTGGTGGATATTTCATGGATTTTAGTGGATTTTCAATGGATGTTGATGGACATTTCTGGTGAGGAGTGATGATTCAATGGTGATTCAATGGTGATTTTGAACATACATGGTGATTTTGCCAGAAGCAATTTCGAACCACCAACATATGGGAAATGGTTGTGACCCGACAGAGTCAGTGTAGATATTAGCCGGCATTATGTGGATTATTGGTTTGGTGGTTTCAAAGCGTTCAAATCCATTTGGATACTTCTGATACTTACGATTTTCTTCGGTTTTAAGACCTTTTTTTTAAATACCGTCGCGAGATGTGGAAACGCTTGGAATCCGGTCCCAGGCGAAGAAGATTGAGGAGCTCCAGAGGTCAGCCTCTTTGGAGCACCTGGACGAGTGGAAGATGGTTCCATATGGCCCCCATATGTCTTGTAATGTCTTGTAATGAACCATAGGGTTCCCATATGTTTTTTTTTGGAAGGGTGTGGGTGTTTGAAGATCAACCCCGCCCTGCTGTTGGAGCCAGCCAGGTGAGACACCCAGCTCCGTTTGAGGTCGGCTAGAGGAAGTTTTTCAACAGCGGTTTTTTTTGGGGTCAAAATTGGCCAACAGCCAGAGGATTCGCCAAAGTGGGAAGGAGCCTCTGCCGATTCCAAGCTTTTCGACGTCACCCGGTGAAACCGCTGGCGTCTGATGGTCTTTGGACCAGTGGCACTGGCTCAACATGCGCATCACTGACCCCAAAAAGTGGAGTCAGCGATGATTCCAAACGCCCAAATCAACAGGTTACCCAGTTGCAAGAGGATATCTGAAACAAGCATGAAACAGGCAACATGATTTTTGAATCACTAGACATACACATTTCTTGGTGCAGGAGGGCCCAAAAATGTCGACATACTGTGGTGACCCCATCCAATGGCCAGCATGTTGAAACAGCAGCATTTGGGTGCAAAACCCTAACTTTACAGTTACAGGCCGAATTCTACGTGTAGAACATATTTTAATGAATATATTTGAATATATTTGATACGATTTTTTTCTATCCAATCTTGGGATGATGATCCAAATTGACATGTTTTTTGATGGTTGAAACCAGCAAGCACGTGATCTCAAGTACGAAGGTGCCCAAGCCACTTGTTGAAAGCATGCTGAGCCAGGGCTACATGTAGCTCTTAGGCAGCCTCAAAAAGGGTCGGTCATGCCCAGTAGATCCAGTAGATCTTTACCTTTTTTTTTGGGGGGGGGCCAAACATCAATGGGAATTTCAGGATCCAATTGATTGGAGGTACCTACCATATATAAGGCCTGTATAAGGACTATGTAAGGGGATATCCCCCAACATGGATCAACAAAATACATCAAATGACTGCGACTGCTTCGATGGTCAAGTCATGTTTGTTCCCTTTTTTTCTACAGTGGCTTGCGACCGGTTGATGAAGATGGAACTCCATGTTTGAGTTCAAGCACTTGATGAAATTGCAGTTCTGAGTCTCGGGAAGTATTTCTCTTAGATAATATATATATATATATATTTTTTTTTGGGGGGGGTTTGTCTGAAAAAAGTGCGGCTCTAAATCCACTTGTATGGTTCATCATCACTAAAGGGGGCTATCCCATTAGAGCTGGGCGAACCGTCACCCATAACTGAGTGCCATCCCAGAAATTTCTAAATTTTGTAGTGCCATCCCGCCTGATGCGAAGTCCGATTGAAGTGCGGAATTCATTGTAGCTCGAGTCCTAGGTTTTAAACACATGGTTCAAAAACAGTCAGATTCAATCCCATTAGGTCCCATCATTCTTAGATACTGTTGTTTCTGGTGAGAAATGGTGAGAAGGTTTACCGTTCATATCAGCACTTGATTAAAATCAAGCCCCATTCTTACAACAATGAGAATCCCAAGTTTTGAAACGGGTTTTGTCTGAAAACAGGCTGCCCCAATATTATCCAACATTACACAACCGCCCCAATAACCATGAATGATGGACACCTATGATCGAAGCGAATCAGCCACACACCAAGTGGCCTTTTATTCCAAATGACATTGGCGGCGCCGGTGGCAGCGGCGCTGCAGTGCTGGGTCCTGGTAACCCCCAGTAACTGGGTTAGGTTAGGTACAACTGCATGAACATTAATATGGAACATATATGATTCATATTATATGATCATATGAACATATGCATAAATACATTGTCCACATATGTATACATACATATGCATACATATGCCAGATGTAGGGATCCATCGTTGAAGGGCGAAGCAGCAGACCATCCATAGCATGGCGGCAGCCCGCGGTGCCCGGTGGAGGCGATGAATTGCTGGGTAATTTGTCCACGACCTGATGTTTTACCAGCAATGGTAAACACAGAGCCTCACCCTGAACACTGAGTTGTGCATTCCACAATTTTTTTTGGTCAAGAATCTCACAGTCGATAAAGAAAGACAGAGCACAAACATACCTTCAGAATTGCGAAAGCGCCCATGCAACGCAGGTGAGTTACGTAACATCCATGGTTGTGGAGCATCAATGCCACCTTGAATGAAGAAATTTGTCCTGCAGCCATTTCGGGATCATTCCGTGGCACAGATCGCACAATTGCAGAATTCCAAGATTTGCGCTGAAGCCGACCCTGTGGAGGTGCCCTGGCGATGCTGAGCCGGCCATGGCCGGCCTGTTCTTTCTTCAAATTGCGTGCGTTGGTCCGCCCAGATGGATTCAGAAATATTCAATGATTTAGAAATGATCATTTCATTACGGCTTAAGAAAGGGTACCTTTGTTCATAGTTTCATTGGTCAATTTGAGTACATTTTAGAAGATATTGATATTGTCAGAGTCAGCCTGTGTTTTTTAAATTATTATTGTCCGAGTCAGTTTAGGTTGTTTTTGATGACCTTAATGAATAAAATGATCTTTTCCCATAGCAGCAGAGATCTCATCTTCTAAGCTCACCGGCTGCTTTTTTTGTGGATTTCTTGGCATAGTGCCTTATGTATCCTCATGTAATTCATGTGTCGCTGTGCTGCTGTGCTTGTGCATGGTGTTTCTGTATCCTTCTCGGTTGCACGTATTATTTTTGGATCATGACATAGGTCGGTAGGACCGTTCGGTGTGGACATGTGTGGGCTAGGTGTTTATCACACAGTTCTCTTCTTTGTTTTGTCTTTAATCCCACAAGGCATCACAAGGTCCAATTGAAGGAGTGTTTTTTTTGAAACCCCTTTAGTCTCGTAGATACTGATATCATCGGCTTGTTGAGAGCTCATTTGGACCTATGGGATTCATGGACCGCGTTTTCCGGAAATCCTGCTTTTCATAAAGTTTTCAGAAGTTCTTGGTTCTTGGAAGTTTTGTTGAACTTCGACTTTCAGCATCTAAGTTCTTATGCAGTCACCAGGCTGAAACACCTTTGCGCGACTATGAAGAGGGCTTCCAAGCGATCTACTGGATGAGTATCGAGGAAGCGATGAACTTCTTAAAGAAATATGACAATACTTCAGTGGTCAAAGAGCTCGGTGAGGACTTGGAAAGAATGATGCTATCAAGAGACACCTTTGCACCTTGCTGTTGGTGAAGACAACGAGGAGATGGTGAAGCTTCTGCTGGCAACGAAACCAGACCTGAACGCCAAGGGCAACGAGGGATGGACGCCGTTGCACAGAGCTGTCTTTGAGGATTTCTGGTGGGGCCCGTGAATTCGTCTGCTGCAACTGCAGTGGTGCTTTCGCCTAAAACAAGCCGCCATGCATTCACGGGCCCCACAGTGGAAGGATTCTGGGCTGAAGTTTCTTGTGATCAGGATGCCAGGGCAGACCTCAAGTCAAGGACAAACTTGGGCAGACACCCTTGCATTTGGCTGTCAAACAGTATATTGACGAGAAGATGGTCATGATTCATGATGGTCAAGCTCCTGCTGGATGCCGGGGCTGACCCGAAATCCAAGGACAATTCTGGCAAGACGGTCTTGGACGATTCACTTCGCCCTGTTCGTTTCCTTGTGGAAGCGGCACTGGGCTGAAGTGCACAGATGGCCGCGGATCCGGAAAACAGAGATGGCCGCAAACGCGTCGCAGCGGAGGTCGCAGTGGAGAAACGCTTGGATACTGTTATGATATTTATGGAGGATTTTTTGTCAGGTCTGTAGCGCTTGTTTTTTTGCAATCGCCATTTTCCCCGTTGTTGCATGATGACTGGGCGGATATTCTTGGATCTCCCCCGTCTTTGAACAAACCAATCTATCTTACCTTCTGGATCCCTTTGGTAATCTAACAGTTCGCTGTGTTGAATACCATCTGGTTATTTAACAGTTCGCCATGGAAAATCCCCATTTTTAATAGGTAAACATAGGGCATCGAAATCCCATGGCGAACTATCAGCCATAACCAGAGGGTACATCATCTACTTTCATGGGCCATGGCCAGGCGGAAGCGTCGTGAGGATTTTCTGAACAGGTTCACCGGGGTCCTGGTGTCACGACGGGTCATCAAAGATGGTTTGCCTTCATTGCTTCCACATGATTAGACGGACTACTTGGCAAAATCTGGCAAATATGCAAATATTTGATGATATTTGATGTCGAAGATCTTGAAATTGGTGTTGATACATGTTGTTTCTTGTGTCGCCCATGCGGCCTTGATGAATCTTGATGATCATGTTGTTTTTTTCCTCAGTGGGCGTGTGAAGGTCACTCCGTGGATTTTGATGCACGTCTTGCAGATCAGATCATGGTATATATATATATTAATACATGTTAATACAATATATATATACTAGAGAGAGAGAGAGAATGCATGAACATGCAACCTTGGGCAATTCCAGCATCCAAGGAAAAAAATCATCAGTCATCCCCTGCTGTCCAGAAGAAAGGCTTGCAGCCCCGCCTGTGGCTCTTTGGCTCTCTCAGCCCCGTGGGCCATGTTTCAGGTATAGGAGTCAAATCTGCGCTCATCCCGCGCTCGGGGTTCTTGTGATGCCCCCAGTTTTTTTTGTTGAAGGTCCGAAATTCGCTTGATCATCTCAAACTTGCAAACTAGATGCAGCATATGCATCTCTGGTGACTCTGGTGGTTGGTTCTTTCCAAGATGTTTTCCTTCCGTTGCCCAAAAATTGGATGTGTGGGGCGCCAATATGCTACATCCACATCTTTAGGATGGCTCAACCACCAAGTCGCCAGCTCGCAACGCCTTGCTTTGATGCTTCGGAATCAGGGGCAATCCCACTATCGTTGAACTTGCCTATTGTCCCTAAATTCTGCTGATGATCATATACATACTGGTTGGTTGATGATGTTGATCTTAGTTGTATTCCTAAGGTGGGTCAGCAAGATTGAAATTCAAGTCATATAAAGTCCATTTCTGTTGGTTACATGAGTGGTTACGGGGCCCGTCTTTGTCCCCTTACCCAGCCGCGCCCTGGGCGTAGCCATGGCTTTCGCCGATGAGCAGCCTGGCATGTCCAGTTCCGCGGCAGCGAAACTCATGGTAGAGCAGAACGGTTGGAGACCCATAGCTTGACACGACAGGTGTTACGTATGTATGGCTGCATAGGCGGCATAGGTATATATATATATAGATATGATGATGATGATGATGATGACTGGTGATGATGATGATGATGATGATGATGATGCTGGTGATGATGATGATATTATGATGATGATGATGATGATTATTGTTATTAATATTATTATGATAACTGATGATATATGTCAGAAAACACATGTTTATGCTTTCTGCAATATCTATGTGCACTACGCAACTACATATGCAGTCATTGATGTAGTCTAGTGAACTTTGTTCGCAGTCTTGCTGTTCTTTACTTCAGGTGCTTTGTGAGCGCCATTCGCTTTCGGGTTTGGCCCTGGAGATTCTAGCGTTTGTGGTTGCACCACGACTTCCACCAGGGTGGTGAGATGGTTATTTTACATAATACACACATTGAAAAAACTCAGAAAACTCAGGTGCCAGATGGTCCGAGGTTTATGGTTTCATCCTGTTTCACCATTCTACCAGTGATCTGATGACTTCAGGTGAGGCCGAACAGGGGTCGTTGCTGGCGGAGACGACGCCGGACACGACGCCGGACACGACGCCGGACACGACGCCTTCCGTGCCGCGGCGGTGTTTTGTGGCCCATGTGGGCTGTGCGCTGAGCCTGGCGTTGGTTTTACTGCTGGGTTTCGGCGAAAAAGCTGGGATGGACATGGCAAATCTCAAAGAAGCTCGGCATTTCATGATTTTTCCGTCGCTATAATGTGGGTGTATATTATAGTAATATAAAATCACATTCCAGGACATGCATAATACATACATACACACACACTATGTATGTGTATATATATATACACACATATATATATGTGTGTGTTATGTAAGATTAATTAATTATTATACAATTACACTAAAGCGTTTCCAAGAGAGTGGACCCAGGAGCGGGATGCTACGAGAACCTACCATAGGTTTTGTTTGGGTAAGGCCCATAATTGGAATTGATGATTCGAAATTCACAGAATGGCCAACAAGAAACCAAAATTCATGACTTACTTTATGTTATATACATCCATCCTAAACATGTCAAGCTTATATTTATTCTAGTTATTTATGTTTTGACATATGTCCTGACATATCTATTGACATATTGTTTGACATTTGGCATAGTTTCGGGCATGTTTTCCGGCATGTAGTCTGAACATTTCCTCTGACATGTGTTCAATATAGTTATAGTTTAATATGTATACAGGCTGATGGGTGGGATGTTAACGTTCATGTGAACTTGCAGAAGCAGTTGATGCTACGCACACGAGGGGTGGGGTGGGGGGGGGGGGGATGTGGATGTTAACGTTCATGTGAACTTGCAGAAGCGTTGATGCTACGCACACGCGGGTTGGGGTGGGGGGGGGATGGGGTGCGATGTTAACGTTCATGTGAACTTGCAGATGATGATGATGATATAATGCTGCTGATGATGATGTGATGATGATGATGATGATGATGTGATGATGATGATGATGATGACGACCCTAATGAAACTGGTCAATTCCGGGAAAATTTCGTCCCGGAATTGATAAGTTTTACCAACCTAATTTGGGTTTGCGCAGTTCCAAGAGGTGGGACGAGGCTATATATACATATATGTATATTAAATATTATGTTTTCATGTGGTATTTCGTCTAACATTTCATTTTCTATCTTGACATGTCATCTGACAGTTTATCCGACATTAGTCCTTCCTTTGTTGTTTTGCATCGCCACTCGGGACGAGGTCAGGGGATGACAGAAAACCCTAGAGACCCTCACTTGACAGCTGGGGAACAAAAGGTCCGTGCCTCATGTCCATTCTCAAGCAGCACTATCTTCGCATCATTTTTTATAGATTTTTTGGTGGATACTTGTGATATTTACTGATATTTGATGACCTGCCGTCCTTTTTTCCATCCTGAAAGTCCCCAGGAGTTTCAGCAGAAGCAGGCGGTGCCTGCGGTTCAGTTCCAGGTGGGAGGCACCTTGGTCCCTGGCCCCGGCTGCCCGGTCACCTGTGGTGAGTTTGTGGAATGTGCCTTCGATCGGCGCAGCAAGCAGAACCTACTGGATCTGCAGCAGCTTGGAATGTGAACATATGGAACTGCTTGGTGGTTTGGAACATGAATTTTATGACTTTCCATATATGGGGAATGTCATCATCCCAACTGACGAACTCATATTTTTCAGAGGGGTAGGTATACCACCAACCAGATGGGAATTATGTATAGCTGATTCATAGGGAATTTCATGGGATTTATTATCAATTTCACCAACAAAGATGGTGATTTAACGGGTTTTGAGTTTTTAATGGGATTTGGTTGATTTCTTGGGTTTTAATAGGACATATGATGTTTACCCTCTGGTTGTTTAACAGTTTGCGCTATGGAAGCCATGGCCCATTTATAGATGATGTATGACATTTACCAATTGAGAATGGCTGTTCTCCATAGCTACATATAGCTAGGTTATATCAATTGCCAGAGCCAATCCAGAGAGTAAAACAACGGTTCTGGTGATTGTTATATTGTGCTTTTGTCTTCGGATGGTTTTGGCAAAGTGCAAAAAGGTATATATCAATCACTGTAATCAGGACTGGTTAGCAATTAAGTGGGTTGCAATCATCATTTTCAACCCACTTGCCATGACAGAAGGACAGTTCAATGACAGTTCAACCAATCAATTTTGGTTCAATGATTTCACTTGGATCCATTTGGAGACCTGGCGTCAAGGAATGATTGGTTGGGGCGTAACTGTATGTAACCGCTACGTTTCAATATGTTTCAAGTGTTCGTGAGGATGACGGGCTGGGTGGCTCAGCCTGGTTGGGGGACTGCTGGTAGGCAGCTAAAAGTGTATTAAACAGTGTTCAACATATTGAGCACACATACACACATACATACATACATACATACATACATACATACATACATACATACATACATACATACATACATACATACATACATACATACATACATATACACATACATACATAGATACATAGATACATAGATACATAGATACATAGATACATAGATACATAGATACATAGATACATAGATAGATAGATAGATACATACATACATACATATATATATGTTTAATATTTCTATGAATTACAAGTCCTGGCAATGTGACCCAAGATAAACAGAGTTTTACCATGTTGTGACTCTTCGAACATTGGGGGAATGAAGCCCATGAAGCTGGGTGATGGTTTTCACTTTCACGTTTTTCCATGCCCAAGAGTGGATGACGGCCCGTCAGGTGGCTAGCAGACGGGCAAAATGAAACCGCCGCCGCCGGGCTCCCGGGAGGAGATCTGGCTTACGACACGGCCAAAGGATCTCTGGTCATTGCTCCGCAGCTCGTGGCATTTTTGAAGCCCACCAGGCTGGCCAATAAGCAGGTTATCCCGATGACGCCAGACTTCCAGTGTCCCAACACTAGCTGCTGGATACCCAGGGGCTATTTGAATGATGATTACTGTGATTGTCCAGGAAGCTGCGCTGATGAAGAGTTTCACAGCTGTGAGGAGTGCGGAGTGGGACTGACATCGTTTTCGTCCTTTTCGGTGAGTCCTGATGTGTGTCCTGACCGTGGATGTCGTGACCCGGCTTTGGACCGGTTCTTCAGCCAACGCTGCTTGGGACCCGGGGTGGTCACGGATCCTTTCATTTGTCCGGACGACGGTGGCACACCTGGGTGCACCATCAACAAGAGCTTGGTGGACAACAACGTGTGCGACTGCCCTGGCACCTGCGCGGACGAGACAAACTACACTTGCGACAACTGTTCCGGGGCGGAAACCGCCTGTGGCGGTTTCGTTGGTTTGTGTCTGACACCCATTGCCATAGCTCTCCCAGCCATTCACATACTTAATGTTGGTGGATCGGTGGATCAGCCGGGTCACAAAGATTCAGCCCCTGCGAACAAAATACTGTAATTAGTTTTGCCTTACAATCCAGGGACTTCCAAACATGAACTTGCCGATTCCGAATCAATTGCACTTTTGCTGAGCAGCACGTACTCTGTTATAGAGTTATAGAATGTTATAGATTTTTTTGACATCGTTATATTGATAGACAGATTCATGTTATTTATATTTTAATTCCCCAGACAGTGTGCTGTTGGGGGTTCTTAATGCTTTCTTAAGGTGTCCGCCTTGGTGTTGGATGGTGTGTCCGCCTTCCCGAGGGTCTTGTCTCCCCTTGTCTCCCCTTGTCTCCCCTTGTCTCCCCTTGTCTCCCCTTGTCTCCCTTCTTGTGACCCTTTGTTGGATGGTGTGTCTGCCTTCCCGAGGGTCTTGTCTCCCCTTGTCTCCTCTTGTCTCCCCTTGTCTCCCTTCTTGTTTCCCTTTGTTGGATGGTGTGTCCGCCTTCCTGAGGGTCTTGTCTTCCCTTGTCTCCCGATTGTCTCCCCTTGTCTCCCCTTGTGTCCCCTGCAAGGGTCTTGTCTCCCCTTGTCTCCCCTTGCTTGTCTCCCATTGTCTCCCCTTGTCTCCCTTCTTGTTTCCCTTTTTGTTTCCCTTCTTGTTTCCCTTCTTGTTTCCCTTCTTGTTTCCCTTCTTGTTTCCATTTGTCCCCCCTTGTCCCCTTTTACCCCTTCTTGTTTGTTGGATGGTGTGTCCGCCTTCCCAAGGGGACAAGTTGTTTCCCCTTGTCTCCCCTTGTCTCCGCTTGTCTCCTATTGTCTCCCCTTGTCTCCCCTCTTCTTGTTTCCCTTCTTGTTTCCCTTTGTTGGATGGCGTGTCCGCCTTCCCGAGAGTCTTGTCTCCCCTTGTGTCTCCCCTTGTCTCCCCTTGTGTCCCCTTGTCTGCCCTTGTGTCCCTTCTTGTTTCCCTTCTTGTTTCCCTCCTTGTTTCCCTTTGTTGGATGGTGTGTCCAAGTTCCCGAGGGTCGTGTCTCCCCTAGTCTCCCCTTGTACCCCTTCTTGTTTCCCTTTGTTGGATGGTGCGTCCGCCTGCCCGAGAGTCTTGTCTCCCCTTGTCTCCCTTCTTGTCTCCCTTCTTGTCTCCCTTCTTGTTTCCCTTTGTTGGATGGTGGGTCCGCCTTCCCGAGGGTCTTGTCTCCCCTTGTCTCCCCATTGTCTCCCCTTGTCTCCCTTCTTGTTTCCCTTTGTTGGATGGTGTGTTCGCCTTCCCGAGGGTCTTGTCTCCCCTGGTCTCCCCTTGTCTCCCATTGTCTTCCCTTGTCTCCCCTTGTCTCCCCTTGTCTCCCCTTGTCTCCCGTTGTGTCCCCCTGTGTCCCTCCGAGGGTCTTGTCTCCCCTTGTCTCCCCTTGTCGCCCCTTGTCTCCGCTTGTCTCCCATTTTCTCCCCTTGTCTCCCTTCTTGTCTCCCTTCTTGTTTCCCTTTGTTGGATGGCGTGTCCGCCTTCCCGAGGGTCTTGTCTCCACTTGTCTCCCCTTGTCTCCCCTTTTACCCCATGGTGTGTCCGCCTTCCCGCTGGGACAAGTTGTTTCCCCTTGTCTCCCCTTGTCTCCCTTCTTGTTCGCCAAGCGGTGTACTGTTAGGGGTTCTTACAGCTCTCTTAAGGTGGTCGCCTTGGTGTTGGATGGTGCGCCCGCCTTTCCCAAGGTCTTCTCTCCCTTTGTCTCCCATTGTGCCCCTTCTTGTTTCCTTTTGTTGGTTGGTGTGTCCGCCTTTCCGGCACCTTGTCTCCACTTGTCCCATTGTACCCCTTCTTGTTTCCCTGTGTTGGATGGTGTGTCCGCCTTCCCGGGGGTCTTGTCCCCCTTTGTCTCCCATTGCCCATTGTACTCCTTTGTTGGATGGCGCGTCCGCCTTTCGGAGGATCTTGTCTCCCCTTGTATCCGCAGTGTACCCCTTCTTGTTTCCCTTTGTTGGATAGTGTGTCCGCCTTCTCGAGGGTTTTGTCTCCGACTGTCTCCCATTGTACCCCTTCTTGTTTCCCTTTGTTGGATGGTGTGTCCACGTTTCCGAGGGTCTTGTCTCGCCTTTGTTTCCCTTTGTTGGATGGTGTGTCCGCCTTTCCGAGGGTCTTGTCTCCCTTTGTCTCCCGCTGTACCCCTTCTTGTTTCCCTTTGTTGGATGGTGCGTCCGCCTTTCCGAGGGTCTTGTCTCCCCTTGTATCCCAGTGTGCCCCTTAATGTTTCCCCTTGTTGGATGGTGTGTCTGCCTTGCCGGGGGTCTGGCCTCCCATTGTACCCCTTCTTGTTTCCCTTTGTTGGATGGTGTGTCTGCCTTTCCGAGGGTCTTGTCTCCCCTTTTCTCACATGTGCCTGTGTTGGATGATGTGTTTGCCTTCTCGGTCTCTTGTCCCTCCCTTGTCTCCCAACGTTTCCCATAGTCTCCCCACATGTGTGCCGGTGTTGGATGGTGCGTCCGCCTTCCGCATGTCTTGTCTCCCATTGCCCCCCATTGTCTCTCATTGTCCCCCCACATGTGTGCCTGTGTTGGATGGTGTGTCCGCCTTCCCAAGATTTTGTCTCCCCTTCTCTCCCCTTCTCTCCCCTTCTCTCCCATTGTCTCCCATAGTCTCCCCACAAGTGTGCCTGTGTTGGATGGTGCATCCGCCTTCCCGACGTGTTGTCTCCCCTTTTTGTCTCTCATTGTCTCCCCGCATGTGTGCCTGTGATGAAAAGGCGGGCGCACCATTCAAGAGAGGGAAACAAGAAGGGAGATGGGAGACAATGGAAGACGACAAGGGGAGACAAGACCTTGGGAAGGCGGACACACCATCCAACACAAACGCATATTGTGGGGAGACAATGGGGAGACAAGACCTCGGGAAGGCGGACACGCCATCCAACACAGGCACACATGTGGGGAGACAGTGGGAGACAATCGCAGACAAGGGAGAGACCAGAGAAGGCAGACATACCACGAGGTCTTGTCTCCCCTGGTCTCCCATTGTTCCCCATTCTCTCCCATTGTCTCCCCGCATGTGTGCCTGTGTTGGATGGTGTGTCCGTCTTCCCGAAGTCTTATCCCCCATTGTCTCCCATTGTCTCCCCAAATGGCGTGTCCGCCTTCCCGACGTCTTGTTTCCGAATTGTCTCCCATTGTCCCCACATGTGTGCCTGTGTTGGATGTTGTGTACGCCTTCCCGAGGACTTGTCTCCCCTTGTCTCCCTTCTTGTCTATCCTTGTCTCTGGTTGTCTCCAATTGTCTAGCCACATGTGCCTGTGTTGGATGGTCCACCTTCCCGAAGTCTTGTTCTTCATTGTCTCCCATTGTCTCCCTAGATATGTGTGCCTGTGTTGGATGGTGCGTCCGCCTTCCCGAGGTCTTGTCTCCCCTTTTCTCCCCACATGTCACATGTGTGCCTGTGTTGGATGGTGCCTCCGCCTTGGATGGTGTGTCCGCCTTCCCGCGGTCTTGTGTCCCCTTGTCTGCCTGTGTTGGGTGGTGTGTCCGCCTTCCCGAAGTCTTGTTTCCCTTGTCTCCCATCTCCCTTCTCGTTTCCCTTTGTTGGATGGTGTGTCCGCCTTCCCTTGTGTCCCCTTGTCTGCCTGTGTTGGGTGGTGTGTCCGCCTCCCCGAGGTCTTGTCTCCACTTGTCCTCCATTTTCTTATTGTCCCCCTAATTGTCTTCCATTGTCTCCCTTCTTGTCTCCCAGTTTCCCCTTGTCTCCGGTTGTGTGCCATTGTTTCCCATTGTCTCCCACATGTGTGCCTGTGCTGGATGGTGTGTCCGCCTTCCGAGGTCTTGTCTCCCCATTGTCTCCCATTGTCTCCCCGCATTGGTGCCTGTGTTGGATGGTGTCTCCGCCTTGGATCATATCCGCCTTCAAGAGGCCTTGTCCCCCATTGTCTCCCCACACGTGTGCCTGTGTTGGATGTTGTGCCCGCCTTCCCGAGGTCTTGTCTCCGTTTGTCTCCCATTGTCTCCCCAACATGTGTGCCTGTGTTGGATGGTGTGTTCCCCCTTCCCAAGGTCTTGGCCCCCCTTGTCTCCCATTGTCATGTGTGCCTGTGTTGGATGGTGCGTCCGCCTTCCCGAGGTCTTGTCTCCCATTGTCTCCCATTGTCTCCCTTCTTGTTTCCCTTCTTGTTTCCCTGTGTTGGATGGCTTCCCGAGGTTTTGTCTCCCTTGTCTCCCAGCTTGTTTCCCAGCTTGTCTTCCTTCTTGTCTCCCAGCTTGTCTCCCAACTTGTGTTTCTTCTTGTTTCCCTTTGTGGTGGGTGGTCTGATTTTGCATTTTTTTCAAACAGTGTACTGTTAGGGGTAGGCTTTCTTAAGGTGTCCGTCCGCCTTGGTGTTGGATGGTGTGTCCGCCTTCCCGAGGTCTTGTCTCCTATCTTGTCTCCCAGCTTGTCTCTCTTCTTGTTTCCCTTTGTGGCGGGTGGTCTCATTTTGCATTTTTTTCTCAAACAGTGTATGGTTAGGGGTTCTTAATGCTTTCTCATGTCATGTGTTTGACCCTGTTCCTCAAAAACACGTCTTGAATCCACCCACTGTTTGGGGTCTACGGTGGTGTAATATATTTTATTTGTGTCCGGCGTGGAGGGAAAGATTTTGAAGCAAACATATGCAAACATGTGATATGAATTCCAGCTGCTATACTTTCAGAGAAACGAAACGTTGTTTCAGGGTCGGCAGTAGTGTCAGTGTCCGTGGATGGGCTGCGGGGCAGCACAATTCCGGAAACTTTGTTTGGGAGGTACAGGCTGTAAGTCTTAGGGGGTCAGGGGTGGTAGCAACAGGGAACGCCTGCTGATGATGTTTGAATTCTAATGGGGTGCCACTATAACCGGAAATACTGTGTCTTGGGGTTTGTAAACTGTTGAAAGTATTGCAGGAATTATGGACATTTTTTGGAGGTGCACAAACTATGTTTGTCTTGCAGGGTGATACAACGGCGCGTCTCTTTTTGACATTCATGTAGCAGCCTTCTTTGAACGAAAAGAAATGAAATTTGGCTGCTGGATTTGGGTCTTACACACCTGGTAGCTTGAGCTGCAGAGCAGTAGCCTAGCTAAGAATCCCATGTAAAGAATCCCAAAACATGGCACATCTGCAAAATACAGAATAGATTGGCACAACTTAAGCACCACAAAATTCTTGAACATGGTTCGCCTGAATATTTATCGGAGTTCTCCTTCCGATTTTTTGACTGAGCATCACAAGCCAAGGTTAGGCACTCGAATGACTATCCCCGAAGGTTCATAGTTTGACCAGATGGTCCCATTGAAGGGACAACTTGCGGGAACTTCTGTCGTAATTAGAAACCCTGGTTTGCGAGTTTCCCTTCAGCCCATTTGGATAGATTATAGTGACCTCACGTCGTGACCTCATCCCCAGCCGCACGTTTCAGCTTAGTGAACTATAGTGAGTTATTATTTTATACCATAGATTACCATAGATTACCCAGATCTCAGCCGGATTTTCTCAGGTTCCTGCGTTTCTTTTTGCGGCGTCTCTTCTCGTTGGGCTTGCAGCCCTTCCTACGGAGTATTTCAGTGTCCTCCTGTAGCTCCACTCGAGGTGGCTGGCCAATTGAAAAAAACAAACACTTCATGGCTGGATGATATTCACACTATACAAAGCTAATCAAAGCTATGACTTGTTATAAATATTAAATATAGGATATGTATATGTAATTATATGTATATATCGGAGTTTTCATATTGACTTTCATATTCTTGGAGTTTTGTGTCGTTTGTCCTGCCAGGTGGGTTGCGCTATCCCTTCTTTGCTGGTCAACAATTCGATTTGCGACTGTCCATGGACTTGTGCGGACGAAGCCCCGCAACAAGAGTACATGGGACAGGTGTATCCGGTGAATTGTGACTTCGTCAGTTGATGGGGGTAGATGCGCAATGCCCAAAATACGACTTGGTAGAGTATATGTATTACATAGGTTTTACATGGTTTTACTACTTAGTTGTACGGGATTACTTTCTACATAAGGGATCTTAAGGGCACCGCTATAAACCACAGGTATAATGGGATGATACGAATAAAAAGTGACTGCAAGGGTAGCTTCATGTCATGCGGTTGCCATCCATTGTCCTGGCAATATTCTTTAAACGTACAGGGATCAGGTCGGAAGATTGTGGGAAGATTGGCAAGATATTGAATTTACCCTTTGGTAAATTAACAGTGGGACCCTGAAAATCATTCATTTTTAGTGGAAACTAATCTTCCAACCCCTACCTGCCAGGGTTTATGTTAATTAGTGTTAATTTACTGGAGGGTAATATCAACTATATCAACCCAGGAGCTTGGCTGCCCCTATAGTTCACTAATTGGAAGGGTACCATTCACCAGATGTCAAAATCAACCGGGTTTCACATCCACCGCAGGTGATGTTTGCCAGTGCCCCACCGCCTGTGAACAGCTCTATAACTATTACTATGCTGATTTCACCGAGGTTTTAGAGGCTTCAGGCCGCTGGGTTTTCACGGAATCACCAGACAAAATCATGCAAGATTGGCATTTGGAAGCCTGAAAATCGTGAGATATACATGATCTGTCCACAATACCGAAAACAAATCCTGGAAATGTCCAATCGATCTTTTTTGGGACCCTTTGTTTTTTGGCCCCTGGGCATGACTCCGGCAAACCCAGAATGGCTGCTCGGCGCACAGGCGGTTTCATCAGGTGTACAGAAGTGCAAGCCCTTGCGCAACTGCCTCGCTTCCAATGTCCACCTCCTGGCAATTGCTCCTTACCAATCGGTTCCTGGATTGGGTAGAGAGAGAGAGAGAGAGTGCAACACGTATTTTTTGGGGCAACAGTTAGTGTTTGGGCAAAACATATCAAAAAAGGATTGTGACCTCCGAGGATTTGTGAACGACAACGTCTGCGACTGTCCAGGAACATGTGCTGATGAGGAAGATTGGGACTGTGACACTTGCGTGTGTCCAGATGTTTGCGGCATCAGGAATCGCAATTGTTTCTGCTTGTTGTTTTCAATCTTTTTTTTTTGGCCAACCATCAAGATTCGGTTGATAGCGTAATGGGTCAATTTTTGCCATATATACTGTACTGCGTATATACATATATTATATATTTATATATTTATATATGTATAAATATGTTTTTGGGCAGGGTATCAAAGACTAGTGACCAACAACAAATGGGAATTTATCAACAAATGGGAATTTATCATGTTTATTGTCAACCAGACATGGGGGATATAACCGGCAAACACCGGGGATAAAACGGACAATTGGTTGGTGGTTTCAGTTCATGTTTTTTCATCTCCAAACATGGGATGACAATTCCCAAGTCACATTCAAATTTGGCCCCGATGCGCATTCGAATCACCAGGTTTCGACGTTTTCTTCGCTTGCCCGCTCAGCAATTGTAGTATCAATATTTTCCGTCTCAACAATGGGAGGTGTGATTGTCCTGACTGCGCGGATGAAAACAATTTTACCTGTGACACCTGCGGTTCTGGGTGCCCCACGAATGAGACCTGCCACCAAAATTTTGGCTATCCATGTGAATTTCAGATCGTTGAGTGCCCACCACCTCCTGACTCAGTGAATCCCTTTGGTCTCCGGTGCTTTATTCCTATCAGCTACTTGAACGACAACTTCTGTGATTGTTTAGACTGCGTAGACGAAGAGGCTTGGGATTGCAACAATTGCTCATCCGGCTGCCCGATGCAGTGTCGCGCCAACCCGTTCAACTTCTTTGGGACTGTTTTCACTTTTCGAAATGAGAGAGGCACCAATGAGCAGAAGGCAGCCAACTGCTTTGGGCAGCAATTCAACTTGAATTTTGCCGTGCAATGCCCTGGCTACCCTGCCAACAGCATTTTGCCCACCAAGCTAGGATGTACCATACCTTATTCGGCGCTGAATGACAACAGGTGTGACTGCCCCACATGTAGCTGCGACGCAGAATTTCTGTTGGTTTCATGCAGTTTTCTTGAAGTCTGCCATACGTTCAGCCATGTCTTGGGTCAGGATGGGGTAATGACCAATGGGAGTTCTCCCTGCCCAAGGTATGAGTCCTACTTCACACATTTTGACACCCCCAGCTACACCCCAGTAACTGAAGCGCTAGCTGGCTGCCTTTTTGCAGCATAACATGGGGGTGTCTTTCAATCAGAATGCTAAAATTATTGTATGGTCACCGACAGAATTATGGAAAAAAATAAAACGTTCAACTTAGACAGGCGGCGCCTGCGTCCGATTTTTCCATAATTGGATTTTTCCCCATAAGGGTTCAAAATATCCCGGAAGTGATCCGAACCTTTTTTTTTTCCATAATTCTTGGAGGTGGCCATTATTTCCATAATTGATTTTTCCTGTGAAATCAGGGGGCTAGGGCAGATTGACCGGTTTTTCCATAATTATTTTTTCCATAATTAATGTTTGGGGCTCCACCTGTTGGACATGTCATGGATCCACAATTCAAACCCGTTTTTTTTTGGGGGTTATGGAAATATGTATGCAAATGCAAGTATGTAGTATCAACCCAATTGGTGGCTTGGCAAAAGGAAACATCCAGATATTATGTATATCAATGGCAGGCTTTAGGGGCATATACCAGATCTTTAGACACATATTTTCTATAATTCAATATTCCCCCTTAAAATGCATTCAAATTGCGAACATCACATGATATTATGTATATCAATGGAAGACTTAGGGGCATATACCAGATCTTTAGACACATATTTCATATTTTCTATAATTCAATATTCCCCCTTAAAATGCATTCAAATTGCGAATCGATGGACATACAGTCACCGACAGAATTATGGAAAAAAAATAATTATGGAAACAATAATTATGGAAAAAAAAGGTTCGTAACTTTTCTATCATAGACAGGCGGCGCCTGTAAATTGAAACGTTTTATTTTTTTCCATAATTCTGTCGGTGACTGTATCCCCTTTTCTCGGTGCATCTAGGATCATCGTTGGTGCCTTTTTTTCAGGAACACCTCGGATTCCAGTGCTGAAGGATATACTGAGCCGCATTGATTTGCGAAAAACATCGAAAGACCATAAGTGTTGAAAATCATATGTGTCAGCTTATGTCGGCATCATATTTCTATATGGTTCAAAGATGTTACAATGTTCAAACATAACATAAGCTTCAACTTTAAGTCTTGTTCAAGCAGATTCATCCACATTTAACCTCACAGCATTTCACAAAGTGACCCAGGCAGAGATGAGACGACTGAAACCTGTGGTGATGGCGTTTGCAGCTCCTCCATCTTCTGCAGTCCCGGGGGGGTGAACTCGCGGATCTGCAAATGCCCCAGCAGCTGCGGGGAATCGACCAGCTGCGCGGGGAAATGCATGGGAGATCCGCTGCTCGTTGAGGTCGATGCAGGGGTGCCTTGCCATTGGAGAACAAAATCCTGGAAGGGAATCATTGGCAAAAATGTAAGATTAATGATCTACTTATATAGATATGATAACAATGAATATATATTTATATATAAAGCCACTGTCTTGCTGTACTCTGCTGGCAGTTTCTTCTCGTGGTGGATGTGTTCATTGTTGGGTCTGGGTCGCAGAGGTGTCATTAAAGTGATGAGGCCAAAGTGCCCTTTTTCAAACGATGTGGACAATGTTATCTTCAAAAATGCCCGCGACTTGTTCAGAAATCCCCTGGTTGAAACATGTGGGCACCTAGCTCTTCAGAAATCCCCAGCCCTTACTGAGCGTTTCATACTTAACGATGCCCCTAAATGCGCAGACTTGTGATGACCTTGACAATTGGATATGGCTCAGCAAATGTATTCCCATGGAAGGGCTCAACAAGTCAGCCCAAAAGAAAATCCAACAATCATGGTAATCTGGGTTAATGTTGATAATGTTGGATTAATCCAATCATAAATCCAAAGAAGATCCAACAATCTCCATGTTCCGATGCTTCCATCTGACCCGATGCACTGAGTTCCCGCGTGAATGCCTCTACTACTGTCCGGGCGCTTGTCCCAAGCACGTGCAGATCCTGAACAACAGCGTGTGCGATTGTGTCAACTGTGGCATGGCATGTTATGAAAAACCAGCCTTTGATGGTGCTGGTGCTTTTGATAGAATGGCAACTCACTAAAGGTCAGTTCAGACGGAGGCATGCTTGGCTGACGTGTGCAGCCCTCATAATTAATGGTATGTACATTTAGAAGGTGGGTGGCGGAAATGTTCGATAGTAACAGTTTGTTCCCACACAAAAGGCAAGAACGAATTTGTGCGTAGTGGAATGCATGCAGGGAATTACACGTTCCTGCAGCGGCTCTAGTGTGAGGTGAAGACGAAGCCGACTCGTCCTGTGATACCTGCCAATGCCCTGCTGCACCACTGGGTCCATACCAGTTCAACCCGCAGGGCTGTGGCTTTGAACCCTTGGATGTGGTGCTTCAGGGGCAGGGCCTCCTGGACTCCGCGTTAGGGCTGAAGCTGCGGTGCTTCAACGGCACAGATAACGGCACTTCGCCTCCACCGCCTCCACCGCCTCCACCTCCAGATCGTCCAACCTTTCCTCCAGATCGTCCAACTTTTCCTCCAGGTGGTGGTCCAACTTTTCCTCCAGGTGGTGGTCCAACCCTTCCTCCAGGTGTTCCAACCCTTGTTCCAGGTGTTCCAGTTGGTCCATTTGGTCCAACCTTTCCTCCAGGTAGCCTTCCTCCAGGTGGTCCAACCTTCCTTCCTCCAGTGGGTCCAGATGACATCGATGAATCAATGGCGCACGAGTTGCTGGAAAGGGCCAGCAAGACGCCCAGAAACCATCGGTGCCTTGCAGTGCCGGGGAAAGCTTATAGTTTTCTTTTTTAAAGCCTGTCTGTCATTCATCTCCAAAGCAGGATAAGGAAGCATGCACTCAAACAAACATTGTTATTTTGTTTAAAGATTTCTTATATGGTTTCTTTTATGTTTCTCTCATTTTCAAGTTCGCACCAGTTGTTCACCAAAAAAAATTGTCGTCCATTTTTCATCCACCTTGAGATGCTTAGGTTAGAGCTGGCGTTGGATGACTTCGTGAGCCGAGCCCTAGCAGATGATGACGTCAGGAAAGCCATGGAGTCTGCGACGGCAGAAGGGTATAGTGGGCCAGCTTTGCAGGCGGTGTTTTTGTTAACGAAGAAACGGGGGTTGAAACCAACAAAGCAACCTTTTTTTGAGGTGAGATTCAAGGAATCAAGGAACTTTTTTCATGCCGACAATACGAAGTATCTGATGAAACTTCGGAGCTATCTCCAATTGTGGGATTCAAAAACCATCACCGAAGATTACCCTCTGGTTATGACTAACATAGCCATGGTATAGCCGATCCATTTATCGATGGTTTACCTATTAATAGCATGGTGGATCTTTCCATGGCAAACTGTGAATGTCATAACCAGGTGGACTCACTGGATCCAGTCACTCCCCAGCACTGCTGGTGCAGGCCGAACTGGATGCACTGGCCGCGTCCATCGGGATGGGAAAAAAGTCGAGGGCCTATGGTTTGATGCGTTCGGCGCTGGCAGAACGCGAGGTTCAAAAAGTGTTGGAAACTCGGTGGTTCTTATCCCATAATTGATATCCCATGGTTATCCGATGTTGTCCCATGGTGATATTTTCAGTGGCACGATCGGTGGTCTTCGAGTCCTGACTCGCCATTTCCAACGGGTGATCCCAGAGACTTCGCTGTGTCTTGCTCTTGGGATGGGCTCAGCTCTCAGGAAAATTGCGTGACCAAAGGGTACAGTGAAGCAGCCAAGGAGGAAGTAAGGTGCTGAAACTGGTGGAAGTAATGGGGAAGTGATGGTTATGAGTTGGTTGCTGTTTCATTGTCTAGACATAGACCATTCGATGGTTTGTGGGTATGCCTTGGTATTTGTACAGAATTTCGAAGCCAACCTGGATCTTTATTCGCTCTGATTCATGTTGTTCCCCTTCAAAAGCATACAGAAATTGAAAGTAGAGTTTTTCAGGCTGAGTTGATTTCCCTGATGCCAAATGTTTTTTGAAACAAAGCCATCACCACGGCATCCCGTTTACACGCTCGGAGGCAGTTGGTGCTCAAGAAAGCTATGGCGCGCGAGAGGTTGGAGCGCCAGGGGGTGAGCATTCCATATCTACGCAGCACCTTGCCCTCTGCAGGCGGGAATTTTGTAGGCACAAATGAGCCCAGGACCTAAAAGGACGCTATCCCCTTCCCCAAACTCAGAGGAGAATAAATCAGGCAGGACAGATGATATTTAAGTTGATGTCCCTACCCGGACGCCCTCAAGTTGGCAATGTTTGTAGTTGCGCGCGCATGTTGCTGAATTGTCCCTATTTCAGAAGCACCCACCTTCCCCCGCCCCAACCCCACTTAAGATTGTTGGGTTGAGGCCTGCAAGTGAGATTTCAACATCGAACAACCTTGTGTCCTACATTCAGTCTCCATTGTTTATAATTTATGAATGTTTATGATTTAGTTGGGGTGCGCAAGTGACTCGCGAGTTTCGTTCGTCACAGAATTTGCAGGGGATAGTGGAGGGTCAGGTTGCTGACAGACCCCCAGTGGCACCAGGTGACAAAACATCGCGGCGGCTGCAGTCAACATTGGCTGAGGCCTTCAAACCCCTCGAAACGTTTGATTGCCCGGGCACCGTTTCTTTGATCGGTTTCAACTTGAAAAGTTTCACCCAAATTGCAAAACATTGCATTTTTTTCAACCAAACTAATAAGCTCGAGATGCTATCGCTGTTGGTGGTTTCATGTTTCATATTTCCATCACCAACGGATCATTTGGGCCCCCATAATGACGCTAAGTTTTTTTTTGTCGATCTTCATTGGTCGGTCATGGTTTCATGTTTTTATATTCCAACTTCAGAGGATGTCAACGACCACTGAGGAATGCTTCATCTCAGAGTCTCGCGTCAACGATCGCGTTTGTGATTGCCCTGGCTGTGAAGACGAGGATCAAAATCTGGGGGCCCCTGGTATCACCATGGCATCCTGGAGGTGGGTGTTAAACATGTTAAAAGCCATGTCCAAAAGGTAGCACCAATTAATGGTTTACCACATTCTTTGGTTTGAAGATGTTTGAAGTTTAAGGGCTATTTTGCTATGCCATAATGTTTCATTGTTCGGCGCGTGAGAGAAGAAACAATCAGATCGGTTTGTATTTGGTTGCCCGGGGGGTTGTTCGTTTCTGAATTGTTGATTGCGTAGAAATTGCTGGACTTCAACTCATCTTCTTGTGGGGTTAGTTTGCGTGGAACCATGGCCGTTCTTTAGTATCCACTCAGGGATTTCCTACATTATGGATCCCCCAGCAATGATGCCCTTGTTTCTTCATGGGATCCTGTGTGTTCTACACAAAGGTAGTGGCCTTGGGAAATAGTACTGATAGGACTGGTGCGATCGGTAGGAATCACAAGGATATGAAGCAACAGGAATTGCTATGAGAATGATTTTATGTTGCAAAACCAAAGGGAAATAGGAGCTCGTAAGGTTCGTTCAAAATGAAAGACTCCGTTTCAGACGCTGGCCCAAAAAATAGCATGGGCACCAGAACATCTACCCTATGGCCCTATGGTAATTTAACATACTGTAGCACTGTAGCTATTCAAAATGCCTGTTTATATATAGTTGATTTACCCCTTTGCTGCAGATGCATTTGTGAAGGCAGGCCAATTGTGCTTGCTTTCGTCTCGCTACCCAGCACAGCTGGGACAGGGTGAGGTGACAGCGATGGAGAGAGAGAGAGAGTTGATTTATCCATTAACAATGATGATTTTCCAATAGCTACTATAGTATGTCTATGTTAATTAGTTTACCGGAGGGTAAGCCATGCTCATTCCGGACAGGAGGCCTTTGGCTGTGGCACGTGCATCCCTGTTGTGCCCTTGGGATCAGTTCCTGTGCCGGCGCAGACCAACATTGGAGTGGCCGTAGGCAACCAATTTGCCACTGGTTTTTTCTAGGGTCCCAAGGCAGACCAACGAGAGTATCACGTCCTTGTTGCAAAATGTTGCAAACATCTGAGGTACTTTCTAGCAGATTCTAGCAGGGTTGACGTATAGAAAAAAAAGGGTGCACGGAAAACATGTTCCCAGCCAAGACCAATGGACCATGTCAAACCGTCAAACCCATGGATTTCTCGCAGTCTTGTCACATCTTGTCACTTTTCAACGTGTGACAACTTGCCAGGTGTCAGCCTTGGCGTGGCCGTGGGCGTCGGTTTGGGCGTGGGTCTGGGCCTGTCGGCGGCGCTCAGCGGCGTCTTCGCGGCCGTGGGGCTGGTGCAGTTCACCGTGGCCAACGCGCAGGAATTCATCGACAACCCCAACGTGCAGTCGCTGGGCTCAGCGGAGAGCTCAGCGGAGATCAAACATCTCTGGATATGTGGAGGCTGAAGGGTTAACAGATAAGAGATTCTTTATTGGGAGGTAACATCAGCATCAAATATAGAGGAAGATTGAAGGTCTAAGGCATTGTTCTTGTTTTCAATGGTTTGGGACTAGATGCTGGTTGATATTTTCGTGTTCGCCCGGTACCGACAGGATTGTTGGAGACGTGTTTTATTGTGAACAAACACAAGAAAACTGGTGATAAACATTGACAACCCAAGAAACATGGGATATAAAGAGCGAACTAAACATAACGACCGTTATATGTCGGTGGCTTCAAGTCCAAAGTGTATAAACGTGGTAAGAAATTGGGAGGTTAGCTGCATGCTCTTTTCGCTCCACCTTGGATGGGTATCCCTCCTTCCAGCTGAACATGAGTTTCCAGGTCCAACGGCTCCATGGTTTGGTGTGTCCATGTGATTTGAGATTTGCCCCCGACCTTGGGACCTTAAAACCATGGGACGCCATGGGACCTTGGGACCTTGTGGCGGATTAAAAAATCCCTCAGCTGAGTGGAAATCCGTGTCAATGATAAAAACTGTTGGTGTCTTATTGGATTGATTTTCCATGATTTTCCTTCAAACCAATGGATTGAATCTATGAGGTATGGATTCAAGATTTGGCCACACTGCCAATCTTCTCCCAGGCAAGGCTTGAAGAAGGCCTTCATTCGATTGGCCGGCTTAGCCATCGCCGAAGCGGCCGTGACTCTGAACTGGGCCTGCGCTGGCGACGCGCTGGCGCAGTTGAACAGCAAGCTGCGACGGCTGGGAGAGGCAGTGAAGTTGTGCTTCGAGATCGAAATTGAAGGCAGGCTGGGTGGTAAAAAATGGTAAAAAGAAAACAATGATGTTGTGACACAGTGGGTAAAACAGTACAACCTTTACAGTAGTTGAACCTAAAGATGAAGGTTTTGACCAAACATTGTGACCGAACTCGCGGGCCGAGGTCCCCAGATGCAGATTGAGAGATTGGGAAGCAACAGTTTTGTGGCCTTGGATTTGGTACACACACATATTATAATGCATTACTATAAATCTAGATAGTTCTAGATATTAGTGAAGCCATTGCTCTGGGAAATACTCATAGAATCAAGACGTATCAGGACCGTGTGTGGTCAAAACTCGCATTGGAGGTTGATGACTGGGTTGCACCTGTCACGCCCACATGAAACCCATGCCCAGCAGCGCGCGGCGCCAACCCTCGGTCAAACCCGACCTGCAACCCTTACCAGTAGAACCCTTATTATTATCTTATGATATCTTATATTGATCTTATGCAAGTTCCTGAGAGGGTCAATACACTGAGACACTTGTTTTCGCCAGTTCTCCATAGCTACGGTATATATATACATTGTTTGGGGAGCAAAATGACATACCAATGGCTTTCCCTTGGAACTTGGCATCCCGTTATAAACCAAACGCCGGTAGGCGAGCAGCAAAGCTTGGAGGCCTGTGAGCTCCTGGCGGGGACCTCCCCCGGAAACGCGGCGCGGGTGATCAATGAGGAGCTGAAGGAAGTGAGCGATCAGGAGGTCCAGGCAGGGCCGGAGATGGTCCTGGTATGTCCTGGTTGCATAATGGCCTGACTTAGTTTATTTTTATGTGTCATTTTTATTTTTAATATTTTTAAACATGCCGTATTTTTGGGATTATGTGTAGATATATATATATACAGTACACCCAACTATTTGGAATACAAAATTGGACCCACACCAATATAAGCTACATGTGTGTGTGTGTGTTGTTTTCTCAGTCTCAAAAACGATGGACTCCTCATTCAACCAGAATGGGGTTGGACGAGTTGGGTCAATTGTCTAGTATAGAAGGGGAAGACAGAAGCTTTGTACTGGGCATTACTTGATCCACTTGGATCCTTTCTTTTGGGTGAGTTGGGCCTCATTGCGCGCATCATGTGGGTGTTCATGGGTTGGTAAGTCTGACATGTGACAACACCCACGAAGTGCATGAATTGAGAACCTTGGTGATCTTTAATCTTAAGCCCCTTATTCCTGCGGAATTTAGCTGCTGAATATAACATGGTTGCACAAGAAGGATAATTTAAGGAAGGTGCTTAGTGGCAAGCGCATTCAAAGAAGGCAGCGCGTGATCGTGGGAGATGGTGGGCACGGAAAAGTGGGCGGATAGCCCTGAGAGAACCTAAGGGGGAGTAAGAAACATGAATGATTTTACAGTGAAGGTCAAGATATCACCTGTCGATCAATACTCAGGGAATGGGATTCCAATACCCCTGGCGCGCAGGTGGTGCAATGGACTGCCAATCCGAATCCACGCAGCAAGAACCCCACGCAGAACACTGAGCTGCCACGACCCTTCGAAGCGCCTAAGGCAGTGGGTTTGGATGCCGGCGCGCTGTTGCCCGCGCCAGTCGGACCCAAGGCGCCTGTAGTCGGAGCGCCTGTCGGAGCGCCTGTCGGACCGCCTGCAGTGCAATCACCGGTGGTTGTGGATGGGATGGATCCGTCTAGGGGAATAAAATTTAGTTTTAATTGATCAACATGTGATGCTGGCATTTCCAGTTGCACGGGTCAAAGTGATCAGTGTACACGTTTCACAACTGCAGCCGCGCCTGTGAATGGGCTTGGAAAATATTGGGAAATTGCGCGATTCTGGCTGATGGGCATGCGAGGGTGACAGCAGTACCAGTCAAAGAAGGGGTTGAGATCTGGCAACAAAGTCAGGTAGGATGGGGACATAAATATAATTGTCCTTTTGGACTATCTGGAGATAGGGTTTTCTCGTATCTTCTAATTTTTGTCCAATGGTAACATGTGAGGGTGTCCATTTGAAAGACCAGGACCGAAATTTACTCGCAACCTCCCGTGCATGAATCAGGATCCAATTATATACTGTACCTCTGCTGCGCGTTCCTTTTGTATCACAAAATGTCAGCCAAACCGTTGAACCTCAGTAGGTCACAGAAAATCATGTTCCATCACTGTGGCTAGAGATCAAGGCTCTCATCATTCTTCTTTTCCGTTTTGGTTTGGTGTGAAAAGTATTCGCCAATGACTATAGCACATTTTTTACTAAGGTGTGAGGTCCCCAAAATAGCGATAATTCCAAGTTTTAAAAAGCGATTTATATTCGTAAATTTTAACTGGGCATTTATTGATCCAGGGCTAGCATGGTCGCATGGTGCCTTAGGCGCGCTCTGCTGTCAGGACTGACGAGGCGTTGGCAAACTGGAACCTCCATTGTTGGATCATGTTGGATTCAATGGTTCTTTTTAAAGGTTATAACGTTAAATCCTGTCATCACTACTCCCCCTCCTTTTACCGTAGTGCAAAAAAAAAATCTTCCACGTTAACTAAAGTGACAATTCGGAGGTTTACTTCCATGTTAGTTGCAATGGGGGGGGGTAAACTGCAAATTTGTGTTCTTTGGATCTGAGCCTTTTTTTTTGGCTAGTTCTTTTTGCCACGAGTTCCCCGGGAATCCTGGGCATTTGTTGATTAACGTAGAAATTTTGATTTTTTCAAGATAAAGCTGGGAATGCCTCCATTTTTTAACAACCAACGATTGGAACGGATAACTTACATAGAAATTTGCTACTTGAAGTAGGTGTATGCAACCAAAAAAGAAACAGTGTTGTGTTTTGACACTTCCGTGATAAGCACCAATTTGGCACCATTGATTTCGAAAGGTTGCATCCTCAATCGCTCGGACATGACAGGGGTGAGAAGATAGATGCAAATGATGTGCATTTTTTTTTTCTTCCACGTTAACTAAAGTGACAATTCGGAGGTTTACTTCCATGTTAGTTGCAATGGGGGGGGTAAACTGCAAATTTGTGTTCTTTGGATCTGAGCCCTTTTTTTTTTGGCTAGTTCTTTTTGCCGCGAGTTCCCCGGGAATCCTGGGCATTTGTTGATTAACGTAGAAATTTTGAATTTTTCAAGATAAAGCTGGGAAGGCCTCCATTTTTTAACAACCAATGATTGGAACGGATAACTTACATAGAAATTTGCTACTTGAAGTAGGTGGATGCAACCAAAAAAGAAACAGTGTTGTCTTTTGACACTTCCATGATAAGCACCAATTTGGCACCAGTGATTCAGAAAGGTTGCATCCTCAATCGCTCGGACATGACAGGGGTGAGAAGATAGATGCAAAGAAGAAAAAAATGATGTGGCGGTCAGTCTGGGGGTTTTAGGGATCGCCCTAGAAGGATGTATTCAACATGAGGGGAGAACATGTTAACATAGAAGTTGCCAACCTGATGTCTGGACCCTCAAGTTACTTCCACGTAAGGGTTTTTAGTCTCAGTTTTCACACTTCCATGATGAATATGTTACTGACATATCTGATGAGCTACTTCTATGTAAGAGATTCACGGTCAGTTTTTCTGCATTTGCTGGCCCGGTAGCCCAGTTTCACTTTTTCCCCAGGAATTGGACGTAAACGACTTCCATGTAAACCGACAGGTTTTTCCATCCTGACTTCCACGGTAAAAGGACCCGGTGTATAACCCCAGCAAAGATTACCAGGCTAGCCATCCATAAACCCAGCGTACCCTTTTGTACCTGGGGTGATGATCCTAAAGGATCCTAAAGGAGCGCAGCTTCCCGTGGGCACAAGCGCTGAAGATAAGGAACATTCCTACCCAGATTTGAACGGATCCATCATGGTTTGAACGGCCAAGCCATCCCAAGCCATTTGTGCCAGAAGTCCACCAACAAAGCCATTGAATACAATGAACAAGGATGAGCAAAACTGAGAAACATGATCAATTACAATTTGACATAAATAATAAGATACGATACAACTAAACAAAGCTGAGAAACAAACAAACAAACAACTCAAAGCAAACTCTTCCCCATCATGTTTGGGGAGCCGGAATGCCCCCAGAATTCAATCTGGATTTTGTACGGTTAGAGTGGCAAACGTTTTTGGTCAAAAGCATTCTACAAACTTGTCTTTGCTCCCTTTCATTGTTATAAGTTATAAGTTATAAAAGTTACATAAAGTCACACAAGTTATATTTAATTATATGCAACATATTGCGACATATATTATATATATAATATAACTTAACATTTATTCTGAGTCGCATCATGTTCAATCCACTGTTTCTCTGTGTTCCAGTGAGGGATCTCTTGCTCCAGGATGACTGGTGCGGAAGTGCGGAAGTGACTGGCTTCGGAGGCCCTTGGTCAAGCATTGGAGCTCCCGGCTGGAGACGTGCCAGCTATGCCCCCCAGAACCATTCGGTTGTTTATTATAGTTGTCATAGTTCATAGTTTAAGCTTCAAGTGTTTGTCCTTTAGACTGTTTTGAGGCATCCCCTGGTATGTTCCTATAGTTTCCTATAATACATTATCATTGAAATTATCATACCAAACATATTGCTGATCTGATCGCTTCCCGCGCAGACAATTAACCTATGATCCTAACCGGTGACCAGCCCAAGTCATCCCTGGTTGTCCAGAAGAAAGGATTGCAGCCCCGCATACGACTCTTTGGCTCTCTCAGCCGGGCCATGTTTCAGGTAGGAGTCAAACCTGCGCTCATCCTGCGCTCATGGGGGGTTTCTATGCCCCAGTTTTTTGTTGATGCGACATTCGCGTGATGATCTCGGACGTGAAAATCATCCAGCTTTGCTGGTGAGTTTCCCCCAAGGGCAGCTACCCCTCCATGGCGTCCACAACATTGGGAATCAAGACCCATCAATCCCACTACTTGCTGTTATCTATTTTCACTGATTGATAATTCAAGCCGGTTTTTACTGTTAGTCATATATTCCTGATGTGGGTCGGAGAAATCAAGCCCAATCAAGCCATATCAAGCCCATGTGTGTTGTTTATATGGGTGGTTGTTATTGGGCCCATCTTAGTCTCCATAGACTTGATTGCCTTTGCCATGGCCATGCCCTTTTCGGCCGAGCAGCCTGTCATGCCCAGTTCCCTGGCAGCGCAACTCCGAGAGCAGGGCGGGACATGGCAGGTGTTGCATGTGTTGCTATTACAATATTGTACATTGTGTATGTCATTAAATTATATTTGTATATATATAATATATATATATATGTAGCTTTATCAGCGGTTCAGCACCCACGAAGTTGCTGCAAAAGGTTCAGTCAGGCAAGCGCACGAAGTCAGCCTGTTTTCGAAGCCATCGCTCACGGTTGTTTTCCCACCCACCTGGCAAAGGGCATTTGACCCAAAGGTGGTGGTCACGGACATATACCTGGCAGGCAAGTTGGTGCATGACAGGTGGTTTCAGTATATACCTGGCAGGCAAGTTGGTGCATGACAGGTGGTTTCAGTTGCAAACTGCCCGGAGGGCAAGTTGGTAAACTGACACGGGCAGTTGTTAAAAAGAGCCTCATGTGTCAGGTGAAAAGAAAAATTGCTCTCTCACAGAATCTTCGGCATCATCGTCCAGTGAAAGCTCGGTCTGTCACCATGTTTCGGTCTCTCGCACAGCAGTACTTACAATGGTCGTGCTCTTGCACCATGTGAGCTCGGTTTAGCTCGATGATGGGGCACTCAGGGTCGATGTGCCACAGTGAGCCGTCCAGTGTCGGCTGCACAAGGACTGTGTCGCCAAGCGGGCACGGAGCTTGGTGGTTGGCTATCAGGCTTCGAAGTCTATCGGTTCTTGCTTGTAGAAACCGAATTGCTTCGATTTGAGAGGCCAGCATAATCGCCATCACGTTGGCGTTGCGTCTTGTTTCTTCCAGTTCATTCGCGATCTCGTTGCGGCGGCCAGCCACATCATAGCATTGACACCGAAGTCGGCGAATCAAATCCGCCTGTTCTGCACCTTCTCGTTGGAGTTGGTCCACGTGGGCATAGGCAAGGTCCATTGCCTGTTGCAGGCGCAGTCGCTCGTATCGAGCACCAAGCCAAGGTCCAAGGAGGAGGCAAAGGAGCATCATCGCCAAAATGGCGAAAATCCAAATTCCGCTCTGTCCATGTTCATGGTCCGGAGCTGCATGCATTGCAGAGGTCGTAGGCAACCAGGTCAGCGCCGCGATGACATACTTTATCACCTTGGCATTCTTTGGGGTTGCTACGTAGGCCTCGACAGGCTCATAGGGCTCGACATGAATGTCGTCATACGCAGGTTCATAGGTCTCTTCATTCATGTCTTCGTCCTCCATCGTGTAGAGCTCGGCAGGGTCCTCAGGGATCTGCAGCTCATAGTTTCCATCATCCATGCGTTCATGTTGTGGTTGTGTTGTAGGTGAAGGTGAGGTGAGAGGTTGAGAGTGAGGTTGATGTTGATTGGATTCCTTCCCTTTCGCAAACTCATTGCGGCTCGCTTCTCTTTCTGCAGCATCTTTGCGTTTCGCGCTAGTGTAGTATGGGTCCCACACCAGCTTCTGTCGATGATGTCGAAGTCGGTCAGCCAGCAAAGTTCTGGTAGAACTCTTTGTCAAACCATCAGCGAACTGCTTTTCGCTGCTCATCCATTTCAAAACACCACCCAAAGCTTGTAGTTGTTCTTTTCCAACTCGTATCTCCAGAGACGTCCTTTTGTCAACGGACGAAGAGCCAGTCAAACCTTCCTTGTTGTAGCTGTCATAGAGGGCTTTTGCATCGGTGATCATGACGGGCTCAAGGTCAGATCGTTGGTC